TATCAGACCGCCTCCTGCCCGAGTAGGCGGCAATGGGCAAAGTGGGAGGGTCAAACGAGTATGAGGACTTGTACTTGAGTACACAGGGAGACGTGGCGGCAGACGACCACAATTAGTGTACGGAGTAAAATATACTGGGGTACTTGGTAAGTAGCAGTTCCCGGATGAGAGTGCCCGACCACCGGTCAAGCGCGACCAATTTCTCATTGCCCCAGATGGAGTTTTCGGTTCTAATGCTACACGTGCCTTTTGCTGCATTTGTGATGCCTCTAATTAAATACAACCAGTGCATTGCCATGCTGCCGACGGGCATTTTCCCAACCGGGATGCCCGAGACCGAGCCAGATCCTCCCGCCGTAGTGGTGGTGCGACTATTTGTAGAAGTCAAACTTGTCGGCTTCTTGAGCTCCCTTGACTTGACTCGAGTAGGCGTCCTCCAAATCCGCCTGGATAATATTGTACCTGTTCTTCCGTACCGCCCTCAAACCCGCTTCTTGCATTATTGCTGCGATGATGGCTCCTGACAATGGATCGTTTCGTACAATGAGCGAGTCCAAGTCGACTTCAGGTGATAATGACATTTTGCTGGCAATTGTCGAGAATATCAGTCGCCGTTCACGGCGGTCGCGGAGGGAGGGGAATTCGATCTTTCGATCGAGACGACCAGGTCGCAACAAGGCAGGGTCCAAGGTGTCCGCTCGGTTGGTGGCCATGATGACTTTGACGTTGCTCGTCTGATCGAAGCCATCCATCTGGTTGAGCAATTCCAGAAGGATACGCTGGACCTCCCGGTCGGCACCAGTCTGAGCGTCGAATCGTTTGGTTGCAATCGCATCGATCTCGTCAATGAAGATGATGGCAGGTGAGTTCTCACGGGCCATGCGGAACACGTCTCGGACCATGCGCGGACCTTCACCCAGGTATTTCTGCACGAACTCTGACCCGACAACCCTGATAAAGCTGGCAGTCGTGCTGTTGGCCACGGCCTTCACCAACATTGTCTTGCCGGTTCCTGGGGGGCCATAAAGCAGAACACCACGTGGTGGGTCAATGCCAATCTGTTTGTAGAGATCGAAATGCGTCAGGGGTAATTCAACAGCCTCTCGAATTTCTTGCTTCTGCATGTCTAAACCGCCAACGTCCGCGTACGTTACATCCGGTTTCTCGTCCTGTCCAAGCATCGCAATGGAAGAGTCAGCTTCGGGCGGGAGGATGTCGACAAGCGAGTTGGAGTGGCGGTGGAGAGCGACAGAGGAGGATGGCTTCAGCTTCTCACGGTCGAGCGTAGAGAGAATGCGGACCACGTAGTTGGAGCCTGTTGAGGATTGCACGATACCAGTGCTAGGGAAGAAGTCAATACCTGATACATCTGCGGGTTTATCTTGCTTACTTCTGGTCAATTGCTTCCATGAACTGCCCGATGACAAGCGGTACACTCTGAATTCGTTTGATTTCTTCTTGCGCGCGGACAAGCTCGCGCTTGAGAGATCTAGCGAAACGTCAGTCCGAGTGGGAGACACTACGCTCATATGTCCTACCTCTGCTCATCCTTGATATATTCCTCTTGCAACTTGATGTACCTATCACTCAGTGAGCTGTGGCGCCTTATTACAGGTGCAAGACAGGCATACTCCAAGTGTCTTTGTAGTCTCTTCAAGGTCGCATAGTCGTCGTTCGCATCGGCGCCAGCCCCTTCTAATGAGTCGATTTCGGGGATGGCGTCTGAGATGGGTTGTTTCTTATGAGGCGGAACAATGTTCGCAGGGTTGTCAACAAGCACGTCGCCCATGCTGGTGGTAGTGGAATTTCAGGTGTGCAGGTGCAAGAGGGGCTCCGAACGAGAAATAGCTCAAGAGAGATATCGCGGCAACAGGGTAACGGGCAGATGGAAATGAAGTTGGTGATGAGAAGAGCTGGCCTGTTCAAGATCAGAGCCAGACTGCAAGTCCAAAAGGCAACATGAGAACGCGCAGCGCAGTTGAAGTCGAGACACTAGTCCAGAATAGAGTTAGTGGACAAGGTGTAAATGCTTGCTCCCGCCACTGGTGAGGATGGCACAAAATGTGCTGCTCAATCAGCTCCGGTGGACACCAGTATCGTTGAACGGATGCAGTAACTCCAATCTACGGTCGGATCTTCTGAACAGGGCAAACAAATGGCAGTGTTTTCTTCACGATTGACTCCAAGGTTGCTAAGGGGTTATAGGCTTTACTGAGTACTTCGTACGTCAGGTTCTAGTTACCAAGTGCTTAACCGCCGGCACGGCTAAGTATCTGGTTCAGTGCCATTGTGGCAGGCGTGAGGCCCCGAATCTCCGAGCAATCGAGCCTCTCATAGAGTGCTCGTATTGAAGTCGGAGACTGTTTGGTCGCCAGGTCAGAAGATTGTCTTCGACGTGGCTTCGGCTGGGGAAAGCAGAGCAGGCTCGGAGACCCGGCTTTTTGGGTTCGCTCGATTTGGGGAAAGCCGCAAAAATAGAGGAAGATCCCGCACCCGTTGATCCCAATCTTCTCTGCCTCTTGACAAGGAGGTACGGTCGCTGGCCCCTCCGATCCCATGAGATAAAAGACTCGATGGACTCGGGGAACCCAGACTGTATGACCCTATTATATATCGCAAGCTCTCCGCAATGTATGGGCCCTGGTGGCATGCTCACGGCGTATCACCAAGTGTTCCTCTGGTTGACATCGGGCCCGTAGCCGAGTGCAGAGAAGCGGGCCATGCAGCTAGAGGTAGTGCCACGCCGCATTGGCCATGCAGCATATGTGCCTAACCATCCTGGACGGGTGGATGAGCTGAAGTGCATTGGTTCTGGCAGTATGAAGAACCCGCCAGTTCGCTTGCGATTGTCTTTGGCGTGTGACACGGTTTGAAGTAACTGGACTCAGCCTGCCCGCGATGAGGAAACTAGACTCAAGAATCTGCCAATCAGGACAGATCCGGCCTGCCAACGCCGCCGGTTGAGCTGGGTTGAGCACAAAATTGAATGAGGGACTATCCAACTATGTAAGCCCTCGATCTCTTCTACCGTTTGATATCTCTCCTTCTCTTTTCTTCTTTGAAAGTCCAACCTGTTCTTAGCACTGGAGTGTATTCCTTCCATCTCAAGGCTCCTCCCTTGTTCGTTTGAGAAGTCAACACTCGCTCAACGGCTGCTTGTATTCTGCGGTGCCACTTGTTCTTCACCGGCTTCGAGGGACAGCAAACATCTACTAGGACGCCCGGGATGACTTCGACAGTTGTTTTTCTCAAGGTCCTGAAACTGTCTCTCGACCGCTATGGAGGACATCAATGACTAATTACCCAGATCCCAACCTCTCCTCAGTCCTGCTTTTGGAAACCTTTGGGCCGGCTTCTATGCGTCCGAGCACGCAGACCGAGGAGGCCAGCAAAGTTACAAGGACGAACTCGCGCAGACAGCCCTTGAGATGGACTGGGAAGCAACAGTCTATCAGGACTCAACCTCACCGGGGGATTCCTCAAGTCCACGTTCGCACACCAAGGAAACTTGAGGATGGTCTAAACCGAAAACGACACTGGTGTGACCCTGGAATCGACTTTGCTCTTGTGAAACGTATTGCCAAGGACGGAGGTGCGAGCAGCCACTTCGCCTTCCACAGGTGACCACGCCCGTACGCATCTCCAAAAGACCCCAGATGAGCCCTAAGATTCTCACCGCGAGTCTGGCTATCTCCTGGCACTCTGGGGCTCATTTCAGGCGGTCTCTGGGACTGTCACAATCGACGGAAGTGAGCAAGTGACGGCAGCGGGTAAGGGAAACGGGTTTGCCTTTCTATTCTTTGACAAGCCCGCATTTGCAGCACCAATCAGCAGATGCAAAACGGCGTTAGCGCGCAGCCCCTCGCCCCTAGGAGCCGAGCAGCCTGAGTGCCGCCGGGTCGCCCACCTTTTGCCCAACCTTGAACAGTCAGACAGCCTCTGCACCTCAATCTCGCAGCACTGTCACTCTCCCTTTCCGCTTTCTCTAGGCTCCCATTTTTTCCTCCTGCCCCGATTCCAGCGCTATACGGCACCTGCTGCTTGTTCACAGTTATCCCGGCCCTTTTTTGTGTTTCATCGATTCCCAGCTGTCAGCCTGGACTCTGGGCGTTGCCTGTCTCATCCCTCTCACTGATCATTTCCCACCCCGCTCTCGCCTTGCCATTGTGACTCTCCTGTACGAACCACCACGTATCAAGCATCAACATCGCCGTCTAATCACATCGGTAAGCCTCCTGCCTTTCCTTTGCTCCGTGGGAACCATTTTTGCCCCTCATCCGAAGCCCCTTGCAACCTCTAAGATAGTGGGCTTGTTTTGTTGCTCTTCAGCCGCCGGTTCGCAGCAGCCGGGATTGAAGCCAGCAGCACATGGTTCGCCCACCACATCATCATTGTTTCCTCCTTCGTCCGCCCACAGATCCATCACTAGCGCATCTCTTATCCATCAGACACTCGACATGAGATCGTGTTGCACGGCCCAAATAGACCCGAGTGGGACCTCTCCATGATCCTCATTGCCTGTTCCTCTGGCCTGGCTAACCGATGGCTAACCTCCCTCTCGCAGGCAGTCTGACGCCGATTGTGGCTAAACCTGTTTTGTCCACCCCAGCCCTCCAGGAAAATCGTCGACATTCCGTGATCGGTTCGCATACCTACACACTGTGACGATTTCGTTAAACAAGTGCCAGCTAGGTAAGTTAAATCCTATGCGAGTCATTATCCCTTTGAGATACCCTTCACTTGGCTCGTGTCAGCTCCCTGCGCGCTTAGCACCCACCTCACTTCTCCTGCGACGCGTCCTCACCTAATTTCAACACAACCAATTCCACTTCCAATGCACCACCACAGCCGCGCCATTCATCATGGTACACAGACCAGCGATAGGTCCTGTCGACTATGCTCCTGATCGCTTAAGCTTTGAGATGAATTCGGGCTCTTTCGGGTCAATGCTGATGGTTGTTCTTACCCTAGCCAATGGATGACCGAACTTCATTCGAGCCATGAACCCTTGGCTGAACGACGCCTCCTCGAATCCAAACAATCATGTTGGCTTTGGAGGCCCGATGGATGCAGGCATGTCTTTCTTGCAACCTCCTCAGACGATAAATCCCGCGCAATTCCAGAATCCCGCCTTCCTCAATGGCGCCGGCCGAACAACCTCCCCTGCCTTCCACAATCCTGTATATCAGACGAACTCAATAATACCATCTAAGAGAGCAAGAGAAGATAGTCTGATCACATCGCCGCGTCAGGCACCAGGCGGCCTACCTGGTTCGAGGTCGCAAACTCCTGCTCAAGTTCCCTTCCCCGGCTACAACCCCCAGGCCAATGGCGCGCCTGCAATATCCAATGCGCCAACACCTTTTGCCCATCTCCAGACCTCATCTAATGCGACACCATCTCCCACGATACAACAGTTGAATCACTTCAACTCTGCTCAGGCCAATCAACGCGTTGCGACAGCTTCTCCGAGCCCCTTCTCACCTCAACATGCTCCGCCTCACGCTTCGCCAGCTCCGTCCGACCATGCCGGTCGCGTCGCAACACCCCATGATAACCCTCAGAATTTCATGCCTAATGGCGCATTCGCGCCGGGCTTTAACCAACCACAATTCGGGCAGAACGTTAGCAACGGGATGGCGCAAATGGGGATGAGCCCACAAGTTAATATGGCTGGTCAACATCCCAACATGGCAGCGGCGCAGCGCAACTACCAGATGCAGCTGCAGGCTCAAGCTCGTCAAATGCAGGCGCAAGCCCAGGCGCGAGGGATGAATGGTATGCCACCCAATGCTGCCCAGCCCGTCCCCAATCCACAGTTACCCCAGCAAGGGGTTCCGGGAGTGTTCAATTCCTCCAGGCCGAACAACCCCGAAGATTTCATCCGCGGTCTACAATCTTTCATGGCGGCAAGAGGCCGACAGGTTGACCTGAACCCGGTGATCTGTGGTCGGCAACTTCCACTTCTGAGACTGTACGCGGCCGTGGTTAAGAGCGGCGGCTCACAAAGAATATCAAAGTTGAATCAATGGGCTGCTTTTGCTCAACAATTCGGATTCCCGCCGCTCCAACAGATGCAAGCAGCACAAGAGCTGCAGGCATATTGGATGAACAACCTCGCTCCGTATGAGGCTGCCTGGCAAATATCCCAGCAGAAACAGAAAATGGCAGCGCAAGCCGCCATACAAAGCCAGGTGCCACATCAAATGTCCCCCGTGCGCGAGCAGCCACAAGATCCTGGTCACCAGAGAAGTGTGTCCGCTGCTGGACCCGTCCCACAACCAGGGCAGCACCCTACAGCAAATGGATTCGGTCAACCCCCCCATAGTCAAGGACAACAAGACCCATCTGTCACTTCTCAACATCGTTCAAGCTTATCGCGGCAATTCGATCCCCAGCAGATAGCTACGATACAGGCACAGGCACAGGCACAAGCGCAAGCACAAACCCCTCAAAAACGTCCTCAAACAAGCACAAGCAAGATGACAGAGCCTGAGCCCGACCTGAACAAGCCTCTGTCCGCGCCAATAGAAGATCCCTTCAAGCCTGATGTCCTTCCACCGAGCCGTTTTCACGGGCCGATCAACGTGGAGGAGATGTTTATCCTCGGACAACATATCTTCGAGTCCAAGCCTGTGGTACCCACTATTCGCGAGCTGGGCGTGATTGACATCCATGCGTTAACGATGGCGATCAAATCTGGCATGCATGCCGAAACACGCGTTGCGCTGGACACCCTTGTGACCCTGTCGATGGAGTCTGGATTGCAACTTCAACTAGGCGAGTGCGATGATCTTGTGGACACCTTGATCGATTGCGCGCAGGACCAGGTCAATTTCCTGAGTGAACACGCCACAGAAGTTTCCGATGAGATGTTCCTCACATCATACGAAGAGCTTGTCCGCGCGTGCCGCTTCGAACACGAGTCTCTGCAAGACCCCGTCGAATTTGGAACAGTCGCATATGATCTCGAACGAGCAGCGGACCGCTTGATATGTATCACCACCCTTTTACGCAATTTTTCCTTCTACGAAGCCAACTTTAGCATACTTGGCTCGGCGGTAGTGGTCAAGTTATTGAGCGCCGTTATCCGGTACCTGGGGACGACAGAAATGTTTCTGCGCCAGAATCGGAACACCCTGGATTTCATGAAGGATGTGGTCATCTATTTCAGCAACCTGTCAACATCCCTCCAACTTCCTGGCAAGGACGAGGCACTCTGCGTTCTCCACTTTCTGCTCGCCTTTGCACCCACTCCGCCGCCAACATCAGGCTCATCGAACAAGATCTCCTTTGTTGGGTACACGCCGGGTCTACACAAGTACATGCCTTCTGCTGTTGACAGCCTAGCAAAATTGCTGGCGCGTGACGAACCAAACCGGACGTATTATAAGGCCATTTTCGCAGCCGACGGTCTTTCAAACACTCCCTACGAGCTTCTGACGAGAGCATTTGGCTTGGCTATTTCTCCAATCCCTGGTAATTCGAACCACACGAGAACGATTATTGAAGCACGGAAGCCGTACCTCCTACAAGGGATGTTGGCAGCCGAGATATTGGCGAGTCTTGCCCCAGGCTCGGATCATCCGCTTGCCCGCTCGTGGCTGGAGTCAGAAGACGGATTCGCGGGAAACCTCCTACGACTGGTCGGCTTACTCAGTGCAGATCGTAGCACGCAAACCGCTCCTAGGCAATCCAATAATCGAAACCACCCACCTCCAGAACCCGACGCCAACGGCTATGGTGCGATTGCAAATCGCGCAATGGCAGTGCTGAAGACGCTGGTGCAGAAAGCCCGAAAAACTGACGAGCTTGGTTCAACGGTTGTGCCTTTGGGTATCATGCCAAGTAAGGAGAGTTTGCTGGGAGCCATGATCCAGAAGGATATTGACCCCGGTATACTAAGACAACTCTGCGTTTATGCCGGTCTGGAGGATTGAAGCGAATGACCGTTTATCTGCGTGGCCAAAGTCGTGTCAGGGCATTGGAGGCAATATCATGAGCGGAATCGTTTGGGCATTCGACTGGAGCAAGGGACGATGATCTACGGCTGAAAAGGCAGAAGACTTATACCGGACCTACCTTGTGTTGCCTGTTCCATGCCCACTTTGTACTCAATATGAAGACCTCTGGTTGGGTACATAAGAGATGTCTTCAAAGGAAAGAGCAGAGAGGAAAAGCACAAACTGTGTCTATTAGTAGTCTTCCACTTCATGAAACCAATACAGAACTCCCGAAAGCAAACTGAGATTTTACTCGCACGTTACAGAAGGCGGCGTCCATCGTCTGCTCTCGACGTTTACGCGGAAAAAATTGAAGTCCGCTCTTCAGGGCCTCTTCACCCGCTCGGCTTCAATCGTGCTATCGCTATTGTACAAGCCAAACATTTAACCTTGCAAAAATTGTTTGTTTCGCCGTGGTGTGGAGTTCCTACACATCAGAACGGAGGAATATGCTATGCCGGAGCGTGACTCGAGCGCTCTGCGTCTGATCGCGCCGCATTTCTTCAATGTTGAAGAGCCCGATGTCGTTTTCTGCCAGCAAGCCGAATACTTCGTGCGGCCCCAGCGAGCTGTGCCCTCAAAACTCCGGAGCTGCTCAGAATCCACTGACTTCGGCCCACCGCTTGATCTCGGCTCCTCTCCAGCCTCTGATAATCACATGCTTGGTTGTCCGGTTGATTACGACATTCGCCTTCTTCCGCCCTCTTGGATCTGTCATGTACTCTTCCATGCCCAGTGCTTGCCTCACCGCTGTTGCTAGTTCTGTCAAGTCTCCTTGTATCTTCCGGATCGTCGTAATGTGTTTCGAGCCGCCGGATTTTGTGGTCTGGTAAATCGGCAGATTCTTTGAAGGGGTGCGGAGAATGCTGTAGGGAAGTGAGGAGAGGGTTGGCCTTATGCTGAAGTCGCGGACTCGGCTTTTGAGCGAGGAAGCTTGGAGGTCTGCTGCTAGCACTGTAGGTGAGGGCGTTGAAGGATCTGTGTCTGGGTACATCTTCGCGGCTCTATCCTCGCTGTCTTGTCCTGTAGTCGTCATCTTGGTGAGCCATGTTCAGAGGCAATATGATGGATGGGACGCACTTTCTTTGCGTATAGCAGCCTTCTGCCTCCTGTGTAGTTTGTCCAGAGCAGTGATCTTGGCATATTTCTCCCGTGGCATCCATTCCGACTTCCATCTGAGCTGGCAAAGAGGCTGTCGAGGGCGTAGTAGGGCGCGCAGCAATGTCGTCGAGGGCGCCTTCATTGCCATCGCGGTCGTTGTGCAGTGATGAGGTCGGGCCGGTCGTCCTGGTCGACTGAGACGCTGGTGATCGTGCAGGAGCGTGCACCGGTGTCGCATTGGGGACAAAGACCTGATTGGAGTTGGCGTGCCTGTGAGCTGCGAGGCTGAATTCCTTGGCGCTCCTCACGAGGCTGCGCTATACCATTAAGCGTTAGCGCGCTCTTCGGGCTTCGCCGTTCTCAACACAACGCAGGAATCACAAAATGACTTCCACCACATCGAGTGGGTGGTATTATCCTTGGTTCCCGTCTACGCCATCAGAAAACCGCTGTCGTTGTGGTCGAGACCAGCTGGTTGCTTCCTCGGGCTCTCATCTAACCGAAGCCAACCTTCGTACGTTGCAGTCGCAACTACCTCCGGCACCTTCTCAGTTGTACAGATGGCTGGCATGGATGAATACGGATTCCTGGCGCAGCTGATCCAGCGCATGGACAGACACCTCATCTTCCCCTTACTAGAACACCAGCTCCTCGCCGAAGACATCTCACAAGACCGCTACGATGACCTCAAACTCGCCATCTTCAACCTCCTCAAAAACACCAACATGATCGACTACGTGGGCAATCTCTACAAAGAAATTCACAAGACCGACACCATCCCCTCAGAGTACGCGAAGAAGAGAGAAGAAGTCTTGAGCCAACTGGCCAAATTCGAGGAAGAGAGCGCACACCTTACCAACCTGCTGAACGATGAGTCAGTGACATCTCAACTGCGCAGCGACAAGGTCGCCAACCTGAAATTCCTCGAAGAACAGCACGGCGTAACTCAGCAGATGGTAGACAATCTCTACGACTTTGGCCGCTTCAGATACGAATGCGGTCTCTACCCCGAAGCCGCCGACTTACTGTACCGCTTTCGCGTCCTCTCTATCGATAACGACAAAGTTGTCAAAGCCACCTGGGGAAAGCTCGTCTGCGAAATCCTGGGTGAAGAGTGGGAAAGCGCCTTGGAAGAGGTCGAAAAAGTCAAAGAGCACATTGAAACTCGTCTGTTCAACAACCCTAGAGCACAACTTACAGCCAGAGAATCACTCGTCCACTATGCTCTTTTCCCTTTCTTCAACTACGAGCCCGCCCGAGAGAAATTGACCGAACTGTTCTTCTCCCCACCTTACATCTCCTCCATCCAGACCGCCTGCCCATGGATCCTGCGCTACCTCGCCGCGGCAGTCATCACCAACCGCTCTCGCACCGGCAACTCGTACAACTACCAGAAACAACTGAAAGATCTCATCCGCATTGTCAAGCAGGAAGTCTACGAATATCAAGACCCCGTCACGGAATTCGTCAAGGCACTCTACATCGACTTCGATTTTGAAGGCGCACAGAAAAAGTTATCGGAAGCAGAGGGCATTCTGAGAAGCGATTTCTTCCTGTCCAGCTCAGCGGATGCCTTTCTGGAAAGTGCCAGACACTTGATCTCAGAGAGTTACTGCAAGATCCACCAGAGAATTGACATCAAGTGAGTCATGCAATGCCCCCATGGCCGTGCCGGCTCTAGAAATGCTAACAGTCGTCCTAGCGACCTGTCAACCCGTCTAGGGCTCTCACCGAGTGAAGGCGAGAAATGGATTGTCAACCTCATCCGCGACACGAGAGTGGACGCCAAGATCGACTATCAAGCCGGGACAGTGGTGATGAACCATCCTCCTCAGAGCGTGTATCAGCAGGTGATTGAGAAGACGAAAGGTGCGTTCTTCAGAACTCAGGTTTTGAGCGCCGCGGTGGCGAAATGAGTGGTTGCATGACCGATATCGGAGCGGATATCGAGCTGAAGTAAACATCGAACGAGGCTATGGAAGTCAAGTGCTCCAGTGAGCTCACGTCGAGAAGCCACCTGTCACACAGGAACGGCAGCGCTGCCACGACGAGAGATAGGGCAATAATCTCCACTCCAGGCGGTACGGACGATTGCGAGCTGAAGGGTGAGCACGCCGCTCCAGGAGAGCCAAGGGCCAGGGCAAATGGACGCGAGGACATGATACCCACGACTTCTTGATGTCGAACGAGCACAGGGCTCTGAAAGCAATGAGCATGGAGCTAGGTAGCTAGAACAAAAGCACAAGCATGAAACAAAACCATGCCCAGTGCCAATGCCAATGGGACTGCCCGACGAGGAAAAGGCAATCCGATTTCGAAAAATCACTTTGACTGCTCTCTCTGCCTCAGTTCCTCCTCGGCGATCAAGCCCTTGACTTCTTCCTCGGCCATCCATTCTCTCACGCTGTCCATGAGATCCTCGAGACCTTCGCCGCCGCCCAAGATGCCCTCCAGGTCACTGCTGTCCATGCCGCTCCGATGGTCCGTCACCCGCCGCTGACTGTAATTGTAGGTGCGGATCTTGTCCTCGCGGCCCGTCCGCGCGACGCCCCCCATGGCACTCCGGCGGATGCGGACGATTTCCTCCTCGCGGGCCTCGCGGCGCATCTGGGCGATCTTTGCACGCAGCAGCCGCCACGCCTTTTCGCGGTTCTTGTGCTGCGAGCGCTCCTCCTGCACGGCGACGACCGTGTTGGTCGGCAGGTGCGTCAGCCGGATGGCGCTCTCGGTCTTGTTGACGTGCTGGCCGCCGGCGCCGCTGGCGCGCATGGCCTGCGATTTCACGTCGGCCGGGTTGACGTAGTAGTCCGAGTCCGGGTTCTCGTAGTCGAGCTCGGCGTCGGCCGCTCCCGACGACGAGTCCGGCAGGCTGGGCAGCACCATGACGGACACGGCCGACGTGTGCGTGCGGCCCTTTTTCTCCGTCGCGGGCACGCGCTGTACGCGGTGCACGCCGGCCTCGGTGCGGAGCACGTCGTACGCGCCCGGCTGGTGGACCTCGAGCAGCGCGTCCGTGAGGCCCGCGTCGTGCGTGCTGTCGTCGGGAGTGTAGCCGGCCAGCGTGGTCGGCCAGCGCTTCCGCGCGCACAGGTCCGTGTACATGTTCAGGAGCGACTGGGCGAACAGCGAGGCCTCGCTGCCGCCGGCGCCCGGGTGGATCTCGATCATGCAGGCAAGGGCGGCGAACGGGTGCGGCGGGATCAGGCTGTTCTTGAGCCGGGACGAGAGAGTGGGGAGTTGCGACGTCGTGGCTTCGATGTCCTGCGACGCGAGCGTGCGGAGTTCCGCGTCCGAGGACGGGTCGGTGAGCATGGTTTCCAGCTCGGCGAGGGACTGTTCAGGTTTCACGCAAAAGAGTGTTGTCAGTTTTGAGGTTGTGTGGTTATGACAGCAGTTTGTCGTTCGCTATCCTCATCGACAGTGGGGCGGGGCATAGATACTAACACTCTGAGCATCCTCCCATTCCTTCAAGGCGGCCACCACGGGGCTGAGCTCGCCGATCTTCTTCGCGACTGCGACGTCGTAGTTCTCTGCGTTGGCGGTCGACAGGTGCTGGTGTTCTGCGGCGATGGCCCGAGCCCGTCGCAGGAGAATAGGCGAGAGGTCAGCCCCAGTTCCGGCAGCTGTGGACGCTGGATGAACAAAATCAGCGCGTCACTCGGAGTAAATTCCCAATGCATTGGAAAACAAGGTCCGGGCCATGTGCTGTAGAACGTAACGTACATGAAGATTGACACCGGATGGTGAGAGGTAGGGACAGAGCAGCGGGCCTAGCTGCCGTGCGCAACGAGGGTCCAAGGCATCTTGAGCATAGCCTCGCCTTCAGGCTCCTGCTCAGCATGCCTTGGTGATGAGGTAGACGAGTGTCAGGAAGGTGGGTGTGTGGGTGAATGTCGACAGCCGAGACAGCAACATCACCTTCAATATCAAACTTGGAGACGCGCGAAAATCGGAACCGTGTCGCGGTCGTGCGGCTGAGTCCGTTTCTGGAAATGGCGCCGCCTCTGCAAGTATTTCCCAGGTCGACTCACAATGGACTACAAGTAATTACCTCGGGCGTTCCCTTTAATTCCATATCGGAACCTCTTCGACCTGTCTATCAGCTCTCAGCGATGCCGTTGAGACAATGACCTGCGCATCTCGCCCCAGCCAGGCAGTGACACTCCACCTCTCGCGCGCGCTGTCCGATTCATCGTGATTGCGGTGTCCGCCAAAGCGTGAGACGGTGCCGGATTGTCCTCTACGAACAGGCTGGATCGATCTCTTTCGGCAGGCTGATCATTCCTATCCCACACCCCGGAATTGCTCTATATCTTCCGACACGAGATGGTCCCTGACCTTGCTTGGAAAGATACACACAGCCGCGAAACTGCCCATTGGGGACTCTCCTGCATGAGGTATCAGAAATATATGGTCGTGATAACAGCGCCTTCCGTGGGAAGATCAGGGCACGTCTGGCGCGGCCATTCTCGCTTTCATTCTCAAAACAGAATGCTCGCAAGGATCTTGGTCTGGATCTGGATCTGGGCGGACATGCAGGGAAACACCAGGGTCCCAATCGGAGGATTCCTGCCTGGCCTTGCATACACAGTACATGTGTTTTTCAGCCTTTTGGCTCCTCGGCCACGAAGAAAGTGACGATATCTCAACAGAGCAGCTGAGTGACAGAGCAGTTCACGGCCTGTGACAGGGAGGAGAGAAGAATGACTCTTCGTCTTATTGGGTCTCTAGCTCCCCTACTTGCTCTAAGTCCTGACTAATGAACAAGTCCATGTCTAGCATTCATGCGTCATCCAGAGACAAAAACACCTGATCCATTTGTTGCCCTGCATGATGTGTCCTGAATTGCAATGTCCTCAACGCTTGAGCATGTGTATGCAAAGTTTTGTGTCATATCTTCGTAGCCGTGTGGGCTAGCCTGAGCGGTACTGTGGTGACTGTACATTTTGGACGCCGTTCATGCCTTCATTATTAGCTGTGATGTTTGGAAAGGTCTTCTCTAGACTCATGGTCGGAATCCCCAGATGGATCTCATCCCGTTCTCCTCTTCAACTTTCATTTCTTTCTTGCTTCCCGCCAGCTCGCCGTTAGTCCGGTCGCGAAGCGGGTTGAGTCGAGGTGATTGCCCCGGCCAAGTCGACGTCCTATCGTCGCCATCCATCGGGAAGAAGACCCCTTCGACCTCTTCGTCGATCTTCTTCGAGCTCAGGCCAGGACTCGAAATGCCACGGTCGAAGCGTCCAATCGGCGCTGATGAGTGTCTCAGCCCACTGGACTGAACCCTCAGACCGTTAGACTCACCAGAGTCGACCCTGTTCAACTGCATCCGAGCCATCGCCTGAGATATACCAGATATCTGCACGCTTGGTGTGGTGGACTCGCTCGGCATCCACGACCCTCGAAGTGGTGATCCGACATGGCCGAAGCTCGATACTCCATTGTTCTCGGCAGCCTTCTTTTCCCGTTGTTCCGCCCACAGCGCACTAAACCTGGACGGGCTTCCAGCGGGAGGGGAGCCGACACTGGGGGAGGTTCCGTTCGGAATGGCCAAAGCATGCGCGTGCGCATGGTCCCTGGAATTAGATTCGGGATCCGGTCGTGACAGACGTCTCATCTTCTCCTGTGGAGTGAGTACCTCGTCGTGCAGGCTATTGGGTAGCAAATCGGTCTCAACGTTCAGCCCTTCCTCCCACTCGTACGGCAGATTTGATCGTGGCACACTAGCGGACAGGCCCCGGGTCTTGTTGATCGCTCTTTGTGAATGCATGATCCGCTGACCAATTGACTCTTCAGCATTCTGTGGGGAGAGCCCCAGAGGTGAAACATTCCTCAAGCCAGAACCCAGGTTGGCATTTCGGACGTTCACAATGGACTGAGGCGGGCTTCCTAGCTGTCGCGAGAGGGAGGAAGAAGCCGGCGATCCCAGACCGAATTTATCGGGCACAGATTGTCCAAGTGGTCCGTACTTTGCAATATGTGATATGCCATTGGCATCAAAGGACTGTGGGAGAGGCGCGTTGAGGGCAGTTCGGAGGTGCTCGACCGGTGACTTGGGGAACTGATAATCGTTTGGAGGGGACCCGAATTGGGAAGTGGGAGGTGAATTGAGGCCCGAATGCAGAGCCGAATCTGGCTGATATTGGTTGTAGCGCTCGGGGAAGGCTTCGGGCTCATCGCCTTCCATGAGAGGGAATGCCGGACTTTGGAAGTAGTCCGGTCCATAGGGGGGTTGGCTAAGCATGGGATCTGCTAGACTAGGATCTTGACTCGGAAATGGAGGCTGGTCAGATCGATTAGGATAGTTGTAGTTTCGACCTGCCATGGCAAAACCTGCGTCTAGATCCGCCCGATTGACTCGCCGCCCGTCGGGCAGGTAGTGAGCAAGCGCGCACTTGGCCCCGAACTTGCAGTTTCCCTGGACCCCGTTAGCGCCAAAACCCACCGTGTGGCAGTCAGTAATGTACCTTCATAAAGTACTTGCATGGTGCCTGCTGTGTCATTGGGTCCATCGAGTGGGAGAATGGACATGCACTTCCCGCCTGACAAGCGCCCTGGCGGAAGAACTTGCAAGGAACATGTCTGGTGTCTACCACAGTCTCAGCATCCGCCTGCCTGTCTTGAAGACAATCAACTCACTCTTGTTTGAAGTCGTGGGTGGGCTCCTCGCGACATCAAACTGTGGCTGGCCGTGTGAGATACTGCTCTTTCTGTCCACCCCATTCCCATAACCCGGCACTGGAACAGCGTTCTCGCCGCCACCGCCATAGTCATTGCGCTGTCTACCTGGCCCATGCATCATGTGTTGAGAGGCACTGTTCGAGTGTGGCCGGGTCACGGCGTAAGGGTCATGTTCGTCCCAAGGAGCTGGGGGGTTCGAGGTGGTTCGAGGATGGACTGCGCTCATGCTGTGCGTTGGCCGCGGAAGGTACACTCGCAGTGAGTGGATGGTGGTCGGGCTACCCCAGACGCAGTGATATGCGGTGTGATGGGCAAGGTACTCGTACCGCAAGTCATGCGGCACTCTGACCGCGAAGGCTCGGGAGACTACTGCCCTCCTCCACGTGTTCGGCCGACTTGGAGCGTGGGGGTTGGCCAGGCAGATAACACAGGAATGGAGTACAGCTAAGCCACTAGGCTGCACAAAGCGCGATCGCGTCGGCTAGAGGAACGAAGACCGGTGAGCAGAGCGTATGGGAGAGATGCAAATCTGTTGCGAGGATGGTGTTATCAGTGAGAGGGTCATGGTCATGGTCATGCGATATCGACCGGGACGGACGTGCAGATGCAGGCAGGATGCGGGGCGTTGGCGTTGGCGTAGGCGTTGGCGTTGGGCAGACACCAGCACCAGTAGCGGTTAGAAACGGTGGAGTTTGGGAAATGAGATGAGGCTGCAGTCTCGGCAGACCTGCCTCTCACGGTGGCACCAGGTGGTTGGTTTAACGCGACACGTCACGTGCGGACGCTCTTTTTAGTCATATACCACGCCTCGAGACTTCGCCCTCTATACATTCCTCGAGCCGGGCGACATGGCTGGTCGCATTGAGCTGCCATTTCTCTACCAGACCAGGACTATCCTAGGTCGGTCGCGAAAGATCCTGATATCAAATAGGAGGCTCGTCTCAAGTCAACAGGGTGTGGAAGACATCACTGGAAATAGCTCCCTGTCCCCATCCCCTGAGCCGGAGCCCTTCCTCAAAGCAAAGGCACGGGGTAGTAATTGGGCTTCTTCAGCCGGCAAACCCACCGCGAAGGACAGCGGATCAGCAATCACGATACCCTCAACCATAACCGCAAGCGAAAGAAGAGCTTTTGAGGCAATCTTGCGCTTCGCTCCTAAACATGACGGATCCAAAGGCGTAAATCAACGATCACCGCACCAGGATGCCGTAGATACAGATATCGACACTATCCTCAAGATATTCACGTCGTCGGTGAGAGACCATGAGTCGAAACTGGGTGCCATGCAAAGTGATCAACGTGCGGCCGACTCGTTGGGTCCAGAGGCCAGGACGCAGCAGTCGGTGCAGCAAGGACCAGGCAAGAAGGCAGGATTACGGCAGTCAAGCTCTCAACCTTCGACAGGGATCAGCTTGCCCACAGACGAGATGGTCAAGCATCAGTCGACATCACGAGCGGAAGCCAGAGGTGAGCACAAGCCGCAACCAGCAGAACAAGTCTATTCTGGGCCAAATTCGATACCAGGGGACGATCAATCATTCCTACAAACGATTGAGGGAAGAATTGATGAACCACAGCTCTGGTCTCCTTTCGGGGGACAGGAAGAGTCGAGCCATGTTCCATCTGACCGAGGAACCCGCTCTCTGCTTCGAGAGGATCCTGAACTTGAACCCAAGGCCATCTCAGCGCCATTTGCCGCCAATACAGACGACCCTTTGCCTAACGAGCCCAGCAAGGATGCCGTACCAGAAGACCCCATCGACCAATATCTTCTCCAAACCGCCCCTCCCTCTCAAGCCGTTTCTCAACTCGAAGCCTCGATCCAATCCGCTGTCCGCGCCAGGATGCTCTCCCTCTCAGCTGCGCTTGAAGCGGCCGCCACCTCGACCACTCAACGCGGCGACACAGCCATGTGGGAAGTCGTTGAGTCGCAGATATTCTCCCTCGCGCAACATTTCCAACCCCCAACCACTCAGCAGCTACGGCGGGAGCGCCAGCCATTCGGCGGAATCAGCAAATTCACCTTCTCGCGCGAGAAATCAGATAAGCCAAGCCAAATGATCGAGGCGGCAGAGCGGGCAGCAGGTCGATTAAGCCGGCCATCACCTTCAACCGCAGCTCCAGTACCGGGATCAACCAATCCTGCTCCTAGCGGTGCTATCACAGCGCCTGAGAACGCCAACGTCGCCATACCTCCACCCGCTGAACCGCTCCCGCACCACGACCTCCAAATCCTCCAACATATCTACCCGGCCGCCCTCCTGCTGGCACTGCGCCTGTACATCACGCACTTCCCCTCGTCGCCGTACGCGTTCCTCCTCCTCCCGCGGATCCGCGCCCTCGGCACGACGAGCTACGTCCTCGGTGCGAGTCCGCAGTTCTACAACAACCTGATGAGTCTCGTGTGGCTCGTCAGATCCAGTCTCCGCGAAGTGGACGGCCTGCTAGGCGAGATGGATCGCGGCGGTGTCGAGATGGACGAGGGCACCTACGCTGTGCTAGGCGCGATCGAGGAGGCTCGCACCGCGGATTTGGAGCGAGAGAAGAGGGCAGGGACGGACTCTATGCAAGGGGGAGACATAGAAGGAATGGCGGCGGTAGACGGAGAGGCAGAGGCAAACGCCTCGCGGGGCGCCGCCTGGTGGAAGAGGCAGGAGCAGATGCTCTTCTTCCCTCGAGTCCTGGACTGGTTGGACGTTATCGCCGGGCGACTTGCCGCGAAGGAGAGAGCAAGCGTGGTTTGAGTCCAAGACATGATAGATTGAGTCGATAGAGCCGATGATGGTTGCTCGCCGGGCTTCATAGATCGCTCGGTACCTAGATAGACGTGTCCCCTCCTTGGCGGCAGCGTCATTCGGAGTGACGGACTGGATTGTTGGAAGAAGATCTACAACTCCAGTACTCCGTACAGTGGGTTTTCATGAACGGTCGGCAACATTCGTTGGCAAAGAACCGCCTACTTTTCACTGCTTCGCACTTTCAAGACTCATGTATTCACAGGGCAAGTGCACAGTAAAGGCAGGGTAGGCAGTGTGATGGTCCGACACAGAGCAGGCTCACCAGCATGCCAATCTCAGATTCATTGCATTCTTCATTGCAACCTCATCCAAGAGGGCTCTGCCAACGGACGCTATCGAGACTACAATGATCCATTCATTCCTTTGTTCGTTCACTCATTTGTTCGTCCTTCGTCGAATCGAATCGACGAAGACATATCATTCAACACCGTGGAGCCGAATGTCCGGCTGGAGAGAGCTCACACTTCACGGACCGCCTGTCTTTTGCATCCCCTCCTCCCCTCCAGCTCTGTGTCCCGCCTTGGCTTGAGCTGTCGCTGAATCGCAACTTTTCTCCTTCCGCTCCATAATCATGATCACGGCCTTGAGATCTCTCCTGCCCGACAGTTCAGACCCTCGCCTTCTTCGCCTGGCTTGTTTCCAGGTAGACGTGGTCGCTGTCGTCACAGTTCTCTCGGCCGTCGTTCTCGTCGCCAGGTCCCATAGGAGCCTCCCGTTTCTTCCTAAACTCAGAAGTACGTTGTGTGCGTGATGATCTTGCTGGATCTGGTACTGGGACTGGGACTGGACATGGTTGTGCAGCTCGTGCTGGTTTCGTACCCGGCTCTTGATCACGAGGGGTTCGCTCGAAAGGCAGTTTCGTCGGCGATTTGACACAATGTTTGCGCGGAAGAGGCGACAGCGAAGTCTTCGAATCGTCCAACGCGCTCCAATATTCTTCTTCGTCGCTGGAGATCACAATCGTCTCATTCGGCTTGAAAGGCTGGCCTTGTCTGGACCTACCCAGCCTAGGTCTCTCTGTGGTCGTGATTAGCGAGGAACGACTCGTGATGTCCACCCTTGACATGTGCTGAGAGCCTCCCTGCTCTTCTTCCTCATTCTCACTATCTTCGATAACGCGCCGTGCTCGCCTAGTTCGAGCCACCGTGTCGACTGTGCTGTAGGCCAAGTTAAACGTGGATCGTGTTGTCTGCTCCAACGCACCGTCTCTGGTCGTAGTACTGGTGCTTGCGGGCGTCGAGATATTTTCGGGATAGCACGTGTCCTGGGCCGCTTTGACAGAGGAAAATGGTGCTTTATCTGCTCCTGATTCATCTCCTCCAGCACCTTGCTGCAAGGTCTCCAGCCATGCCTTGCCGAATTCGACACCCCAACCGTGGGCCAAAGCCCCGGGCACGCCGTTGCCTAATTGCTTGTGCTTCTGGACGATCGTCCCCGCGAGAAGGAATCCGTCCGGCACGCCCATCGCGCGACAAGTCTCGCGTAGCGAGATCAGGCGGTCCTGAGACGGGTGCACGACCTCTCCACCAGTTCGAGCCTCAAAGGGGTTAATCCCAGTCGTAATCGTCCGGAAGGGTTCGTCTTTCTTAATCCGCATCAGGACCTTGGACGACCGCTCTCTCTGGGTCGGGTTAAGACCGCGGAAGAACCTGTTCTCTGTTCTCGAAAGCTTGCTGCTGTAATACGCCTCGCTGAGAGAAGTGTCAATTTTCGGCACGAGGTTGCGAAAGCTGACATCCTTGTCCCAGTTGATTTTCAACCGCTTTAGTGGGATGTGATCCGGGTCCTCATGGTTCAGGACAGTATCATTATCGATGGGCTTGAGATCGCAGATCGCGCTCCAGGCGCTGCGAGGTTTGTACTCGCTACCAGGACGGTCTCGCCGGTGGTGGGTAATAGGGATTTCGTTCGGGAGAGTGGCGCCAGGTGCTGCGGCAACTATGAAGAGCCTCTCGCGCGTAGACACTCCACCGACCTCGCAGTCAACTCGAAACGATTTCCGCACTTGATAGCCGAGAGCCACAAGATGACAGATTGCTTGACGGCAGGAGTTCGGCCGTAACCGGTCCATATTGCCGACGTTCTCAATCAGAACATATGCCGGCATGAATACCTCAATCCATGACAGCATATTCGCGAGGATAGAACAGTTTTTCTGACTCTGATAGTTACTAGCCCCTTTGTGGTGGTTCAGCACACTGAAACCCTGGCACGGGCAGCCCGCGATGATACAATGGATTTGAGAAGGCAATGGCTTCGTCCCGGTCATATAATCTTGTAGTACTGGGTTGACAGAGTCAATGAGATACTCACACTGATCTGATCGATTATTGGCCATATGGCTCCGGGCTGCCATCTCGTTATGTTCGACAGCTAGGACTGTCTCAGCAAGACCGGCGTTGCAAAATGCATGATCGAGAAGACCAGCTCCGCTACACAAAGCGCACACCTTCATCTTATGGGCTGTAGATGGGTCAGCCGGATGTTCGCGAGCTAGCTTTTTGGTCCGTCTTGCACTCGCTCCTCGGGTCTTCTGACAATGGCAAGACAGCTCCGACTCGATAGCCTTGACATGAATTCCTCCATTTTGTCGATACAGACTGTGAATGAATAGCTGGGATCCTTCCTGAGCATGATCACTGAACGGTGTAGCCTTGACAATCTTGATAACGTTTCTCACCGATATAGGTTTGCAGTTACAGTCATCGCTGAAGAATAGTTCGTTGCCAATCGGGTAAAAGGTCTTGTCCTCTGAATTACCGCATAAGGTGTCTGTGGGTAGGACAAGCCACACCACGGAGAGAGTCGTATTCGAAACTGCTCTGACCCACGCATACCGGAAGTTGTACTCGTCCCAATCAGTAAGGGGGTCTCGAATAATAACGACAGCTCTGAGAAGTAGACTGGGGTCGCGAACGTGAACAGGGCTATTTTCGATGGCTGCTTCTTCAAGTAGGCCAGCAGCAATAGAGATTTTGTGCCGACCTGTGCCCTTGAAATTATCCCTCTGGGAGAATCCAAGCTTGTTGGGGAAATTCCACTTCCGCCTCTTGTCATCGGCATAGGCTTCGACCTCAGCACACTTCTCGACCACGTTCAACAGCCGATGTTGATCCCGCCAGCCTGGAAAAGGTTTGAGGAACGAGGATGCGACGTGGCGGGTAACGACTGTTTTCTCCCTCGACGAAATGGTTTCCCGATCATACGAGATTTCGCCTGCAGCGATTTCGTCCCAGACTGGGTGCGACAGTCTTGGGTTATCACCATCACCTTTCTCTTGCAGGTGACACACGCGTTCGCGCAGGAACTGTGCATAGTACAGGACATACTGGCGAAAGTCCTTCCGTTCTCCGCACTGTCTATGCCAGTCCGAAACCTTGGACCCATGTACCTCTTTTACCCATGTCCAGAAGCTCGATTCGAATGCCCTAAGGCAGACTGACACACCAGTAGCCAGGTTAACATGGAGGAAGTCGATAAAGTATTTTGTGAAGTCGGCCAACCAGAGATAGCTCGACCAGTACCGTTCGTAGGCTTTCGACGGTGTCCGTAACTTATACCAATAGTGTCTTTTTTGGCCTTCTGTGGTCAGGACCCAAATAAACTCAGCGGCAGAGTGTTGTGTTTGATCCTCCAAGGCGCCAATACTGACATCCACGATTGCGCCTCGGATAAAGGACCTTCGATTCTCTGCACTTTTTATGGTCCCGTCGATGAACCAGTCGGTATCATCTCGACACGACGTGACGATATGCAGAGACTCGTAGCGACCTTCTAGGCCATCGCGTTCTTTAGCGCCAGAACACGTCGTAGACGACTGGTAGACGCAAAAATCTTCCAATTCAAACTCGAAGAAGAAGGCACTGTCTTTGAGACCAAAGTCATCTTCGTTGTCCTCATTTGTCTGGCCGCGATCGAGATCGATAAAGTCGCTCGAGATCTGCGACTCTGGACTGTAGGAAGGTGCGACTTCAGAAGGGCCGATGGTGGAAAACCGGGGCGGGTAGGACCGTCGCACCTCTTCTGCCGACTCTAAATCCCTGAGTGCTCTTTTGAGTGTAGTCTCTTGCTCCTCGTGATGACAGTCTCGAGAACGGGGTAAACTTCTTGATAGATTCCCTCTGGCATTCCTCAAAGCAGCCCTGCGAGGCGCAGACAGGACTACACCACCCTTCGCGGCCAAGCTACCTAACTCTTCTGGGTCTGTCTCGCCTTCGGAAGAGGTGTTCAGGCTTGCGCTGGCTTCGGTATATTCGTGAACGCTTGGTGGTTCGTCATCCGGTTCCTGAAATTTGGGCATAATTTCTGTTTGCGATAGACTCAGTGATGAAGGCTTTGCGAGGGCGATAGAATTGAGTTTCGGAGCGTAAAGGCTGAAAAGGTCAACTGAATGTTGTGATAGCTGAGTAAGTCTCGCTTGAGGATGAAGTGGCGGACGTGTGCGGAACGTGTATGGATGTAGCGCAGCTGAAGGTTGGCGAAGTTGGACGTGACTCGACAATGAGTTGAAATCAAGTTGAGACTGGGATTATCACTAGCTTATTGCTGAGAGAGGGCGGAAGTGAACGAAGAAGTTGGGAAGACGATGATTTCGGATCGAGCGAGGTTTGAGGGTAAGCTCTACCAGTCTCACAAGAGTGATACCGGCACTGTGTTGTAGGTTCTTCGCTGCTCCGTTAGATATCTGTTCCTGTGGTCTTCAGGACAGAGGTCTTCTCCGGAAATGGTAGCATAGATGATGGACAGAAGAGGTGGAAGTCACAGAAAGAGTGGAAAGACTGCCTTGCTTGCAAGTCAAGCAACGGCCTCGCGAGTTGAGTGAGTGCGATGTTTGTGAATATACAAATGACGGTGCTCCGCAAATGATTGTAAAGTAGAAATAGGTCTGGTCTCGTCGTTGACACCGCCCAGACGGAGAAGCGATGGATGCGTTGGTGTATTGGGTCGATGAGCCCGGTCTGAGGCAGGGCTCACACGAACAAACGCTTGTCCAATTTGACAAAGTCGTCCTAGTATAGCCATCTGCGGCATATCTTCGTCGTTTGGGCCTAGAGGACAAAGAGGTAGTAGTATTCATTGAGTTAGCGGACGAACTGTAACGGTGGCGCTTACTTGCGGTCCAGGCCCCAGGTTCAATGCCCTCCTCGCGCAATTACCCTGCCAATGCACCTAGGGAAGGCATAGGGCCGTACTCGTCAGTCAGGATAAAGCGAGTTTGCAATGAGTTTTCCATTGAGAATGCTAACCCCTGGATGGATGGGCATTGCCGAAATAACGTTGTTGCTCGTACATGCTCTGGTATCTCGCGATTAAAAGTCATAAAAACCCTGCGTCAATTGTCTGCTCTGCTTCGTCAACTGTCATGGCCTTCGTCATCTGCATGCCCGCGTTCTCCAGCCCTGCCTCTCCGTCGCGAGGAAGAACTCATCAGATGAAAAAGCTTCGATGGACCGTCTCGGCTACTCGGTTGGGGCCTTCTAGTTTCTTCAACCATATCACCCCCTTCAGTAGAAGACACTGACTCTGGTGCCCGATGGGGAAAAGGGATTCGTCGATCCCATTGAGATTGGGAACTTGAAGGGGTAGTATCTCCTTCTCCGCCGACGACGGGAGAAGGTTCAGGATCCCTGTATTCCTGTTCCGTAACAGTATCCGCCGTGGGTGGTAAGGCTGTAATACTGCTATTTCTATTGGACCTCGTGAGGGATTCGTCGAAAAGCTGGCTGTTGTTTGGGATCGACTTCTGCTGATCCGTGACGAGTCGCTGCCACGTATGCTCGGACCTTTCGTCGGGCCTTTCAGCTTGTTCCGCAGCCTTCAGGCATTCTTTGGTCTTCCGGGATAGCTTCACGCATTCCGCGTGGAAAGCATGGACGGCATCATCATCAGTTACATCACCGATGTTTTCAGGTGCACTGCAGGGGTGTTAGTCTCTAGGGATGTGCCAGTAAAACCACAGCGGTCATCTCTGGCCAACCCAGTGACAGTGCCTTCAGGGATTACTTACTGTGTGGTCCACAGATCAACCATTTGCGCGAGTACTGCATCGACGTTAGCGTCCAAGAAATCAGATCGCGACTCCCTGCCCGTGAGATGCCTCTTTGCACGAAGTCAGCGTTTAGAGATGACTCACGCTTGGCATGATCCAACAGAAAAGGAAGACTAGGTAAGCCTTCTCGGGACAATGCTGGAAGTCGGCTACGTATTTGGTTTGGCGCGGCATACTGAGGCTCGAGCCTGGCGGAGGCTATTTGAGATGAGCTTACGCCACAGATTTCGTCGATGAAGGATCTGAATTGGTTTGTTGAAGCGGCCAGGAACTTGTTCATGGGCTCCATCCATGGTTCCTTGGTCCCGAACCGGCCCAGGCTGGCAAGAACGTTCAGCGACTTGGCGATCAGGGTGAAAGTTCTTTTCGTGCGATCCGGCGGGTGGTCTCGAAACCACGTTAGCACGGGCCAGGCAGGGGTGCAACAGAATACTCACCATGAATAAGACCATGAAGCTTCGGATTAAGGATGGCGGGACAAAAGAAGCGGAGGAAAAGGAAACCAGAAACGCTCGTATACTTGACCGTCCGGATGAACGACCCATAACGATCCTCGGCGCAAGAGCGTACATGGCGGAAGATAACTCGCAGGTCCATGGGGCATCGGGATGCTGACACGTAAATGGACTTCCAGACTTCGCTGCTAAGGAATATCAAGTTTGCCCAATTCTTGTCGAGCTGCTCCTGGGACCGCACTCTGTTCGGATCGACTTCGCAATCGGGATCTCTTTCCACAATCTTGCGCAGTTTCTCGCCCAAAACCTCTTCCATGTAGTCTTTGCCTAACCGTCGCATATGGGCGTCAAGTGCTTTCGTGACGAGTGAGTTGCCGCGGAAAAGTAGGTTAGCCTCCATGGTGGCCGACCGACTGAGGTCCCGGACCAGCATTTCTCTTTGCTCAGCAGACTCGTACGAGTCATTAGAGTGAATGCGCCCGCTGAACCTCATCCGCATGGGTGGCATATCTCTATTGGTCCCGTCGATCTCTTCTTCCACGAGGTTTTTAATCCATTCATTAGCCGCTCCAGTAGCTTGGAAAATGTCGAGCAATATGTCTGACAGTTCTCGTAATTCAGGTCCGAGTAGGTGAGCAATCTGTGTCGTCAGTCCATTGCCGTAGGTATTCAGCATGGCTGAAAGCTCCTTGTACTCCTCCTCCATCAAGATGACGGTCTCCCGAAGTGACAACTTGGCCAAGATCTGTCCAACAGAATGGTCATTGTTGTCCAACAGCGGCCACCACTGATCGATCGTACCGGTGTGTTCCAGCTCATCGATAGAGATGTCCACGCGTCCAAAAATGGGGTCATGAGAGGATATTTCCAACCCTCCCAGTCCAGAGAGGTACCCTGCATCGGCGGAGATGTCGTAGAGGCTGTCTGCGACCATGGTCCATTCTTTTTCAGCAGGATTCCCCAGCTTGACTGCAACGGTGATTTTCGACAGAGCAGCCGGTATATCCACCAGGTTGAATTCTTCCGCCCAGAACGCAGGCGACACATTCTGCTTGGTTGTCGTCCGGGCTCTCAAATCCTTACCGAGCATGATCTCGGCGTAGACTCCTTCTTTGCTCTGATCGGCCTTGGCAGACTTGCCTTTCGCCTTGCTGTGGTCGAATGTGTCTTTGGGTGCGGACCGTTGTGCGAATTTCGCTTCCGTGAGTTTAATGGACAATGAGCGTTCTATACGAAACATCCCTTGTGTGGGAATATTGTTCCCATTAGATGATGTCTGTGGCTGGATTTGGCTGTCTTCAGCAGAGAAGTGTTCCGGGCCGTACAGTTCTGGCACCGTCAGTGCTCGCAGGAGGACAAACCAGGCTTCGAGCGCCACGTTCGACTCTAAGCAGAGCACCATTGGTCTCGACAGTCTCACGGCGGGTGTTTCTATCCGATATTGTGGGTAGACTGCAATGCAGTGTGGCATTCGCAGCACACTCTCGTCTAGCCTTTGGATTGCACAACGGGATAATTGTGACAGTGGTGTGACTGAGAGCACTCTGTTGTCAACTTCGCTGAGGAGGCGAAACGTGCCGTTCTCGTGGAGAGTGCAGCTCACTCTGCGCCAAAGGTAGTTCTCCTCCGTCATCGATCGCCCAAGACTACTGGGTGACGCTTCTAATTGGGAACCTGAGGGTAATGGCCCATCCCACAGGAGCATCTTTCCGACCTTGACGATAGCCGTAGCCTTCGGGTTGGTGAGGTCGGAGAGCCGTCTCTGCGATACTGGCTTCTTCTCCGTCATGCTGATCGACTGAGGCTTGGTCATTTTGTTGTGTATCCCTTTCGGTCTCAATGGCTGCCAACAAAGTAGCGCTGCGAGCCACGAGTCGAATGTTTCCGGCACGGGAGGTCGGAGTTGATATCCGGTGCCCGAAGATGCAATAATCACACTCAAATAGGTGCTTTGTGTCTCGTGATCGTAATGGGTTCTAACAGTGCAGCCTCGCAGGTCGGGTATCAATGTCCTAGATTGATGCACTTCGCCCTTGGTCTGACACACTAGGCTGCCAGGCGCAACATTGATGGCACAGTAACCCGACGCCCAGGCCGTCGTGTGCAGTTGTCTGAAGAAAAGAATGCCATGCATTCTACCGCAAGTTGTCTTCATAAGATGGAGGATCTTACTGGAGTCAATATCGAGCAGGTTGGGGGAGCGCAGACTGCTCGCACTCATACCCAGAGAATTGTCAGGCGAGAACGGCCGCCGCGGCGTCCGTGGAGGGTTGTGCTGATCCATTAACTCAGGACTCTGTACCACGGACGGAAATCCGATGGAGCCATGAGTGTGGGCCTCCTCAGGAGGCATGACCGGGAGTGGTAGGCCCGTCGCAATAGAACCAAGTCTTTTCCGAGTTTTGGTGATGAAGGAGCCCGGTGAGGCATCTAAAGTGGGTTCTTCGTTTGTACTCGTCCTCATTTGCGCCCGCCTCCTTCTCTTGTCAACGGCAGTCTCTTCTTCATTATTTGAGGCAGATGCTGAGGTCTCCCGCCTTCTTTGCGAATGTCTTGTGCGTGTCGGTTGTAGCACGGGAGAGTGGATAGGGTGGGCCTCGAAAGAGTCGGCACGAGGAATGATAAGGTCGGGAGTCACGGCGCGAATGGTATGTTGTTCAGTCTGTTCAAACACCATGCCATGTCTATCCCGCGAAGATGCCTGCCTGCTCGACCGCCGTTGCTGCATCGTTTGTGGCCTTGCTTTTCTTTGGCTCGCGACGCTCGCCGGCTCTTGGCGATCATGCGGCTTCATTCTCGGTAAACACGGCGCTGCAGGCCTCGCCTCGACGACGGATCTCTGACCTTCTCAGTGGCTGTCACGATAGCCACTGGGTCGTTCTGTTCTCGCCGACGAGACTGTGCGCAGTCGCCGGTTGCGCCGAGTTCCTTGGACAGACGCCAGCCAGGATGCAAGCTGAGCAAGTGCGCATTGCCGCAGACGGCTCGAATAGTGACACTAGGCAATGAGCAGGCGTGGAAGGGGTATCAGCCGCATTGGAAACAGGAGGGTGTCTGCAGGCGTTCGATGCGACGCAGGCCAGTGAGTGAATGCAAGGTGTCGCTCGAACGGGCGAGGCAGGCGCAAATGTTAGAAAAGCTCGAGCTGAGGAGCAGAGCGTGAAATAGGGAGAGTGTATGCAGGTACGCTGCAATGCGACTGTCGAGCCAAGTATTTGTGTTGCCACCTGAGAAGATCTTCAAGTAGTGTAGGGGTGGTCAGGTCGGGGGACGCCAGCATCCAACTTCGTCCAGTCTGCAGGGTGTTGGTGGGATTACAACGGCCAACAGTGGAAGGGAAAGGAGTGCATCTGCAGCATCAAGTGTGGGGTCGATGCAGCCACGAACCACGCCTCGGGAAATCCCTTGGTTCTGGAAAATATCCGTTGCGGAAAATTAAAACTCCGAGATCACATGACAAAAACTGGTGACTAATTAAAGTTTGCCCTCAGTTCAACTTCATCTCGCTGTCGCCCGCGAATGTGCAAGCAGCCTCACCACCGACCACCTCAATCCCGACCCCTGCCGCTCTGAAAGATGTCGGACGGTACGCACTCACCATTCTTGCTTCTGAGAAACGCGCTAACAGCTCTGGCAGCCGACTTCGAGACCGTGCGGCGTCTGCAGGCGGAGCGCAACTCCCAAGCCGCAGGCAAGAAAGGTTCAAAGGCCTTCGACCCATCAACTCAGCGGACTGACTCATCCACCAAGGCGTCTGTGACTGAGAGCTTTGACACCACTCTCTACGACCGAGATGGCGGCGATAAGTACGCCGGGTACCACACCTCCCTTCCCGCGGATGGCGAAGACGACGACATGCCCGATGCGGACGATAGCCGGAGACTCGTCGGACAATACACGGCCACCAAGGACCAGATGAATGAATTTGCGACCGGAGGTGCAGAGGAAGAGGATATCTTGCTTGGCCGTGAGAAGTCCGCCAGAATAGCAGACCGCGAATCTGACTACCAGAAGCGAAGATTTGATCGAGGCCCGCTCACTCCCACTCGAGCCGATCCCTTCGCTGCCAACAAACATGCCGCTGTCGCAGACGGTGCCACCTACCGTGAGGTCATGCAGTTACAAGACCTTGAGCGCGAGGAAGAACGGGTCAAGAAACTCATTGCTGACAAGCAGGCCGCGGGTGATGATTCCGTAGAACATAAACCCACTTTGAAAGAAGAAGCAGACAAGGAAAATGCCGATGCTGGTTCAACCGTCGAAGCCACGGGCCGGAAGCGAAAGAAGAGGTGGGATGTCTCCAGCGAGTCCACCCCTGCACCAAACGATGCCGATGCAAAGAAGCGTTCAAGATGGGACCAAGCCCCAGGACCAGATACGGCGCCAGCGCCAACCAAACGCTCGAGATGGGATCAGGCGCCTGCGCTCGGTTCCGCTACGCCTATCGGGAATGCTGGACTGGCTACACCAGTTCCAGGAACGTTTGGAGAGATCTCCGCCCGAAGTGCGCCCTGGTCAGACGAAGAGCTGGATATGATGCTTCCTACAGAGGGCTACACTATTCTTGAACCACCACCTGGGTATGCACCTCTCCGACATATCGCGAGGAAAGCAATGCCTACGCCTGCGCAAGCAGCCAGTACAGCCGGCTTTGGTGGGTTTATGATGCAAGAACCAGAAAACCCGAGGATGATGGGCAAACAATTGCCGACCGAAATCCCTGGCGTTGGAGATCTTCAGTTCCTTAAGGCTGAGGATATGACCTATTTCGGCAAGCTCGTCGACGGAGCAGACGAGAACGCCATGTCTGTCGAAGAATTAAAAGAACGCAAAATCATGCGTCTGTTGCTCAAAGTCAAGAATGGAACGCCACCTATGCGAAAGACTGCCCTTAGACAATTGACGGACAACGCCAGGCAATTCGGGGCCGGACCCCTATTCAATCAGATCCTACCGCTACTAATGGAAAAGACATTGGAGGACCAAGAACGGCATCTACTCGTCAAGGTTATTGACCGTGTCCTCTACAAGCTGGACGACCTGATCAGACCCTATGTCCACAAGATTCTGGTCGTCATCGAACCGCTCCTCATCGACCAAGACTATTATGCCCGTGTCGAGGGTCGAGAAATCATCTCGAATCTCGCCAAAGCGGCAGGTTTGGCGCACATGATTAGCACAATGAGACCAGATATCGACCACGTGGATGAATATGTTCGAAACACAACGGCTAGAGCGTTTGCCGTGGTCGCTTCGGCTTTGGGCATTCCCGCCCTCCTTCCCTTCCTGCGCGCAGTGTGTCGAAGCAAGAAATCATGGCAGGCTCGCCACACTGGTGTCAAGATTGTCCAGCAAATCCCTATCCTGATGGGCTGTGCTGTGTTGCCACATCTGAAAGGCCTTGTCGACTGCATCGCGGACAACCTCAGTGATGAACAAGCCAAAGTGAGAACAGTTACTTCCCTGGCGATTGCCGCCCTTGCCGAAGCTGCCAACCCTTATGGCATTGAGAGCTTCGATGATATCCTCAACCCTCTATGGACTGGGGCACGAAAGCAACGTGGCAAAGGTCTGGCAGGCTTTCTGAAAGCAGTCGGCTACATCATCCCCCTCATGGACGAAGAGTACGCCAATTACTACACCAGCCAGATCATGGAGATCCTGCTCCGAGAATTTGCCTCGCCCGACGAAGAGATGAAAAAGGTCGTGTTGAAGGTCGTATCCCAATGCGCGAGCACCGATGGTGTCACGGCCGGCTATCTCAAGGAACATGTACTTCAGGAGTTTTTCAAGTCCTTCTGGGTCCGCAGAATGGCATTGGACAAGAGAAACTATCGGCAGGTCGTCGAAACCACGGTTGATCTCGGCCAAAAGGTCGGCGTGAGCGAGATCGTCGAGCGTATCGTGAACAATCTGAAGGACGAAAGTGAGGCCTATCGCAAGATGACTGTCGAAACGATTGAGAAAGTCGTCGCCTCGTTGGGTGCAGCAGACATTGGCGAACGTCTCGAAGAACGGCTCGTGGACGGCATCTTGCACGCCTTCCAAGAACAGAGCATCGAGGACGTGGTCATGCTCAACGGCTTCGGTACTGTGGTCAACGCGCTCGGAACGCGGTGCAAGCCATATCTCCCACAGATCGTCAGCACAATCCTGTGGAGATTGAATAACAAGTCTGCCACGGTACGCCAACAAGCTGCAGATCTCATTTCGCGAATCGCAATGGTCATGAGGCAGTGCGGCGAGGACGCGCTTATGGGCAAGCTTGGTGTTGTCCTGTACGAGTACCTGGGCGAAGAATATCCCGAAGTCCTCGGCTCAATCCTGGGCGCGTTACGATCCATCGTCACCGTCGTGGGCATCAACCAGATGCAGCCCCCTATCAAAGACCTTCTGCCACGATTGACGCCGATTCTGCGAAATCGCCATGAGAAGGTGCAAGAAAACACGATCGACCTGGTTGGCAGGATTGCAGACCGGGGGCCGGAAAGTGTCAATGCGCGGGAGTGGATGCGCATCTGCTTTGAGCTTCTGGATATGTTGAAGGCACACAAAAAAGGCATCCGCCGCGCCGCAAACAACACATTTGGCTTTATCGCGAAGGCCATCGGTCCTCAGGATGTTCTCGCCACGCTCCTGAACAACCTCAGAGTGCAAGAACGGCAATCGCGCGTCTGCACTGCTGTAGCTATTGGGATTGTTGCAGAGACGTGCGCGCCCTTCACCGTCCTCCCTGCGTTGATGAACGAATACCGCGTGCCTGAACTGAACGTGCAGAACGGCGTGTTGAAGTCCCTAAGCTTCCTCTTCGAATACATCGGCGAGATGGCAAAGGATTACGTCTACGCGGTCACGCCCCTTCTCGAAGACGCACTCATCGACCGCGATCAAGTCCACAGACAGACTGCTGCGAGTGTCGTCAAGCACGTCGCACTCGGCGTGGTAGGATTAGGCTGTGAAGACGCCATGGTCCACCTTCTCAACCTTCTCTACCCCAACCTGTTTGAGACGTCGCCGCACGTCATCGACCGGATCATCGAGGCCATCGAAGCCATCCGCATGGCCGTGGGAACCGGAATTGTCATGAACTACGTCTGGGCGGGCTTGTTCCATCCAGCGAGGAAGGTCCGCACCCCATATTGGCGCTTGTACAATGACGCGTATGTGCATAGTGCGGACGCGATGGTGCCGTACTATCCGAATATGAAGGACGAGGGCTTACCCAGGGATGAATTGTTTATCATGGTGTAAAATGGGGCGAAGTGCGATCGCACAGCCGGTCGTACGCCCTGCAGGAGCTAGGTTCCGGTCCAGCGAGTTGAGATTTCCAACATATGTCTTTATAGCTGAGCTTGCGGTAGTTGAAGTCAGCGTGTGCTTCCAAGAGTGCCGTTGTACAATGCAATTCATTGCATATCCCAGGGAAGTTCCAAACCCGTCCGACCTGCTTGTTATTGTAGTGAAGAAAAGGAAATAGAAGGCTGTACTGTCGTCTGGGTCGGAGCTCTCGGAACTGGACTGAGCCAGAGAGCCATGCGGCGTCGGCCAGCTATTCGTGTACATTGACATGGTTTGAAGATCCATAACACGTCGAGGAGTCGAGGCTGAAGTCCAGCGGCAGCCTTGCCAAGGTGGATTACGAGCGATATCCGCTGCAGACCCATTCATTTTCTCTGCGTAGCTTGATGTATCCATCTTTGATGACATCCGCCCGGTCCAGGAGGTCAGGCTGGAGTGTGTATTCTCATGTGCAGCCACGGCGAACAGTCATGCTTCGTTAGTCTCCGCCTCGCGCAGACAACATACTGATAAAGTGTCGAGGCAGGCAGAAAATCCTGGTACATAGATACTCCAAACTTAGGACCAAGTTTCTGAAAAGCGCCATCAAGCAACATGATCCAAGTCTCCGGCGAAGAAAGTTGATTGTCACCCAACAATCCCGAGGAGGTTATAGAGAGCCGGGATTTCTCATGGCCAAGGAACAGCTACTGCCGCTCGACCGCGAAGAAACGTGAGCTCTGATCAACACAATGGCATCAAGTCGTCAGGCATCGGTACCAAAGATGGTTGACCGTCCTGTCTTCACTCTCAACTCTCAACTCGGGACATAGAAGCGTGTAGGGCGGCAATTCAATGCTCAATCTATGTACAGTACCACCCGGCGAAGTCCGCAGATGTTTCCCAACATGCAGTGCATTTGCGGAGATGGGCTCAATACAAGTGACGAGCATTTCTTTGATATACTCCATACGGAGTACTTCAGATTCACCAGACAGGGCGCCACACCATCGACAGGCTCCGACCTTGGCATACTTGAGATTCGCGGTACATTTCACCAGCAGGACCGAGACCATCATGACAATGGCCTCAATAGAGGCGAGCAGCAAACCCTTCATAGTCTCGCTGGGCGACCCGAAGTACGTCGGCGAGGAATTCCTCCAAGACTTCACGCGAGACTTTGACTTTGAGGTCCTCCCGGCGACGAACCGCAGAGAAACGCAAGAATTACTCCCTCGGCTTGTAGCCAGGGGTCGTCGTGTCGATGGCTTCATCATCCGCATGGGTATGTTCGGTCGATTTCAGCTTGCAGAGGAAACAGGAAGCAAGGATGCGGACCCGTGGGGTTGTCGTGTCGTGTCGTGTCGTCTTGTGTTATATATATCATGTTATATCTTGTGATATCTTGTGATGTTGTGCCGTGTTGTGCTCATGCGAAACAACCACCTGACAGGCACGATCCCGTACGAGCCGTTCGACGAAGACCTCCTCGGCGCCCTGCTCCCCGGGTGCAAGATCATCGCGTCCGCGTCTGCAGGATACAACGAATTCGACGTCGACTGGATGACGCGCAACAACGTCTGGTGAGTGAGTCCCCAGGCTCCTGACAGACCCGCGCAACGTCCCCGGCACTGATTCTGCGCTGGTTCTGCAACACAAGAGATGCCGTCGCCGAGGCCACGGCCGACATGGCCATGTTTCTCGTCCTGGCGGTGCTCCGCGACACGACCAGGGCAGAGAAGAGCCTCCGATCCGGCAGCTGGAAGCACGGCCTTGTGCCGAGTAGAGACCCGACGGGCTTGACGCTGGGGATAGTAGGAATGGGGGCGATCGGAAAGGTGTGTGCGATATGCCTGCATGCACGTACGCACGCACGCACGCACGCACGCACGCACGCTATTCACCCTCCATCTCTCGGCATTCCCCCCCCCCCCCCCCTTCGTTCGGAGCGTACCAACGGCTGACGAAGCGGACTCGGACATCTATAGTATACCGCGCGCAAAGCGGCGGCGTTCAACATGCACATCAAGTACCACAACCGGCACCAACTCTCGCGCGACGTGGAGAAGGAATACAACGCGACATACTCGCCCACACTACACGCCCTGCTCTCGGCCAGCGACGTGGTCTCCATCTCGTGCCCGCTCACCGCGGACACCACGAACCTGATCTCCCGCGCCGAGTTTGCGGCCATGAAACCCGGCGCGTATCTCGTCAACACGGCGCGCGGGGCCATCGTCGACGAGGACGCCCTGATCGAGGCGCTCGAGTCCGGCCGCGTCGCTCGCGCAGGCTTGGACGTGTTTCCCAACGAACCGCACGTCAATCCGTATTTCCTGGCCAGCGACAAAGTCGTCGTCCAGCCTCATATGGGCGGGCTGACGGACGTGGCGTTCGGCAAGTCGGAGCGCGAGTGTTTTGAGAATGTGAGGTGTTTGTTCCGCACGGGAAGGCCTGTTGCGCCGGTGAATGAGGTTCCGGCTAAATGACCGCCGCGAGAAACAATAAATCAAGGGTATGATCAATTCGGTGTGCATGGATTGATTGAGATGAGTTTGTAGAGTATACAGACTCTGTTCTCGCGGTAGCTCACTTTATCCTCTGTGGCTGCAGATCTCGCGCCGAAATGGCACCACCTCACCACGGGGGTAGGACATTTTTGCCACAAGATACTTCTGAAGATGGTGCACGTTGTGGCTAAGAACCAGACGGCTTAATGAGGGGTTTCTAGTTCATTTGAAATGTCTACGTCCGTACCTACTGCCCTTACGATCACGGCCGAAATTGGATGACCCGTCCTTCATACACAGTGTTAAGCACGGTAACCGTGCCGAGTACACTTGGTATGAAAATTGAAAGTGCCCATCGGCCTTCAGAATAATCCCCCAAATGTCATTATAATCGCTCCAAGCGATGATAGCCTCTACCTGAGAAATTGTCCTCCACCTCACGTATTGGACGCCCCGTTTGGATTTCCTTGGACGAGCTGTCCGCACGGCCCATTCATCACGACGAACCTATTCCCGGTGGTCCTGTTGGCGGTGAAGAACCCAGCCTGCGTATGCGAGCAGGTTGCATTGGCGTAAGCCGCAGTCGATGACCGGTACAGCGTGCACTTGTTGGTCGTTGCCAAGTTGTCAAAGTACGCAAAGTCACACGAGTCGGTGGCATCCCTGTGAGTGAGTGTAATGTGTCAGACTTGGTTTCGAAAGATCGGAACACGGATAGTTGAACTCACTGGCAGATTGTGCAGCACTCGTAGCTGGAGGTGGCGTTGGTGCCTGATCCGACGTTGGCACGGTTGTTATCAACGACTCGGTTGATGTAGTTGCCGGCTGAAAGGCGGGGCCCGAGAAGATTGTTGGTCGCGCAGGCGGCGTAGGTTGTTCTGATCGCCGTGTAGTTGCTTTGGGTGGTCGTGATGGTCGCAACGGTTGTCTCTGCCTGCACAGTAATAGCTCGGGTCAGATTCTGTCTTGTGGTGAACGTCGATATCACTGTCGAATTGACTGGTCTGTCGGGGACGCCTGCATATACTCGTTAGCTTGGCGGCAGGAAGAGGAAAAATGACTATTGAAACGAGGCGATCTGAAGAAAGAAATAGCTCACCAATGATGTCTGTGATGGTAGAGGTAGTCGCCGAGGTTACTGTAGCTGCAGGTCTCTGAGTGCTCGTTCTGGTGGAAGTCACGAAAACGGTGGAAGTCGTCTGCGGCGCTAGACGTGTGACGATAGAAATGAGAGATATGAATGTGGCATCAGGGGAAGATCCGGAGTCCTGTCTAGGTAGTAGCATATCTTCTTCCTTTTCTGCACCGCGCTTGGACGTCCTATTGTAATTGTAGTTCCCGGCACTGTCCTGCACAGGAACGAAGCCAGTAGGTGTGGGAATCGTGACCACGCTCTCGGTCAGGAGCGTGGTGCCGGTCGTGGCGGTGACATTGATATACTCCGTTGAGGTTGTATTGATAGTACTATACTCGGTAGTCGTGAAGTTGCTCGAGAAAGTATTGGTGGTTGCCCGAAAGGTGCTTGTAACATTCAGAGTGCTCAGGTACGTAAGGGGCACCACCGTCGTGAAGCGAAGAGGACTGGTGGTAATCACTCTGCTGGTGGTCGTATGAGTTGTTGTGTCGAGTATTTTCGTGACGCCTGCATCGTTAGCATCGAGGGCTCGAGTCGAGACAGGTCGAACGGCAACTTTGAAGGGACACTCACGGATAGTCTTCGTAGTGGTGGGCGCTGTAGTAGCATAAGCGGTGAAGGTGCGCTCGGTTGAAGCTGTGGTGACTCCATCGTTCTCTTGGGCAAGGGAGAAAGGAATGGTGGCGGCAAGGATTGCCAGTGACTGGAAAGAGAAAAACATAATTACAAGGATTGGTGGATGCTGTAAGGTTTCAGCCAAAGGAGTGACTTCGGGGTTGGATGTCCTGCGGCACTGATGAGCAGCTGAGGCTGTTCAGATATACTCGTCGAGGCCCTCACGCAGGATCAGAGCCTTGAGATTAGATTGCAGCGCGCTGGCCATCTCACGGTCCGTGGCCACATCAGAGTCGTTGCGAAACGCTTCTGCCCCAACGTGTGGGCTAGAAAGCGGTCCGCGCAGGACCGAGGAATGTATGTACAGATGCAACATCGGTCAAATGTTAGTACGCGCCGTGCGCGAAAGTACACAGCTTTTTGTCCGTCAGTGGAGCAAGTGCGTGGCGATACAGGTATCGCATTCGCTCAACAAGCCTTCATCCTCGTATGATTGATATGCCGATGCTGAGATCAGACTTCCCCTACTTACAAAATCTTGCACAAACGCTCACCACGGTCTGCCGTATAGGGGTTTGAAAATGTCGAGGAGGTCAGAGTTGACCATGTTGAGGGGTGAAAGTTGATCACGTCGAGAGGCGCAAGTCGATCACGTCGAGAGGCGAAAGTCGATCGTGCGTGATCGTGTCGAAGGTGAAAGTGAAGGGGGAATCATGAGCTCGGAGCCGGCGAAAGGTTTCTGCGGCAACTTTCCCCTTTGCTCAATCGAGTGAGCTCCGGTTCAGCAATAAACATGCCCATGAATGTACACAGTATGTGCAAAAGCACATTGGATCGAAAAGTACTATCTCAGCGTCGAATTCACTGCCACTCAACACGACAGCCTCACGTCCTGATTCAAGGTCGTCGGAACTGCCTTCCCTCCTATCAAACGCCTATCCTAGGACATGATTAGTTTTGTGTTCTCACGGCAATATCAGATCGTCCTCTTCCCTGTTTGAGCCCGATATTATATCTGCCATCTGCACCAGACTTATTGACAGCCCTAGATATATTGACCAGCTCTAACAAGTCAAGTTACGTGATTGGGACCTCTCCTGCACTGCTTAGTTCACCGGGGGGTCGCGCATCGCAAGTGTGTTACACATGGTATCGTCTATACGTGGATAAATTCCCTACAAGTAAGTGAAGCACGGCGTCCCAGTAACGCAGACTGCAAATCCAAGGTCAAGTTCAACTTTTGCGCCTGTGATATTGACAACAGATCATATGTATCAACTTGTATCAAGCCATGTCACACAGCATCTCAGATCTCCAAACCGCCTTGTCCTCGTCGCTTTTCCCGCAACTCACTGTTGGCATCTTCCTACTGTTCGTGGCATGGCTAGTTTATCGACGCTTCGGCGCCATGGAGCGGGTTGCGAGTGTCCCTCCCGTGCACGGCGCCCACATCGCGGCCTCAGCAACGGCGCTGGACACGCTCACGTCCACGGCGCAAGATCATGCTCTCCTGCCCGTGGAACACATCCACGCCGGGGCTGCTGTGAAGCACTCGCATATCTGGCTGGCGAAGTACATCCCCGACCCGGTGCTCCACGAGTACGAGAACCGCCACCACGTGGGAAACTACGTGATGGACCGGGTGACGGGGGAGAAGACGTTCGAGCAGATGAGCATCTACGTGCGGGTCGGGATGCATCTGCTGTACTACGAGTCGCGACAGGCGCAAATACTGCACGTCAAGCGGGTGCAAGAGGTCCTCCGGAGAGCAGAGCGTCAAGATGGACCGGGCGTACAACTCGCCATTTTTTGGACGGCTTCCAGCTCTGGGACAGCATGCGGGAGATGACAAAGCCGGACCCGGAGCACTACGAGACCTCTAACGAATTCTTTGCGCGCGGGATCGGCCCGGACGCGCGACGCCGTGCACGAGTCGGAGGACGAGCTCGTCACGTCGTCGCCGGCCGATTGTCGCTTGACGGCCTTCCCCACCGTCGACCTCGCGACCAAGTATCGGATCAGGGGGTTTGGCTTCACGCTGAGAGACTCCTCGGCGATGCCCATCTCGCAGAGTACTTCGACGGGGGCACAGTCTCGTGATCGCGAGGCTGGCTCCGCAGGACTACCACCGTTGGCATGCGCCCGTCACGGGGACGGTCGACTATGTCAAGAAGATCCCCGGCACGTATTACACGGTCAATCCGCAGGCGATCAGCCAGGAGGGCACCTTGAACGTGTTTGTCGAGAACCGGAGGGACGTCATGATCATGCACCAACCCGTCACAGGGAACAAGGTCGCCGTTGTCGCGGTCGGCGCAATGCTGGTGGGGAGCATCAAGAGGAATCCTGGCATGGAGGAACCGGGCAAGACCATGAAACGGGCCGATTGTCAGGGCGCGTTCCAGTGCGGAAGGCAGCACCGTCATCGTAGTATATCCCAAAGGTGAGGTGGTGCTGGATGAAGTTTTGGTCCGGAACAGCTGCGACCAACAGTGCGAGACCACTGTGAAGGTCGGGTGGAGGGTTGGAGGCAGATAGATAGCATGTGGGACTCAACTGCCGTGGACCATGACTTTCCACAAACTGCCCTCGGCCAAGTCCAACGATAGGTCAATGCTCTTTGGGGGCCTTGTCTACCTAATTTCGTCACCCCCACGAACTCGACCTGTTCTCCAAACTCAAGAAGAACCGGTCTTGTAAGGCGGCACCAACCAGTAAAGCACCCCATTCACGGTACTCGCCATGATGGGCCCCACCCAATGGACCCAGTGATACGTGAACCTCTCGCCCGCAGCCATGAACCCCAGACATCTGGCCGGATTGCCACTCGTGCCCAAGTAACCCGGTCTTGCGAATGAGCTGACAAACACTGTCAGCGCGGAAGACAGGCCGATGAGGATCGGCGCAAGAGAAGGCCCAAATGCAGTCCCGTTCCGGGGATCGAGACCCAACCCGAATGCGAGAAAGAGCTGGACAAAGCACATGACGCTTTCGAACGCGAATGCCTCGGCTGGCGCGACCAGCGCCGAGTCGATATAACAGCCCGGCACGACGTGCAACGATCTTGGACTCAGGCCTAGAGCCGCGCGTACCAGGTATGCCCCGACGATGGCGCCCAGGCATTGAAGTATGATGTATAGAACCGTCCGGGGCAGGGAGCTCAGTCGAGCAGCGAACGTGCCCATGGTGATCAACGGATTGAAATGTGCGCCCGTGACCGGACCGGCGGCGTAGATGAAGAGACTGATGAGGAAGACTTGGACGATCGAAGCAATGGCTACGGGAAACACAGCCCCGACCGAGGTCTCGGTCGCGGTGGGCAGGACCGCAACACCAAGCACGCCTGAGAGGAATATTTGGGTGGCCGTGCCGACGCCTTCGATCAGCGCCAGCTTCCACAGCCGCGGTTTGCGGAAATCGGAGAATGAGAGGATGGAGGACCAAGGCGGATCGCGAAGAGCATCTGCCGGTGTGCTCGGTGTGGCGGTTGATGTCGAGGGCAGGGAGAAGCGCTGAGCACCACCAAGGCGACCGAGGAAAGCGTCTGTAGCGACCGAGTCGGATGGTAAAGGGGAGCTCGTTGAGAGTACCTGAGAGCTTTTTGGCTCGGCTTCAGTATAGGACCGACGAGGATGGGCTGAATTGTTCTTCTCCACGTCGAACGAGCCGCCTGGCGTCTGGTGGTGGTCCATGTTTATGTGTTTTGCAGTCCACACTCGACACTACCGGCCGGTGGCCTCTCAGTAGTCGCGGGCTGAAATCTTGATTCGAGGACAATAGAGGCTCGACGATACCTTAGCACAGAGGTCAACTTGGAAGACGAGTTGTTTTGGAACTGCTTAGGTTGCTCTTCTCCCGAGAGGCCGCCGGATCCGCATCGTCAAGGCAGAGGGAATGCTGACAAAGAGTGTTGCATGAGCCTGGAGACATGGTTCCTTCGTCAGCATGCTTTAGGGGCTTTGCAACGTTCCAATCAAGTGTTGCGTCCTCTTGAAACAGGAGGCGGAGATGAGTGAAAGCTGTGCAGAAGTGACTTCTACATGGTACAAATGGTGAGCCGCTCCAGACGGCCTTCTCTTCAGTCGCCATTTTCCATACTGTAATTCGTACATGTTCCGTTGTACTTACAGATATTCGTCCATGAACAGCTTCCACCATGGAGTCTAGTACAACGACCTCTTGAGCTTCCTCACATTTAGGCCATCGTTCTTTTCGACCCCAGGGTCTCAGAATGTGGACCAGTGGGACGGCTCCTACACCGATTTCGTCGCTCGTTCCGCTGGTCCACTGGCCTTGAAGCTTGGGTGTGCTGAATCTGGAAAGGTTGAGGCTGGCTGATAATGAGCGAGGTGACTAAGTCATCAACCCATAGGAACACGGCTTCGGGAATATCTGACCTATTGAGCACAGTGTACGTGGTCGCGGGGGAGTCAGCACAGAGATCGACTACGTCACTCCAGATTTCTATCACCACTCATCCAGCCACTATGATGCCAGGTGAATGATTGTGCACCTGATGCATTCAAGGTTGCTTTCTCCTTGAAAGAAGAAACCGAATGCATCCCACAGAGACTCCAACTTCCGGGGGAACATCGCCCCCGCTAAGGGCAGCACAAAGAGTTACCATGGCAACTTCGGCAAGGAAAGGCAGCGCATTGTGGCAATAACCAGCCACGATACATAACCAACCAGTACGGAGTACGGACTGCAAGCCCTGGAAGAAACACGATTTTATTCGTGATCCAAGGCTTCCACAAGCCTCACAGACTTTTCCCCACCCAGTCTAGCCGAACGTGTCGATTGCGATAGAGCATGCAAGGCCATCCGATCACTCTGCACCGCTCATTTTGTCTGAACTCCAACACCTAATTAGTACGGAGTACGTCGAAACCGACATGCCCTCTTCTGCGACTCTGCTCACCGAGCGCTTCGACGACTTGCTCTCTCGTCGCGCATACCCCAAAACCATCTGCCCCTCTGAGGTCGCACGGTCTTTGTCTGCAAGCGAGCTCCAGAGCCTGGGCGTGGGCGAGTGGCGCGATCTCATGCCCCGTCTTCGTGATTTGGCGTTCGAGCTGCGAGACGGCGGACACGTTGAGATCTTACAGCGCGGGGAGGTAGTTGGTCCAGACAGAGGGGAAATGGACGTTAGAGGTCCCATCAGGATCAGGCTCAGGCTCATGCCCAGGCCCCGAGCGGAAAGAAGCACAAATTGAGTGAATGAAGTAGGTAAGATGTGTATTGTACTCCGTATACCCGTATACAGAGTACTCGTGGGTATCTAAAATTCCAAGCCTGTCAGGCATAGAGAGCCAATGTACTGTGAGGCCGTCCTAATTTTCCAGCCATCTATTCCTCAAACGTCGTCCAAGCTGAGACGTATATAGTTCAGCTGGCCACGACCTCAATACCAATGTCGTCCCAAACGCCGGCAGAGTTCGAACACGTCATTAACTCCTATGCAAAGCGCCTCTGCTAATATGCACCGTAAGCCTTTTGGGGTCTCAATGTTGTCCTGCTCATTGAAGGCCCAATGTCAATCCGACTCAGCTCAAGCGCCAATGGATTGTCTTCGCCATATGGCGGTCTTCCACCATAGCCCATCATCTCTGGCTGCTGCCTATTACTGTATGGCATTTTTGTGGGTGTTTGCTGTGTATAATCTGGTCGGTATTCGAAGGAACGTCGCGGGCCGCTACCGCTGCCACCATGAGGGCTATGGTTGTTTGCTGCAGGGACCTGATAGTCCGAAATGGGAGGCCGCGGAGGTAGTCCGCCCGCTGGAGAGGAATGAATGGTATATCGATGGCTCGATGGACTTGGTCGGGTGTCCACTGAAGGCAAGGTTGGCACAGCGGGGCTGGACTGAGGATGCGTGTATGGTTCCGTCGGGAGCGGGCGCTGAGGTATCGGTTTTCTCAGCCTGTTGCGACCACTAGGTGATTCCACCTGTGGTGAACTCAGAGCTGCGGGCGGAGACGAATGATACGGTGACGATGCCGGGCCATGAGGAGACGGCGGGAATGGCGAAGTTGCGATCGAATGCGGCCTCGCGGAAGAAGGCGACGAGCCCGAGCCTCTGTGTAACCTGGCTTCCTCCCTGGTACGGATTTTGATGACATGCTCTGGTCTGCGTTGCTTCCTCTCAGGCTCCGGCGCCCAAGTATCCGCCGGAAGATGATCCGATGGGTCGATGACCCGACCATCGTTGCCAATGATTGGACCCTGATCTTGCAGCTTGTCGATATCTTTTTGCCGAGATGCCTCTAGTGCGTCTTCTGACGCTGAATACCCACCATTGTTGACAGTAGGACTAGTTCCGGGATTGAAACTATCATAGGAGTCTGGACCATATGGAACAGTGTCCATGCTGCGACGGTCACCAGGCGTCGGTGTGATGGATTTCCGTGGAATAGTGTGACTAGGATTGGGACTGATAGGCCGAGGTCGCACGATAACGAGATCAGATTTGCGCGCGTGTCTTCCATCCTGTAGCTCGAAGTTGTCGAATGTCTGCGCTCTACGCGGTGCTGCATAGCCCATGGAATGTCTGACATCGGCCCGAGGATTTTCTTGGTACTGCCGCTGGATGAGATTGTGGTCTGGCAGCTGCTCTAAAGGTGCAGTGTCATTAGCAGAAGCAGTTGGTCGAAGTTGGTCGAGGTTGTAATTGTTCGATTTTCGCTTCTCGGTAGCAAAAGGGGGATATCGATCATTGTCGGCGAGTTGATTCGGCTCGTAGGGCTCAAATGCTGGCATTTGGTGTTGAATTTCCTGCGCGGGAGGAGTCGTCGCTTGGGACTGATCATACCCGTGCTCAAGCCTCTGCAGCGGGCTTCTGTCCTCCACACTCTGGAATTTCACAGGCGTCCGCGGGGACTGCTGTCCATAGGGATCTCGATAAGGCGCAGCTATCGGAGCGGGCAGGGCAGTTTGATCGTGAGAATCTTCGTACTGCGCTGAGGGCAGCTTCGCTGTCCGCGATATTTGACCCCTATGAGCTGGAGGTGGTGGGGGAGGCTCGTCTTCATCGAATCGCTGGTCGGGATAATTAGGCACAGTTGGCAGCATATCGGCCTGACTGACTGACTGACGGAGCGGACTGTCTCTGTAAGCAGCATATTTTGTGGGAGATGCGCTCGGCCTGCCGTTCCATTGCTGGTTTTGCGCAGCTGCCGCTGGAGGTGTCACCGGCGGGGAGCGATATGAGGAGCGATTTGTTACGTCGTATGGCGGCTGTGAAGATGGTTGGAAGGGTTGCTCCGGTGGAGGCAGCTCTGAGACAGATCGTGGTTGTACGGGTTGCGCTGGAAGTTGCCTCCTCTGGTAAGCATCTTCAGGGAATGGTTCTGCTTCAGAATAAGGGCCATTTGATGGTTCGAGATTCTGAAAGTCGCTGGAAGTGAGTCGTTCATGATATGAATGGCTGGACTCGTATTGCGGCTCATACGAGTCCGGCCCGAATTGAGGGTTTAGGTCATATCCTACATCGTCGGGAGTCTCGGGAACAAACTTCTGCTTCGGTGGACGAGGTGGAGGATTTGAGTTGGTGTATCCGTGCTTTCCGTGCGACTCAAGCTGTTCTTCTGCTGGCCATCGCTCAGATGCTGTGAGGGCAGCCGAAACTGGCGATGAGGAGCCCCCGGGGCCCGGTGGGAGAGGGCGTCTCTTGATCTCTCGAGGTCCAAGTTGACGCGGCCCAGAAGCGGTGCTTGCGGCGTCACTGGCAATCGAGTTGGACTTGTCTCTCGGTTTCCTCGATTCCACCGGCACGTCTGGCTTCGGTCTTGTGTCGTAATATGTCAGCTCGATCCGGATGTCTCCAGCATATTTTCCCTTGAAGTTCAGCTGCCGCCATTGATCGCTCTGACCACCGCCAGGAACGATGACATCTTGCAGATCGATCCAAGCCTCGCTGATGAGATCGGTCTTCTTGTCGTCGTTGAACACGGAGCACTTCAACTTGTAGTAGTCAGGCGAGTCGTGGACGGTAAAGCGCAGCTCTTGGTCCCTGGGGCTAGTCAGTAGCTTGTCCAACAACTCTTCGGAAACTCTGCGTACCATCTCGGTGTTTGGCCACCTCTTTTGTCTGTGTCCGTCTTTTTGGCGTCTTTGCCCAATCTCATAGCACAGTAAGGGTCCTGTTTGCCCATCGTTTTTCGGTTGGGAAGGTTCTTCGCTCTGTCAACGACAGCGACCAGCGTGCCAATCTCAGGCCCATCAAGCGTCATGTCGGCAAAGATCCCAGCTGTATGTGCCGCATTGACACCCTTTGACCGGACTGCCATAATGTGCAACCTGCTTTTGTAGCTGTTCCCGCCTGCGGGTTTTGTTTGGGGTGAAGGAGCCGAAGTAAGGGTTGCAGCATTCCTGGCGGAGAAAGTGCTAAAACGTGTCAAGGATGCATTATGCTCGTCGTTGGGATGCGAAGGAGAGTGCTTGTTATGAGAATCAACGATTGTTGAGAGAAAGACAAGCTCAGGTACGTGTTTTCGGTTGGTGAGGGTCGAGCCTTGAAGGCTCCAGCCACGGAATTTTGACTATTCGACTATGCGGAAGGCTGGGACTCTGCCGGACGAGGCTCTCTTCGGCAGTAGGCGTCCGGATGTCTCAAACTAATAGTCAGTAGCAAGCTGCTCTATCTTGAGATTACGAATGTGCCGGTCTCGAAAAGCTGCACTCTTTCGGTCGGGCTGTACGAGTACCCAGTACGTGTGCATTGAACTGACATGCAGTGGTTACGCTGTGTTGCGCACCGCGTCCGCCAATCATGTCAATTCCAGTGTTTTGGTGACGTTAATCCCGGTATGCCAAGCTTTGTGGCTGAATCTCCACTTTGCCGTTTTGGGGCATGGACACACTTCAAATTCACACGGAATACTCCCGTACGAGCCACACTTTATACCCCGTAAGGTATCTATCTACCATGGTGGGTATACTGTGTTACGGTACTCGTACTACAGTCTACCTGATCCTTCAATCCGCCCATTAAAACTTAGCGTTCAACTAATGCCAGGTATAAGCAGCGACGTTCTCTTTAAAGCACTTGAAAGTTGCTAACCTGTTTGCACCATGTTCCACGCGATTGAGAGTATCCCCTGTGCATTACTGTATTGGCTGCATAGAGCGGCATGAGAGCACAAAGCGTGACTTCGGTATGTGCGGTTATCAAGAAATGTGTCAGCCTAGCGGCTCCACAGACTAGTAAAGGTAAACTCAGGACGGAAATCTTCGAAAAAGCGAGGAACAAGGTTGCTGTCTCGTCACCGGCAGTGGCTGAGTGTGAACACCCTCAATCGCTACTCGTACTCGTACATTGGAGTAGCAGGGTGTCCACTATTTCCTCGCACTTACGAATACATTCCTGGGCAGGCGCGCAGGGCACGGGACCTGTCGGCTGGCTTACCCATCCATTCCGGTATGGGCTTCCTTCAGCTGCCAAAGAACTGGCTCAGTACATTGTCGCGTCCTCTCTTCTTTGTGTGGGCACTTGATAACGTGCGGCAGACTCTCGCCCGTGTCCTTGGTATCCCCTTGAGTAATTGCCTTTGCATCCCTCTCAGCCTCCGGTGGCATGCTCGTACTCGGCAATCTTCATCGGCCTAAGTCCATAACACCATCTACCTTCCTTTCGAGGTTCCGGATACGGCCAGTGTTTGGCTTCGGCAATTTTGTCCGTAAGGATGAGCCTTGTGACGAGAGGCAGGCGACGACGGTATCCATTTCCCTTTGATGCTTTAGATGCGGATTGTTTGGCCCTATTCCGTTTCGCTGGCGGTGATTGCGTCCCAGACATACTGCGAGCGTAAAATCATGGGTCCATGCGCCGTACTGCCTCCGCCTGGAAAAAACCTTTCCGGCATCCATCAATGAGCCCCTTTTGCCTGAGCAGCATGAGCAGTAGAAATCTTTTCTGGGTGATGAGGACTAAGCGTAGAGGCAATGTAAACAATGTCTATGTCGTTTTCCACCAGCCCATTTGATGAGCCATTCATCCTAGCAAAGACACCGCTATCGAGTCGTGCAGGACATCCTGTGCCTGAGATGAGCGCGATCAGCTGGCCACTGCAACGACTGTATATCTGATGCTGTCAATGTTGTTGGTCGCAGGTGGGGAATTGAAGGCCCTTGGTGGACTTAACCATGCTGCCTCAAATTGCCAAAATTCGTCAGTTCAGTGCTTGGCGAATTTGAACCTTCCGATACTCGTCAGAACGCTCCCGCAGGTCGTCATCGGAGCCATAATTGATCGTAGTTTGCAACTTGCTGTATGGATCAGCCGATCCTGCAGAATGGGAATGACTCTCTTCACGAATCCTCATACCAGCCCCTCACAAGCTGCGTGCGATGGTGCACCAATAGTCAGCGCGTCTTCAGGGGAGGTATAGGCCGAGCTGGAGCCCTCTGGCCGAGAGATAGCTGGATATATCTGCTGCTGATCATGGTGGAGTCGTTGTAGTGACGTTTCGTCTGTATTCGTAGGCAACACGCCTTCTCACCCAGGTGCCTGCGAAGTTAACAGCTCTAGCATCCCCGTGGTCATGGCCGCTTCTTGTGCCCGACTGGTTTCTTCGTGAACGCGGTCACGTAACCTTTTGACTTGCTTCGCAAGTGTGTCGCTCTCGAATAAGTGTTTTGAATACAGGTCCATTATATTCATGGAGATCTCCACACACAAGGAGACGAAGGCTGTGTTAGTGATGTTTTTCCAGACCCATTGAACGATGGGTTGGAGATCAGACTCAGTGCGGTCTTCGAGGGCTGCACGCAATGCAGATCGATAGCGGAGAGTGTTGAGTAGTGTGACCATGGTGAGCGTATCTGAGCCTCGCAAAGCAACATCAAGAGCCTCTCGATATCTGCCCTTGTGCAACTCTCTCTGCCAAGGATGCATCTTCTTCTGTTTGGATCGAACATTGCCTTCCACGATGATGTCGGCGTCTTCACCAGCGTAGTCTCGTCCTCTCAAACGCTTCTCCAAGCCTCGAGGTCGTTTCTTCGCCTGCTTCTTGTCGTATTCTTCGATTCGGCCGGCTATCAGTGCATCCATCTGCTTTTGTCTTTCGCGTTCCTTCACTTTCTGTTCACCTGACAACCGGGTTCGAATGCTGAGCTGGCCGCTGGACATCCCCACAACGACATGTTTATCTTCTCGAGGCGTGCCTACGCCGATGACGGATAGGGAAAGAATGCCAGCAGGGTACTTTGAGCCTGCGACCACATTCCACCCCGTCGTTTCAAAGACCTTGAGATGCCCATCCAAGCCACCACTGACAACCCTCGAGCCGTTTGAGGCAAGACATAATGAAGTGACAGTCTTCTGATGGTTCTTGATCATCTGGAGCGGTCTGCCCGCCACGATGTCCAAGACTGCGACTTGGTTTTCGGCTGAGGCGAGAATTACTGTGCCTGATGGCATGCACAGGGTATCTTCAACTGCCGCAATATGTTTGAATGTCATGACAGCGGCCTTGGGTGCGCGAGAATCCCACAGCCTGACAGTCTGGTCATAGCTGCCCGACACCATGACGTTACTTGATTGTCCAGGCAGAAAGCCACCAGTTCGAACATAGTCCATATGGCCATGGAATGTCTGGACACTGGTATCGCTGGGAAGATCCCACAGCCTGACTGTTCTGTCGTCGCCGCAGCTCATCAAGGCGGTCGTCTCCCTCGAGCTCCATCTGACCGTATGTACAGGCTGTTTCTGCTCCTTCCAGGTTTTCAGAATTGCTCTTGAATTGACATCAAACACTTGGATAGCACCAGTTTCATCTCCTGCCGCAAGGACTCGTCCGTCATATCTTGCTTCCCCGCTGTATGCGACATCGTCAAATCGGGTAATAGTCTTTAGGAGTTTGCGGGTCTTGTGGGAGAAGAGTTGGACTCGTGCTCCGGTGGTCACGACAAAGAACTCTGGAGCGGTCTGTCCTGGAGCCGTCGTCTGTGGTTGCGAAACGTGTGTAACAGCGTGCTTTGTCGGAGATGGAAGGTTAAGTGGTGATTTGAAGGACCGCCAGTACGTCTGCTCCGGTGTAAGAGAGGAAAGACGGGCAGGCAGCTTGACCTGGGCGATCGGCTGGACATCAGCAGCCATCTTGTTCGAGATCAATGTACCAGCTGCTCGACTGGCGAAAAGGTGGTTGCTCAGTCAAGACTTGTCGCGCAAAGTCGATGGGTGCGAAAATTAAATCAGAGGCACCGAAGATTTTCCGCGGCTCCACCTGTCAAAAGAAACTGACAATCGCATTCACTCAACCACGACATGCGAGTCAGGCAAATTGTGACAAGGCTACACCTGGCATGATGCAACGACATCTAGGCCGTGTGGTGGAAGTATGTATACTCCTCTTACCGAGCCGGCACTTCATGCAAGGGTGCGCTTGGAGGGCCACGTTCTACGCCGGGATGCAACAATCCTTCTTGCACAACGTCTATCCGTCAACCACGCACGCGACATGCTATGCTGATGTATCTTGACAAATGCGACGCTTCATACCTCGTGACAACTCGACCCATATTCGAGTATTTTGGTATTGCCTTACAGCCCTTGCAGCTTCGACGAGCATTGAAGGAGGTGGCTGAGGCAGGCACCCTATTTCAGTAGAGGGTACACACTTGCGCCTGATCATGCTTATACCCTAGTACAAGCTGGAAAATACAGAGGACGACCTTGGTGAAACCCGTCCGCTATAGTACGAGATACCGGGGCCTCGTCACAACATCAATGTAGTCGGTATAATGGGGAACGCCGGATCAAGTGCAAACCTCCCTGAGAAAATACGACTGAAACTGGTCAGCACGAGATATGGTGGGCTGGACGTCGCAGTGATGAATTCGAGCGCCCTCCTCGAGATCAAGTCACACGGCCGTTTGTTCTTCCCAGAAGCAGATCAAAAGATGATAATCCTGAGGTGCGGCAAGAGCGGCTATCTGTGTAGGACAAGAGCGAAGAACAAACAACAGGTGAGAACAATACCCTAGGGCACTTCTCCCACACCAAATGTCTTCCGTTACTGTTCCCACCCCGCCACAGCTGTCCGCTACACTTCGAGATTCATTCGTTGATAAAATCAGTATCGGTCATCCGACGGCGACGGCGACGGCGACGAGCCATCCTCCGACCTCTTGAATCATCCCATTAGCCTGAAACTTGCTGGTCATATTGGAGAGACACACGGCTTCACGTCAAGATGCTGCTCAGGTAGGGGCATCTTCCATTTGCATACAAGGTTGCCGACGCTTGTGGATTCGCGTCGTCCATGTATCTGCCTTTCCTTACCTCAAAAGACTCGGACGGAACCTTTGGCCTCGATTGGATTACACCTGGTCGTCTCCAAACAATAACTGACATCCGAGTATGCAGTATTTGTATCCTGGTCTACCTTTTCCTCGTAGCTGCGCCAGCTCTCTCCACTGTCACTCGGGTTCCCGTGCGTCGCAATGCCAACTACGACGCCGATGGGAGCAAATCACTCATCTGGCTCTACAACAAGTACAACATCACGCCAGCCTGTCCCGGTCCGTTCTATCGTGACAGTAACGGCGTGCTCAAGAAACGTCAGGACGATGCTGCTTCCACTGAAGTGTACGCACCTTTCCCTCTCGACTTTGAATATCACTGACTACGTGGACAGTAATGCAGATGATCAGCTAAACGACACATTCTACACCTGCCCGATTTGGATTGGTACTCCTGGTCAGCAACTTGAAGTGGTATGTTGCCTAGGATCACGTCAGGGACATGGATTCTGATGCTGTCTTGATAGACTTTTGACTCTGGCTCTGCCGACACTTGGGTAACGCAAACCTCCATTGGTTCCTTGGTGACTCTCTAAGCAAACGTATCGCAGGTTTGGTCCTCTCGACTCTCGCCCCAGACCGTCGCCCTCGCCAATTCTCGCGGGTCAGCAATCTATGATCTCGCCAAGTCGACTTCTTACACGAACTTAACTGGCAGTACGTGGCTTGCACGTTACGGCGATGGCTCGTCAGCGTCAGGCACAGTTGTCACAGACGTCCTCCAGGTTGGCGACATCACCGTTGAAAACCAGGCGATCGAGGTAGCCAACACACTATCATACTCCTTTATCACCCAAGCGGCCTCCGAGGGCATCTTAGGGCTGGCATTTAGCAGACTCAATAAGGTCCAACCAGTCCCTCAGAAAACGCCCCTCGACAATATGATTGCACAAGAGGACATTCCCGGTAGCCAGGCGTTGTTCACGTGCTATTTAGGCTCCTACAAGGACGCCGGTGATCCAGACCAGGGTATATCATTCTTCACATTCGGTGAGATCGACCAAGACGTGGTGAAAGCCACAGGCAGGCAAATCAGCTACACTCCTGTCAATGACACAAAGGGGTTCTGGCAGATCGACTCTGAGTTCATCACGATCAACGGGAAGAAGACTGCGTTGGTGGATAATACGGCGATCGTGGACACCGGGACCACCCTAGTAATCATTGAAGACGAGCTGGTCGCGGAGATCTATTCCACCATTCCTGGGGCCAGATTCGACGCACAGGAAGGAGGGTGGGTCTTCCCTGCCAGCACCCCTGCTGATAAGATGCCCACAGTTGTGTTGGCTGTTGGTCAAACCGAGGTCATCATTGAAAAGGAACACCTGGGTTTCACACCTGTTAAGAAGACAGGAATGGTCTACGGTGGCATTCAAGGTCGTGGCAATTCGAAATACAACATCTTCGGCGATACCTTGTTGAAATGTGTCTATGCGGTAAGTGTATTGTGGTCGTATAAAGCGCGGTTCTGACAATGGTAGGTGTTCGATGCAGGCAACATGCGGTTTGGCGTCGTCCAGCGTGTCGATGAAACCCAGAACATTGCGGTTTAGTAGGAACGTCAGGCGGAGCGCACGGAAAGTGGACTGGTCGCGATGCTTGAAGTGTTGGCATGCTCTTACGGGCAGAGAGCAGTATCGGGTGCTTGGTGGGAGAGTAAGGACTTCTCATTCCCTGGCCGTACTCTTATGCCCGTCCGCATCGTTAGGACATGTGTGCTCCTCAGATCGATCAGTGACGTTTCCAGTTTCGGCAGGATATCCCTCTTGCTCGCTCTTTCCTCTCTGTGCTGATTTCGCTGGGCCGACTCACTCGCAGTACATAACTCAAGGGTGATTCGCCACACAGTTCTTCATCTCTTGACTCCTTCATGCTCGCGCAAGGATATCATCATGAGGAAATTTGCTGTATCCCTGGGTCAGACTCTCCTTCTCCTCATTCTCTTTGTCCTCATTGAAATCCAGCAGCTCCATGAGCAGCCCCTCATCGACAGAGTGCTAGATAGCCTCCAATCTGTCCCAAATGGCACACGATCGACGTCCAGGAGCCCAACCGACCTCAGCTTTTCATATCAGTCCTCAAACTGGTCTACTTCCCACCTACCTCTTCTCACCCCCACGACACATTATCCCACACGTTCCCATCCTGACACTCTGATGTCGCACATTAAGCCTGGACTGCTACATGCAGAAACGATCCACCGCCTCACTTCTATCCCGGCTTCTCCTCAGAGCACGGTACCCCAGATCCTGCAGGTCGACTGTGACGGGAGGTCAGTTGAGCATGGTTTCCTCAGCAAAGTAAATGACTGTGTTGATTCGGTCATGGGCTCCGGCGAGAACGGTCTTCCACGGCTCCAATGTCCCCCACTGAACTCAACGAGATACTCGACATTGCACCATCTCTTCCCTTCCACTAAGCCAAGTTACTTCTTCGCAATGAACCTCCACCAATCTGCCCATATCATTCCGCAGCTTCTTGGCGCCATTGTCGAGGCGGTCCGCTTCCTCGGCCCTGATCGCTGTGTCATCTCCGTCGTAGAGGGCAGGTCAACAGATGGCACATTTGAAATCTTGAAGAGCCTGGTGAAAGAGATGGAACACCTCGGTGTGTCTTACTTCTTGTCTTGCAATGAGTTGCAGCCTGGTGCAAACGGCATGGAACGTATCTCGACCCTTGCTGAGCTCAGGAACTTGGCTCTCCGACCACTAACCAGACATCCGGATCAGTTCGACTTGTCGACCACGATCATCTTCTTGAATGACATTGTACCCTGTGGCGAAGACATTCTGGAACTCATCCTGCAGCGAGCGCTTCTTGAGGCCGACATGACCTGCGGAATGGACTGGTACAACTTGGGCGATGGAGAAGGTGGCACCTTCTACGACTCGTGGATCGGAAGACAGATGAATGGCGAGACGTTCTTTGAGGTGCCACAAAGCACGTCTTGGGATTTCTCCAAGAATCTATTCTGGGACCATGAGACTAGCAGGTTACGGTATTCGCTCGGTCAACCGTTGCAGGTCTTTTCCTGCTGGAATGGTGCCGCGGCGATAGGTGCCAGACCATTCATGGACGGAAGGGTACGGTTCAGAACGGAGGTGCCGGGCGAATGTCATCTTGGTGAGCCGGTCCACCTGGCAAAAGATCTCTGGAGACTTGGTTATGGCAAGATTGCAGTGATCCCAAGCGTCAATCTCGGGTACTCGGTTGAAGACTCGATCATCGCGAAGGACGCGCACGGGTGGGTTTCGAAGATGGTGGAGCAGGGATCTATGGAGCAGAACCGGATTGTTTGGCAGGAAAAGCCGCCAGGTCAAATCAAATGTTTGGAGGGAGATTGGCATAAGCCGTCATGGGAGCCTTTCGATCTCGACACTTGAAAAGTCTCGCTCAGAGGCAGGCATTTGATGTACGAAGTACGGAGTGACCGTGTCGACTTGTGAATCTGTGCTCTGCACATTACATGAATAATCTAATCATATCGCCGATTGTCATTAGCTTGTCCGAAGACATAGAAGTATTGGACTGCAGTTACCATGTAGATTTAGTGATATGGGAGCCCGGGTGCTGCGAGACACAGAAGTACAAGTGCCAAGATACTCCAGTTGCGTCCATCATATTCTCGGAGACAAAAAGTGAAGCATCCAATTCGAACCGTATGTCCTGACCAATTGAGTAAATAGAGGAGAAAAAGAAAAATGCTGCTACGCAGGCATAATGTGTATTCCAAAGATTGATAAATGGAGTATGTTGGGCGTAGCCACGGCCATCTCTGGTAAAAGGCAAGAAATGGATTCTGCAATAGCTCGTCCCACTCCAACTCGAGTTTCGGATATTACAAAATATGAACACAATTTATTAAAATCACGTGCAGCATCCCCACGTTTACTCGACGCTCCCCGCATTTCACTCAGCTTTGTCCTCGTATTGCAGCGCTGCAGCTCAGCGTGTCCAACCAAGTTCACTCGACTTGTTGACTATCCAGTTCCAGTTCCACCTTCCTGCCTTCTTCCCCGCCCACGCTGCCACGTTCTTTGCAAAAGAGAGAAATGAGCAAGATGGCAGCCTGTATCTTCTGCAAGATCGTCAAAGGTACGAGACAAGAGAGAGAGTTCCCCCACTTGGAAACGACTGGCCATGGATGCGAGCCAAAGATCCTGGATCCAGACAGTACAGGTACAGGTACACTTGCACACAGGAATTCTAACCCGATGGTTCACAATCCAGGAGAGATCCCCTCGTTCAAGCTCTTTGAGAACGACAAGGTCCTCGCGTTCATGGACATCCAGCCGCTCAGTAAAGGACATGCCGTACGCCTTTGCCCGCGCCCCTCCCATTTTCGTTGTCCTTCCCCCTTTAGCCCCACGACGATCGTGTGGCCGTCGCTGTGATGTCTGCCCTTGCGCGCGCACTGGCTGACTCTGTCTGCAACCAAAAGCTCGTCATCCCCAAACACCACGGCGAGAAATTGACCGATATCCCTGACGACTCGCTGGTCGATATCCTCCATGTGCTCAAGAAGATCGCCGTCGCCACGGGGGCCGAAAACTATAATGTTTTACAGAACAACGGGCGGTTGGCGCACCAGGAGGTCGACCACGTGCATTTCCACCTGATCCCGAAGCCGAATGAGACGGAAGGGTTAGGCATCGGGTGGCCCGCGCAGAAGATGGATATGGGTGAGTTGAAGAAATTGTTTGAAGACCTCAAGGCGAAGATGTAGGCGGAGGGGCTCAGCCAGACAGACGACCGCGTGGCAAAGAACGGCAGGAGTTAGCAACTACAGCAGGGGGGAATGCGTTGAGGAGAACAGGAGCCAGTATAGAATGAATCACTGTACAGTGCCCGAATGGGTGGTAGTTGATGTGAGCATTTGAGTGGTGAAGAGGAGAAAATCTTTACGGAAAAGAATGACTCGACCAAGCACATCATGCTACGTAGGTAGGTACGTTCCGTGGCGTCCTCGTGCTTCGTCAGGAGACACACATGCACCGATGCAAGGGATGGAGCCGCGGCAACGACGGCGGCGTCGACGGCGACGATCGACCGCCTATAGCGTCCGGCTATTTAGTGGACACGGAATGGAAAGACCATAGACGACGGTGCTGGGCCAAGACGTCTTATCGCTCCGTTCTCCTCTACCGCCGGAGAGTTGACTCTCAACCTGATTTCTTTGGGAGCTCGCCTTTTTCTCAAACTCAACACAAGCGACTGTGTGAAGCTACCTTTCAGCGGCGCATGGATTGTGCTCACAGATCAATCTGTGTCCGAAATGACTCTGCCCAGGTGGGTGGATGACTTCGAAGATTCTGCTATACGTGGTACCGACGCACGGCATGCTGATTCAGATCAACGTCTGGCTGGTTCCCGCTCCCATGCGGAAAGCGGGATTGACTGCTGCTGTGGAAGGGCATCCGTTTGGTGCGTGTTATTTTGTCTGCTTCGGAGGCTTGAGCCTCGTTATCCTTGCCCCCGGAGCATCGGGATCCGTCCATTTTGCGATGCCGGATGGTCTTGCCGCTGAGGACGAAGACGAAGCCGAAGCAGGAGGCCGCGTCGAATTCGTCTGCGTCGACAAAGAAGCTGGAAACCGGGCTGAGGAGTTTTGTGACGACTGTGGAGAGGAGGAAGCCGGTGCAGGTAAGTCCCTGGTTTTGTTGATGCCCCTCACGAAATCAGACTTGGCCAGCTGTTCTTGAAGGGCGTTGATGAACATGAATGTGGAATCTTGGGGAGAGAGCTCTTGTTGGGAGACTTCTTGAGGCATGGCTGCTGACTTTTCGATCAACGTCGGTCGCGTCTTTCCTCTTCGTGGTCAGTGGGGAGGTGGGATATAGTCGAGGATAGGTGATGAAAGAGCACTATAAGATATCAGTCACATCCCTCGCGGACGTCTGAGATATAGCAGAACTGGGATCGGCGAGAGCGTTTCGGTCGAATCATAGCCGCTTATGCGCCTGTCTTCGTTGCAACGAGACCCGAAGGCCCGGCCAGGAAGCTCTTCACACGGAATACCCTCCTATGAGTTTACCCCTTTGGGGCCCACTCGTACATCTCTTACTTACCTCTGCAGAACCGCGTCCAATGGTCAGCCGTCTAAACACGACATGCGTTGGGCAATTGCGGTTGCAAAAGCCGGACACAGGATCAGAGGACCAGCTGCACGAACTTCCGTAAGGGCAAGGGATCAGCGTACCCAGGCGCACCCAGTCCTGGCGTCGTTGCTTCGACTCGCTTGCTTGCCTTTCAACCCACACCGCCCACAGCAGTAACCACAGATGGCAAGCGTGTCGGGAAACAGTGCCAGGTGGCCGCCGACGCAGCAGCAGAAGAACACGGGCGCTTGAACGGACCTTTGGGGGAGTCCTTCAGTGGTCAATCATGGTCAGGGCGTCGGTCAGCCGTGTTAGTATCTGCAGCCGATTCGGTGGCATCTCTGGGGAAGGACAAGAAACGGCACCGACGTAAGGGTGCATGACGGATTCCTTTGAGAACGGAGGGTTGCATATTTTGCTCAAGGTTGCCAGACGCCCCGTGCAAAGGACGTGAAGCGACTTTCCAGAAGCAAGGCTCCATCAATATTCCGGCCAGGCCACTGATTGGGGAGCGCCAATGCGAGTCAGCTGAAAGTGGAGCGGCGAGGAATTGCTTGGGACATGTCATGGCTTGTTTTGAGACGGTCTAGACCGGCCCATTCATGGATATCGGCACTCAGAGTTTGGGGGTCAAGGAATGTCACCGGAGATGCTGTGGCACAGGAGATACCATCGCGTTCTCGGACCAGGGCTTGTCGTGACGATTTCAGCATCGACCTCTGCACGGGATGTCTGGGAGAGAGAGAGAGAGAGTGAGTGAGAGAGAGAGAGTGAGTGAGAGAGAGAGAGAGCTGGTGATTCAAGAGAGTCGCCCAACTCGTGGCGGAACGATGATCCAACCGAAAGCACATCAAGGTCGTATCGACCGTGAAGCAACTCGGGCGAGAATCCACCCCCCCTTATCAACCAGGGGGTCGACGCTCAAAGTCATGAGCTACAGTACCCGGTACGGAGAACCGAGTACTCGGGTACGCAATACATACCGATTGAAGAGGCACCCTGTTCGCCTGCTGCCGTTGGGCCCGTCGCGGACACGATGACGATGTCCCTGTCTGCACAAATGCGGCCACAGGCAGCCTCGCTTTGCCAACAGGTCAAGGGGAAACGCTCTTCTGCAACTCGCCACGGTTCTACCACAGTACGGCTGGCTATTTTGACTGGCGCACAGGGCCGACGCCGAGCAATGGACGTGCATACCGAGTTCTGCATGGGCCAGAGAAATGCAGCTCTTGCTTTCGGTGGGAAGTGCAAGCAGACCCCGCCCTTGCGTGCTTCTGCCTTCCGTATATGCTATCGTGATCTTATCTCTTCACGAGAAGGCTCTCAGATCACTCGAAGGGGTGAGTAGAAGCACGCGAAGCCATCTGCATACACGGTAACGCGCCGCGGGTGGAAGGCCCTGACTAAGGACCGAGAAAGGGAGGTCCCAGCACCAATGGACGCTTCTGAATGCAGTACCCCAGCAGTACTGTGTACCTTTGCCGGCACAAGCACCACCTGCTATGACTTAATAAGGTAACTTGCCTCGTTCGTACACTTTAGAGGGGGGAGATCCGGGAGAATCACCACTATCCCTTCCGGCCGAGGGAGAGACGTGGGCAGAGCAGGGAGGCGGGATCGACAAACTCCTGCAATCAACCAGCCGCGGTGCAACACTGAGGCCCGTCACTCTTGGAGTCTTGAGATTCGGTTTTCGTGTGTTTTGTGCTGCCTCCCGCGCCGTGTCCTATATGTACAGATAACGTGACACGGCGTGGGTGATGCACAAATTCGTGGCCTCGCGCACTTCCACGTCCTCGTAGCGGGAGAGCTTCCCTCTGCAAGTCTTGTTTCCCTTCTCAGACGTTGGTTGGGTGGGCAGCACACGTGTGACTGGGGGGTGCGGATAATCTGGCAGGAGCTCGTACAACAGCACCATCTGGCATTAGATCTGGAGAGGAGACAGGTGGTTTCGTCTCAAGAAGGGCTATGTACGGTACGTACCCATCTACCCCTGCACATGGCTTGGAGCTGGACCATTGAACCTTCGAGGACCCCGGCTGGGGGGTATATATGCCATGTCTTGTTGCTTTTGGCGGTCTACAGCCCTTTTAGCTGTAAGTTCGTAGGGCGGCGGCAGATCCCGTGTACACAGGAGGGGGACGCAACCTCAGGTGCGGTTTCTGGCCAACCGACACACCGACAGACTTAATCAACATCCTCCGCACTGGTTGCGATCTTCGGCACGTTGGACGTCCCTGCAGATGCAGTCGGCGGGTAAAAGTTGATGGTCCCGTCTGGCCCGATCATGCCGGTTCGGTCGTAGTACGTTCTTGCACGGATGTATTTGTCGAGCTTCCAATAATTGTCGTTCAGCTTCCTCGCCAAGGTATGCCTCTCATCCTTGAGTTTCTCGGCCTCGGCGCCTGTTCCTCTGGCGATCCACTCGAAGGTCTTCCGCTGGTACTCGCGCACTTCGGCGTCTCGCTCAGCTTCAAGAGCTTTCCGCGGCTCTTCCTCCTTCATTGTGTCGTTCTCGCCCGGTACAGGTTCGATGTACTTGTATTCCCAGTTCTCGTCTCCTTCTAATTCCTTGATGATCTGCGACCGCGGGATAAATTTCTCCAGTTCCTCCACATTGGACGTAAAATGCACTTTGCCCGCTACCACGGGGTCGAGCCAGCCGCGGATGATCTTCCAGATGCCCTGAAATATCCACGGCGACTTGTGGACCAGCACAGCACCGAGCGACTCGGGGTAGTTGGCCTCGAAAATCTTGATCATGAATTTGACAGGGGTATAATCCATGTTGGCCATGGTGAAATTCGTCATGTCGAAAACTATACACTGAAGAGGCTGTCAGCAAGGTGTTCGACTGCGCATTGCTACGGGGGAGACAACTCACAGCGGTCTCAACAGGCGGTCTCAGAGCGAGCCTAGCCGTCTCAATCACATAAACCGTATATCGTTCCAGAGACCGCTCTGTCTGCTCGCCTCCTCTATGCAGTCGGACTCGGACGAAACATAACGGCCTCCCCTCTTTATCGGTCCCGTGCAGAAAACTCTTGCCCAGCCTTAGCTGCGCCAGAAAATCTTGTCCCTCCTTCTTAACGGCCGGGTCGTCGGATTTTGAATCCTCGAGCGCGCCTCCTTCGCCACGCAGTACAACGTCGTCATCAACGTGTTGCTCTTGACTTCTCCACCGCATTGTCGACACCAGCATGACCAGTGCCTTGTCAACGTCCCATTTTCGCGCTCTTAGGAACCGTAGCAACAGCGCGTCGGGATGGTCGGCCTTCACCATGCTCCAGAAGGCGGCGCGCAAAGACTCGGGCGTCTGTGTAGACAGAATCTCTTGAAATTCTTTGACCTGACCATATTTGTCATCGGCATCCTTGTGATAGCTTGGGTCTTTCGTCGGGGTCGCCGTTCCGTTACTCGACTCTTTGTCCTTGTGTCTCTTGAATACGCCAAATCGCTTCTTGCCCTTCTCTTTATCTTTGACATCAATCTCTGACGCCGCGTCTTCAGTCTGCGGCGTCTCTGTCCCAGCGGCGTGTTGTGGATCCTCCACACCAAACACTCGCAAGGTAGCGGTCCAAAACTCTCGGAGTTTGGCTTCTTGTTCGGGCGTCAGATTGCCCAAATGGCCAGGAGGCGCAGGCATATCGAGGCGGAAAGGGTCGTCGGTCTCGAGCGCGAGCGTTTCGACAATTTGGGCTTTCAGAACGTGGTCGGTGCGGTCGTGTGCCCCTCGAGGTCGGAAGTATTCGAAAAGGATTGCGCCTCCACAAGCGACTGCAAGGAGGATAATATACGAAGAGACCGATGCTTCGACTGGGACTAAAGGAGGTCCGACAGGGATTTTGGCACGAAAAGGTGGGCTGCGCCGAGAGTGAGCCTCTACACGCAGGGGAGCTGGCGACCGGAATGCGCGGGAGAATGTTGGCGCCCCTCTTTGCGCTGCGGAGGGGAGGAAGACGGACTGAGGCAGCGACCGCTGACAGTAGCAACGTCGCATGTATGTACAGAGAGCGGGAGATGAATGTTAGTGATTATGAGATATGGGACATTTCCCTTCTCGGCCGAAGAAGCCGTCGATGGGGAAAGGACTGATTTCATCCGCGTCTGTATGGGCCTGAATCTGATCCGTGGATGTGGTGGATGCTTGGATGCATTATGTCATCGACAGGGCGGAGATTGCGGTGGGAAGAGTCGCGGTCTCCGCGCGACGCAGAAGCAACGGCGAGCATACATACTGCCCGTCGATCCTCCTTGAGTCGATACACACTCAATACTCATTCAGTGCTCAATGCAGAGCACATACTGCGGCCCCAGGGTGACCACCGACTTTAGGCCGCTTTGACGTCTCTATCGACGTAGCGACCTTACCGCACCTGGGGTTACGACGACGCTGTCCTCGACATGAAGCCTTAGTTGAGCTCGATTGCCACAGGAATGGTGTCAAACCCGGGGAGTTGGCTATTCACACAGGCCAACCTTTGTATCCGTCCTTCTTGAATGGCTCTGACTCAGCCTAATCCTTGGACTATTTTGTACGTTGAGCTCCAATTCACCTACAACAGCAGCGTGAAGAGACCATCACTCATGACATCTGGAACTTGTGCAAGATGTCACTCACTGTCCTTAGGGAAGACGCAGGTCAAGCAACATGTCACTGCAGCCGATTCACGACGCGACGGTGAATACACTCCTGACAGCGGCGGAGCTTGAGGACTATATATGCGGCAGGTGATGGACCTCTGGCTCTGATCGTCCATCGCGGACATTCGATTCAGTGAAGCGTTTGACTCAGTGTCAGTTCTCGACGACATGTCTCCTCTCGCGTTTCTCAAGACCTCGCTTGTCATATTCGTGTCTCTACTCCTTGGCCTCACCGCCGTGTCAGCGCGAGAGAGCCTAGTCCGCCCTCCGAATTTTCCGGTCATTGGCGGCCCACAGCTCCCAGATGCACAAATTGGCCTTTTCTATCAGAGCTTTCAAGATGCCATCTTCCTAGCGAAACACGCTGCCATGTACTGGCCGTGCGATCCGACAGTTGATAAGGTGACTACCTTGCTCCTGCGCGCCAGCCAGATCGACTCTGCTTGCTGTATCCGCAAAGTTGACCACTGACAATGGAACAGACGTTCCTCCGCTATTTTCGCCCCGAGAATGCGCGTTTTGTGAAGGACATCTTCAGAACCATCGCCAATATCCCCCTGGACCTGGATCTCACAGACAAAGACGCCGTAGCGCAGCTAGCAGGTCAACCGCTATCATACCATCCCAAGTACAACCGATTGTCGATCTATTTTCTAGGAGACCATCCTGGGCTCCCCACAGACCCGAGCGCTCGACTATTCTGTGGCAATTCTGGCAAGAAACAGGCACACACGAGGTCTGAACCTGACGGGTCCAGCGCACTGATGTCGGTGTGTAAGGTAACTTTCCGGAGCAGCCCGATGCTCAAGGACGTGACGAACCCCCCTGCTTGGGCAATAGATCCAAACAAAGACCAAACCCACAAAACACAATTCTATGACGGGTTCGGTTGTGAGAACCTCGGGGACACCGACAGTGACTATATGGACAGCCCCGCCGCCGTAGTTCTGCACGAGCTGTTGCACTTCCCTGGCCTCTTTGCTGACGTCCCCAGCTATGCTGCCATGATTCCCACCAGAAGTGGACAACCAGAGCATCTCATTGAAGACTGGTGGGGACCTTCTCCAATCGATGGTTATGGCGCCTACAACGCGATGCTCATCAGCAAGACTCCTCCCAAGGATCGGAATGGACGGAGGTTTCTGCCAATCTACAATGCCGACAACTACGCGTGGTACGCCATCAGCAGCTATTTTTCCAGAAAGTGCACCAAAGAGTTCCAGGATGCTCCAAATGACAAGGCCGTCTGGAAGAATCGTCACCCACCGCCCTGGCCATTCGACGTTTCGCCGGTATAGACACCACAGTCTGCTGCACCATACGGATCGATTCAGATGTCCTCAACTGTCCATCACTCTACGAAGCGTAACTGCCTCGGACACTTACATCGGACACTTACACGACCAAAGCATCATGCACCTTTCTCCACGCATGATGTCGGTTACGAATACTTGAATGGAGGGAGGGCAGCATGGCACTCAGTCTTCATCGTGTCTAGGATATCATAGATACTTGCTCAGGAGACTCCTCCAACCAGCTTTCCATAGCTCAATGAGTTCTCACCTCGAGCGTCTTCTGCATCCGATCTCTGATCAGGCGAGACCCAAATGCGGAACCAGCCTCTCCTTCACAAATTCCTCCAAGCTATGCAGTTTCACTCCCAGGTCCAGCACGTGGTTGTCCGGGAGAACTACTCTGGGGTAAGTTCCTGTCTTGTTGTACAGATTGAACATGATGTCCCTCTCTGCGTTGCCAGTAGTGGCCAGAACGACATATTTCGTAGGCAGACCCGTGACTTTCCCACGTTGTCAGTCCACCTCGTCCCATCAAGACAGTGACAGTCTTCAGCGACTTACCTCGTTGTATCACATCACAGATTTCATGCGGGGTGTGGACCGCGTCCATTGCATAGAGATATCGATGACGCATCTCCTCCTTGCGTTGGTCCCAATTGTCAAAGACTGCATTTACAACGCCGGCGAGATCTTTCTCCACCCATACCATATGCACTGCCGTCCTGTTATCAGCATCGGGTGTACACATGGGATCCGCCACGCAGGCAGGAGTGGGGCGGGGGCCACCTCAAACGCACGCTTTGTGGTCTCCTGGATCACGGGCTGTCGAAACTCGATCCCCTTTCCGTCCTCCGTTTTCACAACATGCCCTCGCAGCACCATATTCTCGTAGAAATTCCCCGTGTACACAAACACGGCGGACTCGAGCTTCAGCTCGTCCCGAATGAATCCATCGACGCGGTACTTCCCCTCGTAGATCTCGCAGCTGACTTCGCCGCCCGAGATGGCGACCGACGAAGGCAGCGTCGACCAGATGAAGCACGAGATACCCGCGCGTTGGGCCGCCAAAGCAGCGTTGCGGCCCTGCTGTTCTTCGCTCGAGGGGTCGTTTTGGATTTTCTGCCAGAACAGACAAGTTGCGTCAGTCAGTAGCTCAGTCAAGCAGTCAGGCAATCAGCCGCTCAGCCGCTCAGCCAGCCAGCCAGTCAGTCAGGCAGGCAGTCAGTCCAGGTCCCATATCCGACTTCGACTCAGTCTTCAACCGCGGTCCCACAGGATCTTGCCTCGTATTGTACGAATGCGGCGTCGCTTCTGGGAGCGAGTCCACCTGCAAGCCCTCTCATCAACCGGAAACCAAGTATGTAACGTGTCTCTCACTCACTCACTGACGGACTAACCGCATCGTAAAAATTGGTCACCACAAACGCGCCCCAACAATCCTGGAACGCAACCCCCAAGGTCGAAGGATCCGTCAAATCACCCTGGACAACGTGCGCGCCCAACGCCGAGAGCTTCCTCGCTGCTTCCGAGTCCGGGTTCCGCGTGAGTGCCCGCACGGCGTACTCGGCCGGGTACTGCAGGAGGAGTTTGGCGACCGAACCACCTGTGTTTGGTGTGCTCGTGCTGTTAGCATAGAGTCTGGCTTGCATAGGTGACCACGCAACCACTGTGTGAAAGGGGCGCCACGCCGACGATTAGGTACGTAGTGATGTAGTGTTTTCGAGCTGAGATGGGATGAGATGAGAGGATATGGGGTGAGATGACATGATCAGGTTCTGAACGTCTCTCTGCGTACCTTGATTTCCTGTCGCGCCTGTGACGAGGATGGTCTTGAGGCTGGGCGTGAGCATTGTACGATTTCCTTATGATGATCCTTGATGCTATGTGGCGTAGTCTTGGGCTGTTGGGAAAGATAGACTAAAGTCAAGACAGGTCAAAGGGCTTGGAAAAGCTCAAGGCAAGGAATGTCATGTGAACTGAGCTGTTGCTGGAGCTCCTTTACACCACGGAGCAGACGCCGTACGGTGCACGGTACGTACATACAGTAGAGGAGCACGGATGTACGTTCGATCTGGGACCCTGTGCAATGACGCCGCGCTTACAAATTTGGAAAAGGGGGTGCGGAATGGGCGCGGGGCATGCACGCGGCTGATGTGGAGGAGAGAAACACGAACGGAGTTCAGAGTACTAGGAACGAAGTACCATGTACGAGCTTGTGGAGTTTGTATTGCGCTCGGACAGCGGGTCGGACGAGCTGCGATGGATATAGTGCCGTATGCACTTGAGGAGATCCCGTCGGCCAGGCTTGTGATTTCGACAGTACGGCCTACCGTTCTGATGGATCGTGGTTGAGTTTGCCTTGCCTCATACGTCCAGCTAGGCAAAGGATTGTACATAGACAACGAGGCTGTAGGAACAAGGGGCCAGAGTTGGGGGCTGGAGAGCTAGACGACGACTTTGTGCGGGGAAGCGGCCAGCCGGCATTGATCCGATCATTGCTCGTCGAGGTCATGTACATACGCCGGTCTATCACCTGTCGGTAGCTTCAAGTCCAGACAGCGCGGATGGAATGTCGTCCCAAATAGAATAGACGATCCTCCATATGCATGCTCGTAGGAAAGTCAACGCCTGACATCCTACAAAGACGTCCAAATGTCCTTGAATTGCGGCGTATTCCTCTTCTTTTGCGTCAACTTCAACAGGGTCGTGGGGACCAGCTCGGCCAGATCGACGTCCATCAGTCTAGCCACGAAACACACCAAAGTGGTATCCAGCGCTGTTGGCGCAGCAGTCCCGAATATCCATGCATCCTCCGAATTCGTCGTGTTGTTTGCCTTCCTGGTGTTGTCAATCTCGATGAGTAGAGCACGGCTACGCTCGATCTCCGCCTGGATCACCTCCGGTTTTGCCCCGCCAACCTTTTCTGCCCGTGTTCTAAAGACGAGTCAATCACCTGTATTCCTCAAAGTTATTTGCGTGGCCATTACTCACACTTCCAGCTTATATTCCAGGGCTTTCTTGTGTCTGTCAGACAAGCCCGGCACGTTCAATTGGGCGTGGATCGCCTGTTCCTGCGTGATCGCTCTTTGTGGGCGGTTCCTCATAGAGAGCGAAAAGAAGTTAACGGCGTGCAAGTTGCGTAGCAGCCTGTTGATTTCCTCGGCATGTTCCACTGGTCTCAAATCTGGGTACCGTTCGCACAGCCACAGCGTGATATCAAGGCTGTCTGTGATGGGCCGATCGAGGAAGGCCGGACTAAGTAGGACGGGGACCTGTGTGAGTATGAGCGCAAAGAGCCTTGGCTGCTCGCACCTTCAACTAATTCCAATCATCGCACTGACCTGCCCTTTCGGGTTGATATCGCACAGATACAGCTCAGACAGCTGGTCACCCTTGACAATGTCGATTGGACGAAGTTCGACAGACAGAGGCAACGAGCCCTTCAGCGGACTAGCTGCATTTGCCAACGTGTACCGTACCATAGAGGAGCATATGGATCGGGGGTCGTAGTACAGAATGCATGGCTGGGTGTCCGCCATGGCGTGTCGTGTACGAGAACTTACACCGGCGGGCTAGATGTGAGGATTGCTCAGAAGCAAATCACACAGCGTAGTTCGAGTTGAGACAGGAATTCCCTTCAGGTTCGGCTTCATCCACGGCGAACACGCTGAAATCGTCGAGCAGTCCACTTCCCAGGCTAAATTGTGGCTTAGTCAGCTTTGCGACACGCCTTGAATGCCGCGGGCAGCTCGGCCGCGTCGGCAGATCGCCTTGCGAATGGGACGGAGGTAGCAGGACCTCAGACTGGACAAATCATTGGGAAGTTGTCGAGTAAGCGACGATTAAGCTGAACGTTGAGAAGCCAGAGTAGAGAATCGATGTACCGGCCGTAGAGCAGTGGCTGGGGGGTACATACAGTATGCTTGGAGAGGTGCAAGTGAGTTGAACCTCATGCTTGGCTTGTTTGGCGTGTTTGTCCAGAACAAGATATCGCGACTGCCTGCTCACTCACCTCACTCTCACCTCACCTTGCCCTCCCGACAGCCCCGGTTTGATGCGCAGGAATCGAGGGGATACGCCGTGGGCAATGAAGCTTGGCTTTTGTATCTACGGGAAAAGCAATCTGTCATCAACGAACATTTGATGAGCTACTCCGTGATCGCTCGTCAATTGTATGTTTGAAATTTGCTCTTCCAAAAGAAATTGACGCCCCCCGCAGCAGTCCATCAAACGAATAATGAATACTCATGCTCGCAGATGTTGGTGAATCACCTCACCGCCATCAGCTGTTATGTCGCTTCGATGACTCGACAAACTCGTCGAATCGGTCACAGGTAGCTGCAACACTTCACCTGCGTATCGCTCGTTGAATGACGCCACGCTTCCAAGATCCGCGGCATGCCCTTCTTGCAATAATGAATGTCTCCAACTTCACATTCCTTTTGCAAGACATGGATAGGGAGGAGCTCCAGAGGTGAAGTTATCTATACAGCCTGGGGTGCTGTTATCACCATTACCTCATTGTCGTCGCTCTTACTTGTCTTCATTTTGCGAGAATGTCACCGTCCAGGGTGACACTTGAGTCTCCGGCTCCATGCCTGTGCTACCAAAATGACCATCTATACCGGCGAAAGTAAAGTAACAATTCTGTGGGAGTGAAGGATATCAAGCTTGGCGTCGTTATGCGCCACGCAAGGTGAATTTCCTCCGATTGCGCGCATTCTTTCAAGACAAAATGAAGGGCAGCCTCCGGCCAGTTGCTGTCTCTCTTATCTCTCCGCAAGCGGTTGTCCTCATCTTCCGCATCCAATCTTACTCAGAAAGACACGTTCACTTCAAGATGCCGGCACTCATTTCGACCCAGCTCTGGCTGACGCTCATTTTTTTGCCTCTTCTTATCCATACTGTTGGCGCCATGGTGCCTTCCTGGCCAAACATGCCACGGTACAGTTGGACCTCTGCCCAGCCACTTAACGACGACCAGATCTCATACTTTGCATACACGATTCAGCACGCGGTGTTCCTGGCGAAGCAAGCCGTAATGTACTGGCCTTGCGATCCCTACCAAGACGAAGTGAGTCGCCGTTGGAACACATCCGGTAGCGTCGGGTGGTGGATATTCTCGCGCTGCGTCGCTCGCTAACAGACTCACACACAGACCTTCCTGCGCTACTTCGATCCCACCGAAGCCGAATTTGCCAAGAACATGTTCCAAGCGGTTGCCAACGTGCCATTCGACCTCGACCTCACCGACCGCGCTGCTCTTGAACGGCTTGCAAGCGACCCGGTCAGTTTCAATCCACGGTTCGCAGGGTTGTCCATTCATTTCCTGGGATCTCATCCAGATTTGTTGCCCGAGAATGGTGGTCCCGGCGCACCAGATGGAGGCTGTGAGGACGACTTCGACGATGAAGTGAGGTCTGCTTTCATGGAATTGAAATCCGGAGGTAGCGTCGGCTTGTTGTCCTTTTGCAGAAAGGTCTACCAATATTACCCCATGCTCAACGACCTGCTGTACCAGCCAGATTGGGCAATAGACTGGCAAAAGGACCAGAAGAATGGAAAGCAATACAAAACCGGGTACGGCGGCTGTAGCGACTTCGACTACCGGGATAATTTCTGGATGGACACCACTGGGCTGGACATGCTGCACGAGTTCTTCCACTACCCAGGTCTGTTTGCAGATGTGCCCAACTATGCAGCAACGATCCCGTTCGAGTGGAAGAACGCTTGGGGCGAGACAATACCGCATATGATGCTCGATTTCATCCCCGATCTGGACCGTGACGAAAGCGGAGGCTACCCATCGGACGCCTACGGCGCCTGGAGTGCCATGCGGATTAACCAGTTAGAACCCTTCGACGTTGAGGGTGTGAGATACAGGGGCATTTACAACCCTGACAACTACGCCTGGTACGCCACGAGTGTCTTCTGGTCAAGACATTGCGGGCAAAGATTCAAGGCTCCAGAGAGTGAGGAGGACTTTCAGAGGTACCGGCCACGCCCATACTCCCCGTTCTAAAGTCGAAATTCCCCTGGTTGGTAGCAAGCCATGGGAAGTATGCCAGAGCTGCACGCCAAAAGTCTTTGCTTCTTGATCAACTAAGGCCAGCACTGCAGCCGAAGGGCAAACAGGGGCATTGAGGGACCGGGGCCGATAGAGCGGCGTTTGATCCAGCGGGATAAGCCCTAGTCACGTATGGTTCAGCACTGGAAGGCCGGCTGGAGGCAGGAGGCAGAAGGCAGAAGGCAACCGCGAAGTCTCAGTGTGTGGCGCAAGCACTCCATCCATCGACGAACGATGAAGGATAGAATGAACAGAGATCCAGCTGACCGCCCTCATGCACGATATCCGTCCCTCCGCCAGCCACAGTGTCGTGTTGGATCAACAATGGCCCTCGGTGGAACTCAAAATCCGAATCATTGACGTACAGCGCATCACACGGTTTTCGCGCGCCCGTGACTCCGTCAGGCACGGTCCATAGGATATGGTACCACGTCGCGAGCCGTACACCCCAGAACGTGATCGAGGTTTTGTCATATAGTCATTGTTCCACTCCGTCGTGGGGTAAGTGGGGGAAAGGAGACAAGCGGTGGAATATAGAGCGCTGAACCTTTCCCCGTACTTATTGCTTGCTGCTCGTACTTCACCGCGTGCTCACGGTGGTTGCGTCGACACATGATCGTCTCGAGCTCTTGGTCCAGACGTCCTCCACCGAGGCTGAAGTGATAAGCGCCCAAATCACTGTCCTCGCCACTGAATTTCCCTGTCAAGGGACCACCGCAAGAGCGGACTTTGCAATGCCACGGGCTCCAGTGTCGCGCCGCACATCTGACAGTCTTTGATTGAGGTAGGGGCAGTGTATGCATACCGAATACCACAGTCGCGCTCGATGCAAACATCGGGGGAACATATCGAGCGAGTGCTGACACGACACAGTTCGCCTCGTCATGGCTACAAAGCCGCCTACGGTGCCAGTGTCCCGAGCCGACTATGGCATTCTGGAGGTTCAAAAAATCCGAAGAAAGGAGCCACAGCCTATTGTAAATACAGATCTTGTTCCCATGGTGTCTTCTAAGCTCAAGGTTGACACCATGGGTTGACTGTCGGTAAACGGGCCGATGCAACTCACGATCTGACACGGCACTATGAGTCAGCGTCAGACCACACGGCCAGACATATCCACGGCAGGCAGCCATCCAAACGGTTCGTAATGGCGCCGGCCACCATTGACCATGGGACAGCATCATCCTTTCATGTATGGGCGGTGGTAACAGTCTCGACGCCCAAAGGAGAACACCCGAAGCGTGAAAAGGTCCGCTCCAAACATGTTGCTTCGCGCGTTGGAAATGTTAATGGAGTCGTGCGAAAGTCAGAATCAACTTTTGCCCGCCTCCTCGATCCGTTTATCCCCAGTAGTAAGCATGTACGCCACTTCGGCGGCGCTGAGGCAATATACTTGGTGTGCAAGAGGCGATATAAGCCATGGATGCGCAATCAACAGCGCCGAATCTGTTACACAGCAGACTGCCTCCTGCAGGCATCAAACCCTGTGACAATGAATCCAAAATATCCCACAGGGTCCTTCCTCTACCTCAATCGCGAGAATGATGACGGCACCGGCCCAAGCTCCTCGTCGGTCAAGTTGCAGATTGCAATAGTCGGGGCTGGGGTTGGAGGGCTTTCAGCAGCTATTGCTCTGCGACGGGAGGGCCACGACGTCACCGTGTTCGAGTCAACTCCTATCCTGAGCGAGGTGAGTTGAGGCACGGCCGTTTCGCAACCGGAATTCTCACGTCTCTTGCTGACTAGATCGGCGCCGGCATTCATGTTCCACCAAACTCGACACGTATCCTGCATTCTTGGGGCCTGGAAGCTGCGCTGCGGAAAATTTCGATGATGCCTCGAAGCTTGCTCTGGCGACGATGGGAAAACGGCAAAGTCATCGGCAACTCGAGATTGAATCCGGAATGCCAGGACTGGTTTGGTTCTCCCTACTACGTCACCCACAGAGCGCATCTCCATGAGATCCTGCACAGAAAGGCCGTTGAGCTGGGTGTAATAGTGCGACTGGCCAGCAGAGTGGAGCAGTACAATCCAGATGAGCCATCGTTTGTCCTCGAGGGTGGGGAAACCGTGAGAGCAGATCTCGTCGTGGCAGCTGACGGTAGGAGGCGAAAAACCAGACGTGGTAGACAGCGATATTGACGAGAATCAGGCATAAAATCCTTGGCTCGGAAAACGCTGCTCGGAACGGCAGACAGCGGACTTCGAGATCATGGCCTAGCTGTGTACCGGGCCACTGTGAGCGTCGAGGAGATGTTGAAGAATGAGAAGACTGCGCCACTCGTCAAGAGCCCGAATCTCCATCTCTGGTGCGTCGGGGTGGCTCAACAGTCGGGTTAGAAGCTGATCATTGATAGGGTTGGAGGCAACGACCACCACGTCATGGCATACAGATTTGCCAACGACAAGCTACTCAATCTCGTTGTCACTCATCCTGCCGAAGGCGAGCCCGAGACCTGGAACGGGATCGACCATGTTGCAGACTTGCGAAGGGATTTCAAGGGCTGGGATCCTGCGTTGACCACATTGTTGGATATGGTTCAGACGGCGGCGAAGTCGCCGTTAAAAGACATCCGGGTTTCAGACAAGTGGTCGTCGCCAAGTCGAAAGACGATTCTGGTCGGAGACGCAGCTCACGCGATGTTGTCTTTCATGGCTTCCGGTAGGCCTTCGTTGCTGATTATCGATATGCAGCTAACCCTCCGCTTAGGCGCGGCAATGGCGGTCGAAGATGCAGTGGCTTTGGCAGAAAGCCTGCGCTTTGCCACCAGGAAAGACATGATTTCCCAGGCTATCGCGGTTTTCGAACAAGTACGCATACCCCGAGTGAAACAAGTGCACGATGCCACTGTCAAGCACGGCTATACATTACACCTGCCGGACGGACCAGAACAACAAAGCAGGGACAAGGCGATGGAGAAGGAAGTCAACGGCGAACACTTCATATCGAGTCCCAATCAGTGGAGCGATCCGACCGTCCTGAGTTGGTTATATCCACACAAGCCAGCAGTGGCAGTGAGGAAGGCCTGGGCAGAGCGCGGTCCGAAGAACCACAACGGGGTAAATGATTCGGGAATGGTTAGAAGAGACGAGCAGCTGCCGAAGGGATGTGTGACTACCAATTGGGATCCTCAAGTAACCCTCCATGTGTGAGCATTCGGCCAGACTCGGTCGAGTTGAGTGCTGGGGGTTCAGCGTATAATGCCGCCCAAGCCGTCAACTGAAGGGCTGAGCGACAGCACCTCCATCAACGTCAGGATGGCCACAGGCCGTTGGGTGCCAAACCGTGGGGTCCACGACCTGTATTGTGACTCGTCCGACACTTCAGCAGACACGAGAAGCTGCTTGTGTGGCAAAATCAAATATCGTGGGCGCAACCTCGCGCCTTTCACTTCTGTGTATCCTTGTTGATGACTTCTGCTAGGAAGTTCTTTGAGAATCGAGTCACCTGTTGGAAGACCTCTTCGAATCCATTATCGGCTCCATAGTATGGATCGATGACCTCTTCGCCTTTGCTCTTACCTCCGAAATCGCCAAACATCATGACTTTAGCTTTTGTCTTCTTGCCTTTGCTTTCAGCTCGCCGTTGCAGACGCTGCAGGTCACTGAAGTTGTATGCATCCATCGCGAAGATATAATCAAACTCTTCGAAGTCTCCAGCATGAACTTGCCGTGCTCCATGTTCGTAGTCCGTGATGCCATGCTTACGAAGGGTCTTAATTGTTCGGTAGTCAGGCGGATCTAGCGTGTGATATGCGCCAGTGCCAGCCGAATCGACTTCGCCAACGCGAGGATTCGATTTCGTGAGCGATCGGAAGACGCCTTCGGCCATCGGTGACCGACCTTCAAGGAGCCAGTCAGACAAGACAAAAGTGACAGCGATGAGTGGTGCACATACAAATGTTCCCCAGGCAGACAAATAGCACCGAGACTTTTGGGTCCGAAGATTCTGCCATTACCCCACCGATGGCGCAGCCAGGTGTTGCGTGTAGTAGATTGCGTGGACAGCCACTGATAGCGGGGAATTGAGAATAGTAGAGACGATTAAGCCGGATCTGTACCTCGTCCTAAGGTAGCTAACTCGAATACTACCCGGGAGCGTAGAAGTCGCTGGATGTTCTGGAGGAACAGCTGACGCTTTCCCTTTGAGAGTGATTCAGGTCAATGGACAACAACTGGCGTTCCATGATGAGAGTACTGAGTAGAATTTCAGCCTTGCCTCGGAATTTCGGCAGCCTTGTAGGTGGCTTGTCGGATTAACTCTGCGGAAAGCCTGAGGCAGCACGATGAAACGCATTGCACCGCCTCAATGCGCTACAAACAGCAGTCCGCCTTGGAGATTGCAACCTCTTGGAAGCTTGGCACTGGATGCTCCTTGGAGCGTTCCGGAACGCAGTGAGCCGGCAAAGACGAGATGGGTCGCAAGGAACGTGCTACGTGGATGATCGTCCAGGGACGAGGTGCAGGCGAAGAGGGGACTGCGCACCGCGATTGGCGGCCATCGCCTGCAACTCGATGGCAAATCGCAGGTGCATTAATAGCACCAGGCTCGCACACGTTGAGGTGCCAACTTTGGAAACATGGCTTGCATCATCGTCCTGGCTGCTGATGGCGCGGTTTGTGGGCGATGAAGCCCAGGTGGGTGGCGGGCGTGCTTTAACTGGCTGGCCACGCGCAGTTGTCCGGGCGCCCGTAGTTTAACGGGCCAAGCTTAATGCAGGAGAGGCTCGGGGGTGAGAGAAAGTGTCCAAGAGAAATGCAAGTGAGAGCTGAACAAGCTTGACCACTGCGCCCAGCTGAGAAGCGGAAGGGGGATACCTTTTTCATCTCGCCTGTATCCCGTAGTTGAACATTGCACTCGATCACCCTCTCACATACCCGGTACTCGGTCCCCTTCTTCTGAGGCCGCCCGGCGACTCGATCGCATCCCACACCTGCATCATCCACTCCGCCCCGGCCCTCAGATCCAGTAATAGAAGGAGTAAACAATCGACTCCGCAAGTCGAGATCATCTTCACCACTCCGCTAGGATTTCATTCAAGTGCGCAGCCGGTCATTGGTCTCAGACTGACACACGATCGTCTTCGCTTGGTTCTCACATTCCAGCTTCCGGACACAGACCACTCCCTCCCTTTGCGCTCCTCTCTGGCGTCTGGCCCGGCATGGCCTACAATCCGCTTGGTAACTTACCACTTCTGTCTATGCTGAATATATACTGACTTTGCGCTATTCAGGCGGCCCTCAGCGGGACGGCGCATACTCTCCTGGTCAGCACCCTCAATACGACTCAAGATCCCCCTCGCCTGGCCGACCGTTGCAGCCATATGTGCATCCGGACGAGGCCTTCTCGCGACAAAACTTACCTCTACAGATGCCCGGTGCTTCGACCGATCGTCTAGCCATGCAGCCCACATACTCGGTGGAGAACATCCCTCAGTCTCACGGTCACAATCAACAGTATGAGCAGCAGATATCAAATGGCCCAGGTGGGGACATTGGCTATGGGAGAAACGACTACATTGTGTCGCCCGAAGATCACCATGACGCATATTACACACAGCCCTACGCGCCTCACCCTCAAGGCGACTACGCGCTTGACCCATACCCGACGCCAGACCAGGGCTATCGTACCGACCACGACAGGGTGCCTATCCTACAAGCAGACAATGCGTACGGACCCGATCCCCATGCGCAGGAGCCAGTAGACTATGATGGATATCAAGATGCACCAGGCCCCACTCCGTCGCCTCAGCCCATTCGGAGGTGGAAAACGGTCAAAGAAGTTCAGTTGTTCAATGGCAACTTGGTACTCGATTGTCCTGTTCCTCCCAAGCTCCTGGCCAATGTACCTCACGCTAAACCGCCGGAGAGAGACGAGTTTACGCATATGAGATACTCGGCCGCGACCTGCGATCCATCCGAGTTCTTTGGTGAGAGATTTACTCTCAGACAGCGCCTGTTCGCAAAGCCGAGAGAGACCGAGTTGTTCATCGTGGTTACTATGTACAATGAAGACGAGTTCCTGTTCGCGCGGACAATGATCGGTGTCTTCAAGAACATTGAATATATGTGCAATCGCAATACCAGCAAGACCTGGGGCAAGGAGGCTTGGAAGAAAATCGTCGTATGCATCGTCAGCGACGGACGTGCCAAAATCAATCCGAGAACAAGAGCAGTCCTGGCTGGTTTGGGCGTCTATCAAGATGGCATCGCCAAGCAGCAAGTCAATGGTAAGGATGTCACGGCCCATATCTACGAGTACACCACTCAAGTCGGCTTGGAACTCAAGGGCACACAAGTGTCTTTGAAGCCACGATCAGCAACGCCAGTGCAACTGCTGTTCTGTCTGAAGGAGAAGAACCAGAAGAAAATCAACTCCCATCGGTGGTTCTTCCAGGCCTTCGGCCGGGTTCTCGATCCCAACATTTGTGTGCTGATTGATGCTGGAACTAAGCCGGGTAAGGACTCGATCTATCAACTGTGGAAAGCCTTCGACCTTGAACCTATGTGTGGAGGTGCTTGTGGTGAGATCAAGGTCATGTTAGACAAGGGCAAGAAGCTCTACAACCCTTTGGTCGCCACGCAAAACTTCGAGTACAAGATGTCGAATATCTTGGACAAGCCTTTGGAATCCGCGTTCGGTTTCATCTCCGTGCTTCCTGGCGCCTTTTCAGCATACCGGTACGTGGCTCTGCAGAACGACAAGAATGGCGACGGTCCACTCGAGAAGTACTTCAAGGGCGAAACCATGCATGCCGACGCCGGAGTGTTTACCGCCAATATGTATTTGGCGGAGGATCGGATTCTCTGCTTCGAACTTGTCAGTAAACGCAACTGCCAATGGATCCTCCAGTACGTCAAATCGGCAACGGGCGAGACAGATGTCCCTGACGGGATTGCGGAGTTCATTCTGCAGCGACGACGTTGGCTCAATGGCTCCTTTTTCGCTGCAGTATACGCTGTGGCGCATGTCTATCAGATCAGGCGCAGCAATCATAGTGCCATCCGCAAGCTCATGTTCCTGGTCGAATTTACCTACCAGACCATCAACATGCTCTTCGCCTGGTTCGCCATTGGCAACTTCTTCCTGGTTTTCAAGCTTCTGACAGGCTCCCTTGGAACATCTTCTACCTTAGGATCGGCCGGAACCGCTCTGGGCGTCGTCTTCGAATTTGTCTACCTTGGCACGTTGTTGTATTGCTTCATCCTATCAATGGGTAACCGGCCTCAAGGCTCAAAGAAGTCATACCTAGCGATGGTCATCTTCTGGTCGATCCTGATGGTTTGGTTGACGTTCGCGTCAATCTATTTGACGGTCAAGTCCATCCAGACAGAGATTGCGCAGAAAGACTTCAGCTTCTCGACAATCTTCAACAACAGTACCTTTTTCGGCCTGATTGTCTCCCTCGCCAGTACATATGTCCTCTGGTTTGTTGCAAGCTTTTTGTTCTTCGACCCTTGGCACATGTTCACCTGTTTCCTCCAATACATCATTCTCACCCCAACGTACATCAATGTTCTCAACATCTACGCCTTTTGTAACACGCATGACATCACGTGGGGTACAAAAGGAGACGACAAGGCAGAGAAGCTGCCCAGCGCAAATGTCAAGCCGAATGGACAAGTCGATGTTATGATTCCCCAAGATGACGGCGATCTGAATGCTCAGTATGATTCTGAATTGAAGTTATTCGCAACCAAGGCCGAAAAGGAGGTCAAGAAGCAGACTCCTGCGGACAAGCAGGAGGACTACTACAAGTCTTTCCGGAGTAATGTCGTGACGGCCTGGATGGTTACCAACTTTATTTTGGTGGCGGCAGTTCTGAATATTTCGGGCTTTCAACGCATCAATACCGACGTGACCGAACAACAGAACTCTACCATTTACCTGGCCGTCATCTTGTGGTCAGTGGCAGGCTTGTCCCTGTTCAGATTTGTCGGGGCATGTTGGTTTTTGATTGTGCGATTGGTAAGTGGATCACGATGTTGTTGTGCTGTACTCTTCTAACTTCAGACAGTTCCGCGGTGTATGATTTGACGAACGGTCGAGACGTGGGCGACAACGGATGGTATGAGCAATGCATGGCGTTCGAGGTGCTGGGTACCCACAACATTGTATGCATACTTCGGCGAGATACCCCCAGAAAATTGGATGAATGCTCCGGTTCATGAAAGCCTCGAACGACATTGTATGCATACTTCGGCGAGATACCCCCGAAAACATTGGATGATTGCTGCGGTTCATGGAAGCCTTGCATCGAGGATGGTAACTTCGGCTTGGATATCGTAGAGGTTCAAAACAATGCCAATCAAGTTATGCATTCGACCCTCGAGCTGAATGGATGCTTCGGTTCCACAGGCGCCGTGATCTATAAGATGTGGTCTAGGGCTTCCTCCACCTAGAGACCGGATGTCAGGTCTTCGACCAGACACACAGTCCAATCCCCCCGCACACGAGAACCATGCCTAACCACGTATCTCGCGAGATGAGCTTGCCTTCAGCATACCACTCCCCGAGAACGGTAAAAAGAAACGCCAGCGAATTCGTGATTGGCACAGTAAGTGACAGTTCTACGTGAAGAAAGCAAGTCAGCACACAATGATTGCAAGGGAAAACGCCATGTATTCCAATTCCTAGCCATGGACACCACCGGCCCGTTGAGCAAAGTGGCGAGAAGGACGCATGACACAGACATACCAGCTTGCCCGACCAGCAGGAAAAACCAGATACTGCCCGTCAAATTTATGACCAAGGGGATCGCGTATCCCGGGCTTCTCAGGAGGCCCAATACAGTAAAGAATGCCTTTGCGATCTGACGCGAGATCCACAATCGGTTCGGATCGGTCATCGACTGGTGGGAAGGAGCTGTGTAGTTGACGGCTGCTTTGCGGATGAAGGGCGTCGTGAAGCCCCAGCAGACACCGACAAGTAGGAAGGAAAGAATGTAGTTGAACGGTGAGGGTGTGGAGGGTGCGGAAGAAGCGGGATCCGTGTCCGAGGACGACATCTTCGGGTCGTCAAGTGAAGTGAATGAGTGTGGATAAACCGACTGAGAGAGTTTGATAATTGATAATGGCGGATGACGAGCTTGAGCTTGCTAATATACAAGGTCGAGAGCGTTCGAACCAAGGTTCAGGGGGTGAATGTCGGGAACGGATCAAGTTCGTTGCGAGATCCCCACGTCCAAAGATCGCCGGCGCGACTTCAACGGCTCATTAACGGATTTGCAGGTCCGCCGCTTTACACAGTACAGTCAGGAGTTCAGCAGATTCATAGGCCAGGTCGAGAAGTCGACATGCACCTCCTCTTCCGAGACATGCTGATCTACGAAGTACGGAGTACTCTGTACACAGCAATATTATCAAACAAGTGCCACCAAGCCTCCCTGCGTCTGCGCTCGCTATGATTCACCCTGAGGATTCTCTGATATGTCTTCTGCTTCGCCGAAGCCACTAAACCAAGAAGAGGCTGGGCTGATGGCTGCCCACACTGCCTCACTACTCCGTACAACTGAGGTCGAATCGATTACAACACGAGGACAGGTTGTCCGCCGTTGAGGCAAAATCTGCTGTTCGAATGTCTAGAAGCTGCTGAGCTGTCCGTCAATGACTGGACAAGAGTGACAATTTATCGCCGCTGAGGAGCGTGATGGGTCAGCATCCAATTTCCCAGCCTCGTCCAAAGCAAGTGGCTGGGATCTCACCAGACCAGTATTGTCTCACCTCACCCAGTGTTGAGAACTACGATGCCTGGGAATCACTCGTCTCCTCCATGCAAATTACTCACGTAAAGCTGCAGTTCTCTTAACCGTCCTTTTGAAAGCTTGAGCAGAAAGACAGCCGGAGAAACAAAAAGAGCTAAACACTTGAGCTAGACAGTACTTCGCCTCGAACCCCATCATGCCCACGATCCTTACACCACAAGGATGGGTCAAAGTTGCACCTCCTCCTCCTCGCAAGAAGCAACCGGTCTCCAACCCCAAAGCTGCCCTTCGAGGTCCCCTGGCATATTTAGCCTGTCAACCACAGGCACCGACCCTCAACGTCGGCGGCGGGAACGTCAGCAAGGGGAAAGCGCCCTTCCCGTACGATCTAAGCGCCAGTCCCGAGGCGCTGAAGCGACAGAGCCAGGCGAGCAGGACCGTCTCAGCCCCAGTCATGCACGGAGCTCTGAGACCAAGTGGCGAGGACGAGAACGAGAACGAGATCAGGAACGTCCGACCTGAGATGGAAACCCGGCTGCCTCCACCACCGGGATCGATACCGAAGTCGAGATCCAGGAGTTCCCGGCACCACCACGATGACGATGACCGGTCCGTAGCCAGTTCGGGCTCCAACCTAAGTTCGCCGTCGAGTTCCAGTTCAAAATCGAGCGCCAGTTCCAGGTCCAGTGCCCCGTCGGTCAAGTCGTATACGCGACGTAGGCCTGTCGAAGCAAGGCCTGCGGGGCACCCACACCCACACCCACAGCCACCGGCAGGTCCGAGGGACTACTTCTATCCCGCGCCGAGATATGAGCACCAATTTGCACCTCCTCCGACGCCGCAGGTCGTGCATGTCCCGATGCCGATGGGCATGTCGAACGGGCGGAGTCTGTCGTATAGTTGGTATAATGCCACGACGCCGCTGAATATCAAGTGAATGGTAGAGGTGAGACAGGACGTTTTGGCCTTTTGGTTCTGCGTGTATGAGCATGGGCAACGGAATGGGAGGGGAGCAGGGCGTTCAGGCCGTGATTTTGGTAGTGATTAAGCAGAGTAGTTACGACGTTCTAGCGTGTAGTTGATAACTGATACCAATGTTATGGATTGTCGATTAATCCTCGTATATACAAAGTACTAAGTGATATCTGCGCCGTTTCGTGCGTGCTTCCTTCTAGTTGCCCTATGAAGTACACTCCGTTCAACAATGCCCTTAAAACCGTGAGGTCGTACAGAAGCGACCAAGCACTCCACCCATATGATCACAATCAATCCATCCATATGCTCAGCATGCGTGCCGCCGGTATGATCCATCGGCCCTCAGATACCCACACCTAGTTGCTCCGACCAGTCCCGTTCAAAACACCATATTTCATAAACGCCTTGTGCTCCTGTTCGACTCCCTCCTTGTGTAATATATGGTTCGGAAGGCTGGGCGGGCAGCCTGTCCGCTCAATCGTTCCCGACGACCACAACTTTTTCCGTCCTCTTGGATTGCCTGACCGTGCGCACCTGCCTTGTCGGCGGCGGCCGAACGAACGTTTTCTGCGTCTTCGTGACCATGACCCTCGTACCGGGATAATTGCCCCCTCCCACGAACGTGAGATTCGCGTCGGGTCGGCGCGGGTAGGGGTCTATGACGACCACGGGAGGTTTGCGCCGCGGACGATCCGACGAAGATGACGACGAGGTGTCGCTGCCGTACCGTCGTCGGCGGCCACCGCGGAAGTTGCGGAAACAGCAGAGGAGGAGTAGGAACAGGAGGAGCGCGCCGAAGAATGCGCCGACGATGATCCCGCCGACTGCGCCCGGGGGAAGGCCGTCGTTATCGTGGTTCACCAAGACGACGGCGGAAGAGCTGGTCGCGACGACGGGGATTACACTCTGGGTTGAGAGTGTTGGCGTGCCGATGACGATGGGCGGCGGACACCACGAGGACGAGGATGACGTCGTGGTCGGCTTCCACTCGCAGTCGCAGTCCGTCGTCGTGGTGTAACTCGTGGTCCAGCCTATCTGTGTCGTGTAACTTGAAGCGACCCAATCGCTTGTGGTGGTGGTCGTCCACACTGGCGGCGCGCTGGTGCTGGACGTGTAGGTGAGCCATTGTCCTTGATCCCCATCGCCGGGCTGTCTCGGTTCAATTACCGGCATTACGAAGTCGAGTTATGCGCCTGTTTGCGTTGAGCGAGAAGACGGCATCGAGGAGGGCAGAACTTGGGAACTTGGGGGAGATTCGCAGCTCGACGGGCGACCCGTTCGAGGCACATGCAATACGCATGCGAGACATTGCGCCTGGCATGACGACGCTGGCGGGCTTCTTCCAGCCTCCAGCCACCTTTGCCGTCCCACGAGTTCTTGCTTGGAGGGGAGGTTACTCCGTACTTTTTAAGAATAATGCAGGCGGCTGGCAGCTGAAAGCTAACGAAAGCTAAACCTAGTTAAAGGCGGGCAGGGGAGGGGCCTGGAGTTGGAGGGGCTGAGGGGTTGAGGGGCAAGTGACGTGGCCAATCGGTTGACAGCAGGGGCCCCGGGGTCCACCTGAAGCTTCCGAGGCCCCCAAGCTTGGGTACGGAGTACTAAGTACCTAAATAAAGCGGAATACAAAAGCACACCGGGAATATTCGTGCCTCTTCGAAAACAAGTCCAGCGTCCTTGGAATACGATGCTTGCACCATTGCAGAAGTATCTCTTTGATGTGTGCGATCGTGCGCAAGGCTGTACAGTGATAACAGGCCAAAGTGAAGAAGCTGACCTTTCCCGTAACCAGCTGGTCAGATCCCTGCTTCGCGTCGTGTCACTTAGACAACCCAGGGCGATTCGTTCTTTGTCTTCCATGCCTACTCGGGAGGCCAACCACACGGGCGCTCGTCTATGCGCGGACAACGCATGGAGGTCGATGTGTTTAGGGTGGGCTCAAGATGACCTTCATTTTCATTCCTTTCAGTAGGTTCTGTCCCAGTCTGGCACCGCAGCGATGGCGCTCCCATTCCACAGGTATGTTACACTCTCCCAAGCAGGCAAGCCTCCTCACGGTTGTGCAGTCTTACCGATGCAAAGCCCTTCAAGTTCCTCGTCGGTACGACCGGCAAGCCCTTCTTCATACACGCCAAACTTGCGGCTCATCAATCCAGTACTCTGGCCACCCTGATCGATGGTGCAATGCTGGAAGCGGAGAGAAAATTTGCTGTGTTTAACGATGTGGACGAGGACACTTTCATTCGCTTCATGGAGTTTGCCTATACCGGCGACTACTCTGTTGCTGAACCTGCTGTGGTCCTTCCCCCGCCAGATCTTGATGTTGAGAATGGAGATGGCAGCCGAGGAGGTGCTGACTCTCCGATACTCGATGCTTCAGACGCGTACCTCCCTGCAGACCCCCCCGAAGAGGCGCGAAGCGAAGAGCCCTACTTCGGCTTTCGGCCACCCCGAGCGAAGAAAGACAAGAAGAAAAGGAACACGGACCTTTGGGACTTTGGCGCATGTGAACCGGCCGCCCCTGAGCCACCGAAATCAAAGCGCCAACGGCTCTGAGAGTCTTTTCAAGCCCGAGCCATCGTGAGATCATCGAGCCCGTGGAGACCGACCTCCAACACGGACGATTCGGAGGACTATACATTGGTCTTTCTCTGCCATGCCAAGCTTTACGTATTCGCAGACAAATATAGCATCGGACCGCTGCTGGATCTCGTCCTATTAAAACTCCGGCTCAATCTGTCAACCTTCAACCTGCATTCGCGACGGACTGGAGATGTTGTCGAACTCTTAAAGTATGCGTACGAGCATACTGCGGATTACCCGGAAGGAATTGATCGACTACGCGATATGGTTACTGATTACGTGATGTGCCATCTTGAGAGGATTGTCGCACATGGCGACTTTAAGAAATTGCTGCAGGAAAATGGAGATGTGGCCAAAGACCTCATGCCCAAGGTGGTGCAACGACTGGACTAAGCTACAGGACTTGCCAGTTTCAAGTAGCTTTACTGGTTGCGAGGACGTACGGTCTCACGGCATGTCGGACTCGGGTTATTCATGAAGGCACCTGGAAGGCCTGTGGGTAACAAAAGCCAGGTTTTGTCGATGGTGTTTGGCATTTACTCAATTCGCAACAGTACTGCTATCCATATTGCCATATTCAGCATTGGCCCTGGAAAGCGACGGCACTCTTCTGACGTCCTGTTGAGTACGCCTGATCTCGTGGGATTGAGCCAGATCTGTGTGATGTCGATGTTTCATGCTGCCTCTCACACGGGATAGAACAATCCTCGGATGTAGCGCCCATGCCACCATTGCATTCCTCCATACGGCTCCAGCCGAATACAGGAATCGTCTTCCAGCACGGCCAGATGTGGGTGCGTGATTCAGAACTTGTGAAGCACAACACGTTGAATATCGACGGCCCACAGCAACGAGGTTGCAAAGAACATGCGACACAGACAGAGAGATTGGTCCACTCGGATGGAGCTGGTAATTGCTGCTGTAACGCTGTAACGCTGTCATGCTGGATTCATGCTGGATCAAAATAGAAGCAATTTGTCGTTGAATGTCTTCGGTCTTCTCCGCAGCGACGATCCATCACACTTTCTTCCTTACCTCGCACGATCCGCTTCATCGAGCCCCTCTACAGTAACCCCTACGGTAACCCCTACAATAACCCCTACAGTAACCCCTCTGGTACAAATTCACATCCCTACCCTTCCGCTGCCAGCCCGAGTGTGGTTCCAGACACCTCCCCCTTCTACTTCCGTCCCCTAGCCATGGCTCCCTCACGGATATCACCAGAGCCCTCAGTAGAGCCCCCGCAGGGCCTCACGCCGAAACAACTCGCCTCGTTCGAGCGCGACGGCTACCTCATCATCCCAGACTACCTCTCCGCCCAGACGTGCCAGAGCCTCCTTTCCAAGACGCACCAACTCCTCACTGACTTCCCCCTCGCCGATCACCCCATGACCAAATTCACGACCGGCACCGACTCCCACGGCGACAGCACCTCCAAGGAACACGTCGGCGACGATTACTTCCTCACCTCGGGCGACAAGGTGCGCTTCTTTTTCGAGGAGGACGCATTCGACGCCCAGACCGGCACGCTCAACAAGCCCAAAGAACGCGCAATCAACAAGATCGGCCACAACCTGCACGGTCTGGTGCCCGAGTTCGGTAACGTGTCGCACGCCGGGCCCATCGGACGACGCAACGCCGCGATCGCGCGCGACCTGGGCTACCGCGACCCTCGCCTCCTGCAGAGCATGGTGATCTGCAAACAGCCTGAGATTGGCGGCGCCGTGCCCCCGCACCAGGACTCGACCTTCCTGTACACGAACAAACCGTCGGCCGTGGGGTTCTGGATCGCCCTCGAGGACGCGACCGTGCAGAACGGATGTCTGAGTTTCGCGCCGGGGAGTCACCGCCGGGCCCCGATCAAGGAGCGGTTCGTAAGGAAGGCCGATAACTCGGGGACAACGTTTGAGGCCGTGCCGGAGGAGGCGCAGTGGCCGAGGGCATTTCAGCACGAACCAGAAACAGAAACACAAACACAAACACAAACACAGGCGGAAGCACGGTCTGAGGCCACCGACGACGAATATACCCTCGGCGAAGTCAAGGCCGGCAGTCTGGTGCTCATTCACGGCAACATCCTGCACAAGAGCGAGAAGAACACGAGTTCCAAGGGACGCATCATCTACACATTTCACATTATCGAGGGGCAGGAGCACTACGACGGGAAGAACTGGTTGCAAGTCCCCGGGGGGCCGGCAGCCTTTACCAAGCTGGACGGCAAGGTCGACACACAGACGTGATGATACATGGATATGGACACAGATGATACGATGTGATGTGATGTGATGCGATACAGACGTGCGCCTGCACGCACTTTCACCTGCACTGCAGCCTCTATAGGCCGACACGCCCGCGAGAGTCGACGTCGCTCTCAATGGTTCGTGCTAGATATAGAACACAACGTCGCTGGGGCAGCCAGTGAACCAGGCGCGGTTCACCTTCGTGACGGTGCTTCCCAATTCGTGAGGTATCGATAAACTCGGTTCCGAGCTATTATCCTGGAGAAGAAGAAGAAAGCGAAGGAGAAGGAGAAGCAGAAGGAAAATGTGCGAGCAGAGGACTATGACCGACCGTTTACATTGTACTCCTACCCGTAATACTGAATACCTACTGTAAGAAGATCGACGCTCCGGATTGCGTGGAGAAAACCCATTTCTGCCATCTTACGGCCGCCATCACTGGGTACTGTGTACGGTCCTGTGTCTGTGTATACTGTTCGCGGGCACAGTACATAGAGTGCAAAGTGACCGGCCGATTGCTCACAGCGCGCTGTGTATACTACGAAGCGGTACGTGGTACCGTACACGGAGTACCTACTGTAAATAGCGGGGTTGGATTGGTGGGGACGGTTCAGTAACTCGTCCGGGCACATCGACAGGTACTCCAGTACTCGTACGCACACGGTACTCGTACGGAGTACACCTCGACGGGTCTAACTAATCATGTAGCGTGCAGCCGGCGTGTTACAGTACCGTAGACGAGAGCGGTGACGTAGCGGAATTTCAATATGTCGGCTGTTGCGTCGTGATGAGATGATGAGATGCGTGCCAACCGGCTGCCACTGAATGTCACATACATGCCACGTACGTGCAGTGCCTTGGACTTGACTTTGAGCAGTTCGGCAGCTTCTTTCTCTGATTCATATTTTCATTCAAGATTCAAAGGCACCTCGATCGACCGATTCAGCCAACAGCCCAACTCAGTACAGTGTGGTGCAGGTGCAGTGCAGTGCAGCGCGTCACAATTCAGCGCACACATACTCGAAGTGTGGATGAACCCGACACACGACACGACTTGACATTAAATTCGATTTCAATCCGATTGATCTGATTTGATTTGATTTGATTCGACTTCGACTTGAATTCGACTTCAAGTTCTGCTTCTAGTTCTACTTCTAGCTCTAGTTCGGATTCTCCAAATTCAGACCAGCCTCACTTTCGACATCCACCCAAAATGTCCAGACCACAACTCCTCTCGCGTCCGTCGAGCGTGGTGGCGCAGAAAAAGACCATCATCCTCGTGACGGGCGGAAACACGGGCATCGGTTACGAAATCGTCAAGAAGCTCGCGCGCGACAGCCCCACCAACCAAGTCCTCATGGCGTGTCGGGACACGCACAAGGGCGAAGAGGCCGTGGCGGCCATGGGCGCCCCTCTCAACGTGAACCCCATCCAACTGGACATCACCGACGACGAGTCGATCGAGCACTGCTTCCTCGCCGTCCAGCAGCACTTTGGCAAGCTCGACGTGCTGGTCAACAACGCCGGGACCGCGGCGCAACATCTGGGCCCGGACGCGACGCTACGGGAGAGATTCGACCTCTGCATGAACGTGAATGTCACTTCCACGGCCGTGTTGACGGACAAACTGGCGCTGCTGCTCGAAAAGTCGGCCCTGCCCAAGGTGATCTTCATTTCCTCGACCGTGGGCTCCATCCAGACGAACCTCAAGGCCCTCACGTACAAGGGCGTGTGGTACAACGCGAGCAAGACCGCCGTCAACATGCTGGCTGTCCACTACGCGAAAGTGTACCCGAGGTGGAAGGTCAACAGCGTGTGCCCGGGGTATCGGGCCACAGGGCTGAATAATGCAGAATTGACCGACGAGACAGACCCAAGGCTGGGCGCCGTGCGGGCTGCCGAGTTGGTAGCTGAAGGCCCGGACGGTGTGACGGGGACGTTTTCGCGAGCCGACGGTCCGGTACCATGGTGATGGTGACGATAATGATAGATCATGATGATGATGATGATGATAAAGAAGATGAACGGAATTACTTGGGGGGGGGGGGGGTTTGAGCCTAGAAATTCGGATGGACCCTTTCACGAAAGTAGAGCCTCCCCTTCTTCCGCGTGCTGCAGTGTCTCGCCGCGGGTGCTGCTGGTGCGTGTTCGCATCGTCATATAGCTCGACAGTTGAAAGCTCCAATGACAGCACATGCCAGCCACGAAGCCCACGGCGTCGTTTTTGAACGCGATGAGCAAACCTGCCGTCACGAGCATGACGGACCATCTGCGCTTTCTCTCATCATCTGTGATCTCGCCGCATCGACGGCCGCCTTCTTCTTCCTCTTCTGCTTCTGCTTCTGCTTCTTCTTCTTCTTCTTCTTTTTTACCCAGATCTCGCGCTCGCGGCGTGTTCAAACTCTCTCCCACGCTGGCAAGCTCCAACCCGGCCGCGATGATCATGACGGAAAGCAACGCCAGCGGGAACCGGCCCAGCAGATCCGAGAGGCTTTCGCCGAACAGGACGCCCAAGACGAGCTTGAGCAGGCCCAGAAAAATGACGCTCGCGCCCGAGCGCGCGCCGAAGCGATATTGAGCCGCCAGCCCGCCGGAGCCATGACACACGGGCATGGCGCCGAACCAGCACCCGACGAGATTCATCGCGGCCACGCTGATCCCGATGGCCGTGACCGACGGGGTTTCAATCTCCGGAAGCAGGTCGGCGGCAAGGTGCGTGACGGCGATGATCGAGTTGAGCGTGGTGAGTGGGAGTTGGCCCACGCCCGCGTCCAGGATTCCCGTCCTCCATTCGTCTCCCGTGGGGGCTTGGACGTACGGACGCCACAGACGGAATCCGGGCAACTGCTCGTCGTGTTTGTCGCCGCCCGCCGCCACCACCACCTGGACGACTGCAAACGCAATGCCGACCAGGAAGACGGGCAAGGCATACGGCGTCCGAGGCCGGAGGCTGGTCGCGAAGAGGGCCAGGAACGCGAGGATCATCCATAGGTAATTGTCCAGCCAGGACGGCGCCGTCCAGGAGAGCGACGCCAGCGCTTTCCCGCCGGCGGCAAGAATCAAGCTCAACCCGGCACCGACCTGAATGCCCTTCACGACGGGGATGGGGATCACTCTCGTGAACCATGTCAGAAGCCCGGTGATACTAAAGAGTAGAATGCACGTGGACACGAAGAGCCCGGCTGCCGCCGTCTGGCCCGCTGTCAGGGATTTGAGGATCGCCACGGCTGCAATGGCTTTCATCGGCTGCACCGGAAGCGGGATGCCGAAGAATGCGCCGGTCAGGATATTATAGACCCCCGTGAAGATCAAGGTCGTTGTCAAGGAGATCTGATGGCCTTCTGCCAAAGCGATGACGATGGGTAAGAAGGTGCCTAGGTCCCCGAGCGAGCCCGAGATCTCGTTCCATGGCTGCCGGCGGAAGGTGGAGAGGTTGTGGGCGGCGAGATGGCCGAGTCGGGACTGAATCATCGTGCTTGTGCTTTGAGGGTGTTTGGATGCCTCTGCCCATACCAATCCGAAGGAGGAGAGGAAGCGATCGCAGAGGACGGTTGAGGAAAGGTGATACAAATAGTCAGCATGCAGCAAAGCAGTCAGACCGTGTAGGCTGTAGGGCAGATGATGTGGTCGCGCGGATAAACGCTGGATGATCGATCGACACCACCAACCAATCAATCAATCAGTAACAGGAGCAGCCAGTGACGAGGCTACAGTCCGACAGCCACCAGACATGGTGCAACACAGCATGACAAGAGGCCACAGCCCGCGGGAGACGGTCCAAGCTGGACAGTGTTGAGTGCGTCTTGTCTCGATCTGTCAATTATTATGGTGATATACACACTTGAACTCGAGGTCGCTCAGCACATTCTTCTATTGTACAAGCCACAAGCTGGAAGGCGAAAAATGCAGTCCGTGCCCCATCGAGACTTGCCCCAGATATACTCGGCTTCTCTCCCATCACTTGCCGCTGATCATACTCCGGAAGTCGTCGTTTGACCTCTTCGTGCCGCCCTCTCCATCCACCTTCGTGTCACCCTTGTCGCTGGAGCCCGAGCCCAGCAATACCGCCGACCTCATTCCCAGATGCCCTCCCTTTCGAACCCCAGGTTGAGCAGGACGTTTGACGGGCCCGCTCGCCGCCGAAGGGACACTGGGAGCTGGTCGTTTACTAAATTGATCCATCTTCCGCTCTGGCTTCTGCTGCAACATTTCCTTCATAGTTGTAACGCGAACTCGCCGGCCAGGAGATATCTCATGGTGGTGCAATCCAACCATTGCACGACCTGCGTCCTCAGCTCTTTCGTATTCGAGAATCGCGCCTGTGTGACTAGTCTTGAGCACAATTTTGCTGACCTTTCCATACTTCTCTGCGGCGCTCCGAAGCAGGCTCGCGTTGACAATGTCGGGTACGTCGCAAAGGACGACTGTCCTCTCTCTGCGCTTTTCACGATCCTCCAAACTCAAGCTCTGCTTCTCATCATCCGAGACAACGGACACGGACTTCGAGCGGCCGTTCAAGCTTCTGTCTGGCCGTTTGTCGTGCTCGGACGTGAGAGTGACGGTGAGCTTCCTGTTCTTGAATTCCTCACCATCCATGGCCAAAGCAGCCTGTGCTTGTTCTTGAGTTGCAAAGGTCAAGAAGGCAATGCCGCGATTACGAGTGTTTCGAGACTGGTCAAGTGGAAATTTGACGTATTCGATGCTTCCGAACTTGGAAAACAGATCCTCCACTTCCTCACGCCGGGCCTTGAAGTCGATCTGCCCAACGAAGATCTGACGTCTCTCATTCGTGGGTTCCTTCCTTGCTCGCTTTTCGCTGGGTTTGGAAATCTTCGCGACGAGCGAGAGGCCGTCAACGTCCTTACCATCGAGTTCGGTGGCCGTTTGCGCATCGCTAGGGTTCTTGAACTCGACATAGCAGAACCTCCGTTTCTTGTTGCGCTGGAGCGAAGGGAAGCGTACATTGACAATTTCGCCGTACGGACGGAATAGGTTGCGGATGTATGCTTCGTCGGCAGCAGCAGGGTAGTTGGTGACAAACAGTGTTGATCCAGTGCTGAGAACGACAGAGAGCTGGGCTCCTTCAAACTCGCGTCCATCTCGGGAGAGCGCGAAGTTGGCGGCGTCTGCCTCCTCAAACTCCACAATCGCGCTGTTCTCTTCATCATGCAAAAGCGTGACTTGCTTCACCATCCCGCAACTGCTGAAAAACTGTCTCATCTTCATCTCGGTGACATTTGACGGCAAATTCTGGACCAAGACACTGGCATGTTCGCGATCTCGTTTCACTTCGTCCACCGCAGCCGCATTCTCCTCGACAGACTCTGCTGCAACTTCTTCGTTACGTTGGCGCTTCGCGACATCCTGCTCGTCAATTTCCTCGTCACGTTTGCGCTTGCCAATATGAAGACTGTTGGCAACCTCCTCTGTCCTGTTCGCAACTTCTTCTTCAGCTTCCTGCTTCTGCACCGCAACTTCTGCCGCTCGCAGTGCCTCTTGCTGTCGTTTGGCGGTGAGGTCTTTCCGTACCTTTCGAACCAACCCGATGGCGCTTTGCAATTCTTCGGCATCCTCGTAGTCCTCGCAATGGTTCAAGAGTGCTTCCATGATCGGCTCTGGATAGTCCAACTCTGGATGCTGAAGCGCTTCCTTGAGGATGCCGGCCGCAAACGGCGCGGAAGAGAGAGTACCCAGTCGATCAGGACCCGCTCGTTGGAGAAGGGCCATTTGCATGGATTTCTGCAATTCGAATTCGTAGTATCGGAGCCAGAATTTGTAGTATTTGCCATAGTCAGCCACAGCATCGTTGAATTGAGCCCCGGCATTATCCAGTCTCCCCTGAGACTTGAGATACTCGACGTACTTTCGCTGTAGCCGAAATGACGGGTCAAAGGCACCAGTGACTCCCAGATTGGAAGCACAATTGTGTGCAGCTTCAATCGACGACCGGATTCCCATCTCGGCCACATCCGAGTCTTCTTCGGTAGCATCCGGTCTCTTCGATCGTCGTAGGAGGTAGCCACACCAAGCATCATAGACCAGAAGAGCTTCCTCGATGCCTGCTGCATCCAAAAGTCCCGTACTCGTCGCCTTGTGCTTGATTTTCTCGGTTTCATCAAATGACTCCTCGGCGAGCTCTGAGGCCAAAAGATACTGTTTCCAGAGCGCCCCAGACCAGGGGCAATGCTTGGTGGCTCGAGCCAGTGTCTCTAGCAGGCCTGGCTTCGACTTCTCAACCAGGTAGTCGATGTGCTCTTCCCATATGGCGAGGACGGAAGGGAAGCGCAATTCAGCACGTTGGTACAAAGCGTCGACCATGTCGAAGTGGGCATGCCGAACTTCTTGTGCACGTCTGTTCTTGCTTCTCCTTTGAGACTGAGCCCTGTCCTCCTGCTCACGTTCCCACTCGATGTACTTCGCGAAGGCTTGGTATTCTGCGGTGGTGTCTTCCAAGGATTGTGCCTGTGAGAGTGCCGTCTCAAACCCGTCCCTGTCTGCCCATATCTTCTTGGCGTTGGCCGACTCTCTGAGGTTCGAAGCCATGATATCTTCGTACTGACTCGGAGGTATGTTGGCTGACACAAAGCTAGAAAAAGCCTGGAACGTTTGTTGCCATTCCGCGTGTGGGACGCGGAGTCGGGCTTCGAAGAGCTCGAGGGCTGTCGTCACGTCGCCTGGTTTCAGTTTCTGGTTGAGATCGCCAAATCGAACGGCCATGTACTTGTCCCAAACTTTATGGCTGCAGCTCATGTCATGACTTGTACGATCGACGGCTTCCGTCCACGTGTCCAGCACAAGATTCCAATCGAACACTTCTCGGCCCACCAGGCGTTCAGTATCGATATCGCTTTGTGCATCACCCGTCGCATCTAGAGCCCATTTGTGACAGTGTAGAAGCCAGTCTCCGTAGGTCGTCCATAGCCGTGTGCTGCCATACTCTTCGGTTACTGCCCGCCGGCAGTTATCCACCACAGCGACTCTCTCATCGGCTGTCTGAGCAAGGATGCTCTCGTCTTGAAGCCAGGTAAGCCATTGTTCCTCCCCCACGGCGAAGAGCTTGTCGAGGTTCTCTCGCGCTTGACGGAGGTCGGGGAGCAGGTCATAGGTGTGGGGATCACGCCGAGTATTTTGGTCGGTAGGGGGATAGATGTGATCGATGAAGCCTTGGTGCAAGATACCGATGATTTCCTTGTGGGCTTCGTACGAAGACGGTGATTCTTGAATATAGGCAGCCAAAACAGCAAGCCTCTGCTGCTTCTCGACCGGGAGAGAAGTATCTGAATAATCGGCCCTCACCGTCTGCTTCGGCGTGTCGACCATGTTGATATCGATAGACGCACGCGGATTCGACGTCGCGCCGGCCGATGTCAAGTGGGGGAAGAGACCAGACGAAGATTTCTGACTGTCCGTCGATTCACGGCTAGTCAAGGTTGGAGGGGTGACCTTCGACGAAGCAAACTCTGCCAAGGCCTCTATCGAAGTAGCGGAAGAAGTGCGAGGTAGGTGGGCGGAGAGGGTGCCAGCCGGGACGGGACTAATGAGCGGCGACGGATGGGCAGACTGTTGAGACGGACTTCTCATATGTGCAGGAACACTAGATGCAGGATGGACGGAGCGACCAAGAGGTGAGTTCACTATGGCTGCCGCACCCGAATGTGATCGTTGGACATGGCGGTAGGGCGATTGGGCATGCGACGGCGGCTGCGACTGCGACTGCGACTGCGACTGCGACTGCGCTGGTGCCGCATTGGAAGTGCTCGTGGAAGGTGTGAGAGAAGGTCTGCGAGGAGTCTCCGAGGGAGAGAGGAGTGAATTGATATCCATGCTTGCGCAAGTGGCTCGTTCTTTCCTCACGTTTCAATCGGACACGAATGTTTCCTCTCCGTCTCTTTCAGTCCTGATGTCTGTGCCAGTCTCTGCCGCGTCCATGTCCACCTCCCAGCCAAAATCAGAAGGGTTCCGGATCTGCCGATTCCGTGTGCAAGTTGGCAAAGATTGGTCCAAGGTCGTGTGAAAATATCGATCGTCGAGATTAATGGGAAGAAGTGGAGAGGCGCGGGTTACAGTGAAGCGGACAGTACAGGAACAGGCGAGAAGTAAGTACCCAGTAATTAAAGAATGACGAAGATGGAGACGGCGAAGGTCCTCCGGGGAAAGCAAGAATAGCCTGTTTGAACAACTAATTAGCTTTAGCCTGGATGAGGACTCCGGCCGCGAGAGGACTGTACTGGGTAACTGGCGACGGGTTCTGCTGGCTGTGGTTTCACTCGTGGCGATTCGATCACAAGGTAGAGGCCGAGGCCGGGCTTTTCTCTGGTTCGGCGCTCTAGACAATCATGCCCTGTCGATCAACCAAACGTGGCGAGTGTGGCCAGCAGGCGTCCAGGGCATCTAAGGATCCAGGGTGCCAGGGCATTCACGGCGTTCGCGGTCCTTGTGCCGAACCCGAGATCTGCTGGTGAAGCTCACTATGCTCCTCCGTACCGAATATGCCAAGCGGCCCCCCATTTGGAAATCTGCGAGATCCTCGTCTCGAGGTGCAACCGTCGACTGCATTGAACACTGCATCAGAGCTCGAACTGGGCTCAGCCCTGCGATCATGAACTCCCACCAGGTCGCCTTGCGGCGCGCCTGTAGAGGCACGTCTACCTCTCTCACTGTTGCTGAACACTGGGTTAACAACCTTACAGCTTGCCAGTCTCAGTCGTCGCCCTCGGTCGACCTCTCCCGATTAATATCTTCCCTTCATCTACAGCCAACGAGGACATTCCACGCATCCCGCCTTCGAAATGCTCCCCCGAGTCCCGATCCCGTTGCCTCCAAGAAATCTCCAGATGCCGCACCGAAGACCAAGCAAATGACCCCACAGGAGAGAATGAAGGCAGCACAGCGGCGAGCCCAGGAGAAGCTGAGCGAACAGCGAAAAGAATACGAGGCCACCGTCAAGCAAGGCGGCCTTGCCCCGAGCAGCGCATTTGGAGGCGAGCTGAAGCGAAAGACGTTCCACCCGGCCGGTCCTGTGACCGAAGACGCGTTCGAGAAGCGCAATCCCACCAACATGGATCAGGCTCTCAATCCACGGCCAGAGGCTCGGCTCAGGTGGCAGCGGAAGATGGTCATCCGCGAGATCAAGCACCGCGGCAGACTGAACAAGACGGTCCGGATTGCCAGGACCGAACGCGAACATACGTCGAGATCGCACTTCTTCAAGACGTCGATGAAAAAGCTTGCTCCCCTCGCCCGCCAGATCGCCGGCAAGTCCATCGACGAGGCCATTCTTCAGATGAGATTCTCGAACAAGAAGGTCTCGCAGGACGTTCGCCAGCACCTCATCCAAGCTCGCAACGAGGCCATTGTCATCAAGGGCATGGGCCTCGGACGTGCTGGGTCCGAAAACTCCGACTTGCACGCCGATCCGAGCGAGACACCACCGCTCCCGCACCAGACGCCCCTGAAGACCTACAAGAAGGGCGAGGCCCCTGATCCGACAGACATCTATATAGCTCAGGCGTGGACCAACCGTGGTCCGTACGGTCAGGAACCGGATTACCGTGCTCGAGGGCGAATGTACGTGATGAGACCTCCGCACACGGGTCTTACGGTGCTGTTGAAGGAAGAAAAGACGCGGACAAGAGAGAGGGCTGAGAAGCAGGCGAAAGCCCTAAAGAAGCGGACAGGCAAGAGCATGTGGGTACACCTACCCGACCGACCCGTCACCACTCAGAGGCAGCACGTCTTGTGGTAGATAATTTTGTACAGGGAGCGCCGAACGGGATTCTTAGATTATTGGACTTGTATCAAAAGCATAACATGTCGAGAGACACCCAGTGTTCCAATATGATTTTTTTCTCCAGCTTTTCCGGGCTCATACGCTCCAAGGCCACATCGAGGTACGGTATTAGCGATTTAATCAAAAACGTCGACAGCATAGCGCTCGCCTCTCAGTCCATCCCACCACTTCAGTCCTTGCTCGTGCGTGATGTCTTTGCCTTTCTTCTTCGAGTTCTCGACCGTAAGCCTTGCAGCGACATCGGCCACGCCTTTTCCCAACGCACCACTGCCACAAATGTACGCCCTGGCGCCGTTGTCAAACAATTCGCTGACCGGCCCTCGCTCCTTCCAAAGCCTGTCTTGGACGTACTTGCACCCCTCGGAACGTTCTGGCTCGCGGCTGAACGCGTAAAACACCTTCACGACACCATCACGGGCCCACTGATCGAGCTTCTCGCCGTGCAGTCTGTCCTTGTCGTGGTAGCGACATCCGACGAACAAGAGTGCTTCCCCAAAGGCATCACGATCTCCCGAGGCACCAAGTCGCGCAGCGCGTTCTTGGACGAACCCCAGGAAAGGCGCGAGACCTGTGCCCGCGCAGACCATGATGATGGGCGTCTTCGTGTTCAGGGGCAGGTGGAAGCTCTTGTGAGATTTCTTGATCGTCAGCTGCACCCTTGACCCCGGTTGCAGACCTTTGAGATAGTTGGTCGCCACGCCGAGATGCTTGGGATCCGACCCGACCACCGAATAGGTGATACTGGCTTTGGTGGGGTCGTCGAGCGGCGACGAGGAAATCGAGTATTGCCGGATCCTCATGGGTGTGAGCATCGACAGATACACGGCAAACGGGAGCTCGATTCTAGGATATTTCTCCAGAATGTCCAGGATCGACAGCCCTTCTACATTGGGCAGAAGTTCCTTCTCGATCGACTCATCTTTGGTATATCTGCTGAGAGTAGCAATGTTCTTCCGAGTCGCGGGATTGTTGAGTTCAACGTACGCACCGAGCACGGCTGAAACGGCGATGGCGGTTTCGGTAGGGATGGTGGTATGTGCCCCTTTTGCAAGAGTCATGAATGCATCCCATGGTAATCCAAACCGACGGAGGATCCTCGAGATCGTCTGGACGCTGTTGAGTGGCAGCAATGCCAGGTAGTCTCCCGCTTCATATGTCATACTTGTAGGCAAGTTGAATTCGGTCTGTCGTTTCTCTGGAATGTCTGGTGCCGTCAAAAGTTCGTTCTTCAGAACCAGTGCCTCCTGGACGTTGTGGCGAAGGTGAGATGCGCGGGCGCTTGTGCTGATGACCATGTCCAGGCCTTCAGCAACTTCATTACCTTCAGGGTCGACCGAAAGAGCAGGCCAGAGCTTCTCGTCGACCCAGGAATCGAAGTCGTCGAAAACATTCCCTTCTGCGACATCAGATTGCCCGCGTTCCGCAATAACTTTGGCTCCTCTGGCATCAAACTCCCTGTCAATCAGCTTTGGGATCCTCTGGAAGGTGCTGACCCAGTCATGATGACCACAACCAAAGACGGCATATTGCGTCTCCTTCACCTTCTCCGCATCGACGGTCTTGATCCAATCCACAAATCTTGCAGCGTTGTCGGGTGCATTTCCCTCGTAGCTGGCAGTAATGATAATGACAGGTTGATTGCCAGGGATCTGGTCTACTGCCGCGTCCAGGGATTCGACGGTGGCTTTGAAGCCTCGGTTGCCGGCTGTATTGGCGAGATTCTGTGCCAGACCTTCGCAAGTACCCGAATTAGAGCCATAAAGAATCAGCATTGGCTTGCCGGCGTCCCCGACTTTGTTTGCTAGAGCACTTCGATCCTTCTTGTGGGCGTCTACAACCTCAAGCCCCGCATACATCTTCCTTTCCAGGGTCACCGGGTTGATACCCTCGCGAAGTGTGGCCCGGATGAAGAAATTGTCCGGCTTGACGGTTAACGTCTGTCGAATTTGAAGTTGATATGATGGATCATCCATTCTGACGTTGAAATTCTGAAGAATCAGGGCGATCGCCAGAATTGCCTCCTGCCAGGCAAAAGGCCTTCCAATGCACCCACGAGCTCCATTTCCAAAAGGCTGGATAGGGTTAGACATCAATCAGCTGTTCATGCAGACACGCACTTACCTTCCACGCGTTCGGCGGCAGCCTTGTAAAGTTCTCCCCATACATTCTCTCCGGCTTGAACTCATCCGCATCCGCACCAAAGACCATGGGGTCACGTCCTGCCTTGGAAAGCAGAACAATGACCGGGACGCCATGTGGGATGGTGTACTTGCCAGCAAGGACCACTGGTCCGGGGACCGTTGGCAGAGCTGTGACTGAGAAGCCTGGAGCGGTCGGGTTGAGCCGAAGAGTTTCCCTCATGACAGCTTCAATGTAAGGTAATTTGGACATGTGCTGGACAGTGACCGGTCCTTTTCCGACGACAGCGTCAACCTCCTGTTGAGCCTTTCGCATTGCTTCGGGATTCTTCGAAAGCTGGTAAAAGGCAAACGAGAGTAAGCCGGACGTCGTCTCATGGCCTGCAATGAGAAATGTGATGATGTTGTTGATGATACTCTGGTCGGTCATTTTCTCTCCAGTCTTCGGGTCCTTTCCAAAGAGCATTGCATTGAGCAGATCTTTCTTCTCGGTCGGGTTGGCCCTCCGGTGGTCAACCATCTCCTGTGCCACGTTTCTCATGGTCGCTATGTTTTCAAAGTATTCACGCTCCGCCGTCCTGTTGAACAAAGCCCCGATCCTGGTCCGGGTTCCCCGCCGGCCAGACTCGAGTAGGAAACCCACCATCGCATCCACAAAGGGGTGCATCTTTTCCGAGTAGAAGGAATTGAAGCGCTTGTCCATGACACATAGGGCGATGGAATCTAATGTGAGTCGAGTGAAGTCGTCCGCCACCGCGATCTTCTGCTCGGGACCAGTACGAGCCCACTTCGCAATCAATTGAGTCGCAATGTCGTACATCTCATCATCTGCGACTATCAGCACTGGACCAACCCGCAGGAGAGAAACCCCTACACATGTCGTGGATCCCAATCGGGCCAAAAGCGGGTACAAGTATTCGATGAGCAACTTCCCAATCGTGCTCTCCGTGGTGGGCCGTGAAAAGACCATTCCCTGCGCCATTTCTGACTTGGTCCAGAGCGCCAGCGACAACCTTGCAGAAGCGTTTTTCATCACACACTTCATTGAGCAGCTCAACTGAGCTGACAATATATCTCTCTTGTCCGAAGACGTTTATCTTGAAGATCGGTCCTACAAATCAGCGTCAGTATTGGGCCCCTCAGCTGAGGCTGGACGGGCACACCATATTTGTTCGCCAGATGGGTAAGACTTTCATTGGCATTGTTCGGGTTGACATCCAAGACATTGCCGATTAGAGGTATCCCAGGAGGTGCTGGAATAGGAGTCGACATCGTGTGCCACAGTGTCAGTTACGATGGTTAACGGGCAAATGTGGAAGGCAGGAGGCAAGTTGTATAGCAGGTGAGGAGAGAACAGGGAAGCTCAAGAAGCAACACGAAGGTTAAGCAACACACGATAGGAAGGATGGGTCGACGTCAGCCATCGCCTCGGTGACAGTCAGTCGAAGCATATTGTGAGGTGACAGCTGCAGCATTGACTTGGCGTATATACTCTCAGGTCAACCACATTGCGTGGCCTCCAGCCTCCCCGAGGTCGTGCTGAACGATCGTCCATTCGCAACAGCGGACCGGGTCAAGATTTTGTCCCACGGTTGACTAAGGCGAGCTATTGCCTTTCCCGACCAGAGGTTTCGTGAGTTGCCAGGTACGGGAATGCCGTTGATGCAGCGGGAGGAGGAGTTGTGGAACAACTGAGTTAGCAACAGAACGGAATAATATTGCACCGCCAATCGGACGTTGCCTCGGCGTGTTCGGCAGCAAGCAGAGGCATGTGCATGTGTGTGCCGATTCGCTCGACATGCGCAGGTCAAGCATTCTTGCGAGCTGTGAGAAGCTTATGAGAACGGCTTGTGAGTTAACTTTGCTGTGAGTCTGATCAATCAGGTGCTACGACGAGGCTCATGTCGCTTGGCTGCTAACACCAAAACGAAGTGAGCTGAACATAAGCAACCAGAGTAATACGAAGTACGGCGCTACTTAAGCTATGACCCGATCTGGTGATGGGTGGGTGAATTGGATTGTACAAAGCAGCTGGCTTTGAGGCGCTGTCATCGGTCGATGGCCGTCGCACCCCGTGCTGTCCTCGGAATAGGCCAGACATGGTCCCAGCGACATCAGTTGTTTCGTTTGTTATTATTCTACCCGTCCTAATCTGTCATGGCTCGCGTATATTCCCAGACATCGATCCAGATGAAACATCAAGCGCCTGCAGTCGAACCACCAACCTGTACCTTTATGCGGACTCCAAAGCAGGGGAACGCTATCGTCGAGCCCTGAAATACTTCTAGCATCCGGGGTCACCTCGTCAGCCGTGGTCGGGGATCAGTTCGTAGCCGCCTTCGCTTGGCAGGGTCACCGCAGCCAACGTTATCGCAATGGCACATACTGCCTCAAAGCTCCACGATATCGTACACATGGTCCAGCTCTTGTCGAGGAACCAGCCGGAGAAAAATCGCTCATCATTTTCGTACAAGTATGCCTGTCAGGGTCAACCGATGTTGCTGAGAGGGGAAAGGAGCATCATCTCTTACCATCAAAGCCATCCCGATGGCCTGAACAAACGCGGCCAATGCCACAAGAATCGTAAGCACACCCCAACCTTGTTCCCTTTTCTGTTTTCCTCCCACAAGCAAAACTGCAAATGCGGCAAGCGTCATGCCCTCCAGCACGACTGCGAAGGACATGAGGAAACCGACAGACCTCCACATGCTGCAAAAATATCGGTCGTCGCCGCGGCAATCTTCATATCGAGGGAATTGCGTGCAGTGGTAGTTGGAGGTAACGGCAAGAGAAATGTTGGAAGGTGGGAGGCTTGTGTTGGAACACCTTTGGTGGAGTCCATAGCGGTAGTGTATCGAGGTTCCGTGGTCCTAGCTAGAGTCAGAGAGATATTTGTCGGGCACAAATTTGAGCTTACGGTGCTTCCATCATATGCTATCCAATTGGGGACAATGATCGAGGCAATTGTCATGCCAGAAGCTGCGCGATCGTCAGCCAAGCGGAGTGGTAAAAATCGCAAATCGAAGTACCTGCAAGAAACACAAAGAGAGCTCCGGAGAAGACGATGCTCCGTGTGAGCATCCCTGTGTAATTCGATCCGTGCCCGCTGGGCACGAGTGAAAAGTCCGCCATCCTCCTCAAGCCCACCACCAACGGGCGTTTGTCCCAGCTCTTGATGCGGTTCGATATCTAGACGATAGCTGTTCTGATATGGCTAGCGCAAGACCAATCCTGCGCCGAGGGACGGAAACCCTTCGAGGAGAACAAGAATCGGTGAAGCAAGGGAGAGGCGGGTCGTGTAGAGATAATCGGTGTGGTGTGAGTAGTGACGAGGTCCAATTGCCCCAAGGCTCTTGCGATATCCGAACGCGACTCCAACCCGAATCTGCGGTCTGGAAAGCTGCCTCCGCGAGCAGCGGTCTAGGTGCTCATGTTGAGTCTGCGAGATGGGAAAGCGGAGAGCCTGGAGTTTCGATAACACCTGTGATCGCAGTGGATGTAGAGCGAATGAGAAGTGACAAGGCAGCTTTCTACAAGCATCTCCACTCGATGCACGATCGGGGATTGACGCACGGGAAGCAACCGCAAAGTTGGCGAGCTGGATGCTGGATTGAGGGGAATCCGCCAAGCGAAATGACGGAAGGGAGTTTTCCGCTCGCACGACTGCAGGGTGCACCCGCTTTACCCGGCCTCACAACTCTAGACAACAGCAATGTATGCTCTTGTAGCTGGGCAAGCGCCGCGTCCATGAGCTTCATCGCGAATGATTGCAGCTGCATCACCCAGACCGCCGCAGACTCCCAGGCGCAGCACTGCCATGCGTTGTTCACGACTATTTCGGCTTCTATCTCCGACCAATACCATCTCTCAAAGGCGCCGCCGCCGCCTTGGGCTCTCTGTTCTTGATATCTTGTCTCCGGAGAGTACGATGAATGCGATGAAGCTGCAAACCACTCTTTGGCTTCTTTGGCGCGGTCGCGGCACTGGCAATATTGCTAACGCGTCGTCAGGGGTGTCTCTTATGCTGAAATGACGGCGATTTGACATTCAGGTCTCGCATGGCACAGGCTTTGCACGGCCCTTTGAACGATGCGATGCTTGCAGCGTGAAGGCCGGAGGAACTATCGGAAAGTACTTGTACCATGGCCGAAGCGTGGATACTCCTTTTTGCCAATCACGAACACGCCCTCCGCCCCGTTACGCAGCTCCAGCAGTCAAATATTCGTGGAAGTCCTCCCGCAGTATGTTCGTCCCCTATCGCTGGTCAGTGTCTCACAATATCGCACAGCCACATCTCTACTCACCTGCGCCATCTGCCTCGCCAGCTCATCGTCTTCTTCCATCTTTTTGCAAAGAGCCCAGAACTCATTCCTCTCGCTTTCGGCTTCGTCCAGGCAAACACGACGGAAGTTTGCTCTCGACATGGGATCAATGATCTTCGCCCACTTCTCTCTTCGCACCTCGCTGTATTTGTCCAAAATGCTATCATCCGTCTTGCCATCCTTCAAAGCAGCCAGGGCATCGAACAAGCTTCCCACGTCGGCGATACCTCCGGTCAACCCGAGGCCTCCACTGGATATCGGTCAGCCGTGGCATTTTCAGAGAGGGTTTGGCTTACAATGGATTGCACAAATGGGCTGCATCAGCGGCTAGTAAAAATCTTCCAACCCGGAATGAATCTGCACACCGCTGGTGAAGCTTATACGGGCTGGCACTGACGAGCTTGTAGTCCCCCGGCTTCGGATTGCCCGGCAAAATCTTCTCGAACCGCGCTGGTTGGCGAGCAAGGTATTCTTCATTGGAAAGGCCCCATTCGTCACCATAGGTCACTCTCCACAGTCCGTCATTGGTGATCCGGGCGGCCATGTACCAGTCGCTCTCGTCGATGATGAAATTTGAGTCCCAATAGCCGAATTTCTTGAAGTCGTAGTAAACCTTAACGGTCAGCTCAGGCTTATGAACACCGTTCAGCACACTCACGTTAGTAGCGATGATCTGTTTCTGCAGCGTCTCGCCGGGGTAATTCAAGTCTCCGAAAAGCGACCGTCTGATCTGGCTGTTGGCGCCATCACATCCCACGACGTAATCCGCACCAAAGGTCTTCTTCCCGTCCGGGGTCTCAACGTGTACGCGCGCCTCGCCTTCGTCCTGATCAATGGAAACGACCTTGTGATTCCACAAGACCTCGGTGCCTGGCGCGGCAAGGAAATGCTTCAACAGAAGTACATCCAGTTGATCTAGCGGCAGACAGACCATCGGGAACTCGATGTCAAAGCGGCTTTTGATCCCCGCGATGAAGGTCCCATCGGGATGCCGCCAGCACACGGCGTCAGGGTGGATGCCGTCTCGCTTGACATCCTCCAATACACCCGCACGGTTCAGCTCGTACACCGCTGACGGAGCGTAGTGGGCTGCTCGAGGGTTCTTGTCCAACTCATGAGATGCTTCAAGCAGTTGGACTTGGATTCCCTTCTTGGCGAGCAGGATGCCCAGCAGCAGTCCTGACGGGCCGGCGCCCACTATGATGATCTGCATATGCCTGTGAGTGGATGGACAGAGGCAAGCAAGGCGCTGAACCCACCTTGTTGACTGGCGTCTGCTTCCCCGTCTTTGCGATCATCTTGGCAAATATCTGTAGTCGACAGGAAGGGACGAAATGATACCCTGTTACCGTACTGTGTAGATGGTGTCTTTGATGTATGTTATATGCTCCCACCCAGACCCCTTGGCCAAGTAATTTGATACAGTGGTGCCACCAGGCTTAGTGACCTTGAATCTGCCCACAAGCCCCACAGAAGCCTTGAAGAACAGCAACCGCAGGTGATGGAAGTAGAATCTGCTCGTTGCTTTGGAGCGGACAGGCACGAACATGTCAAAGACGCCAGTCTGCCCTTTCGAGATCACTAGTTACAGATGCTACTCCAATCGCCCGAGACGTGTTACGGCAATTCAAATATCGCCTGGGACTACTCCGTACTTCACACACCGTGGCCGAAAAGGTGGGGTGTGGTGGTCGTCCTCCGCCTTTCCACAGCGGGAGCCCAGCTGGCCTGGAACCACCGGAGGCCGGGCGATGGCACTGGGAGCAGAATGTGGGGTAGTGTACGGAGTAGTGTACAAGTAATCAGGCAAAGAGGATTGCGTGCTATCCGGGCTCAGGCTGCATTACTCCAACTAGATAATTATGCACGATGATCGGCATCAGTACTTTGTGTCGACCGCGGTCCTGCCCTCCCTCTCTATCAAGGCCGCATGTTGCGGGCTCCGGACTTTGATCGAGACGTCAAACGGCGCAAACCGATGCTCCCCCCAATTGACCTGGAACGAATCGAAGGGTTTTCCCTGTGATGGACAAGGGTCAGATCGTGGAGACGTGGGTGTCGATCACGCGAGGGAACTTACGGGCACACCTTCAAAGTCGAAGCAGTACAGCAGCCGGGCGACGACAATCCAGACGTTGGTCTCTCCGACGTTGTACCCCGAGCACACGCGGCGACCTATCCAAGATGAATTAGCATTTACTGTACCTTTCGTCCTGATCTGTATAGACGGGATCGATGCGTGCGCCTACCTGGCCCGAAACTCCAATGTCCCTTGAGAACGTGGTCAAGGTCGTCGTTGAGGAACCGCTCCGGCCAGAACCGTTCCGGCTCTTCGTATTCTCGCGGGTCCATCGCGATCGCCGTCGCATTCCACGTGAACAATGTTCCGGCCGGGAACCTGTAGCCTTCGTACTCGTCGTCCTGGATGAGCAGATGAGGAACGCCGATTTCCGCAAACGGTCGCCAGCGGAATGCTTCCTTGACCGTCGCCGTGATGTAAGGCAGGTCGATGCGGTCGTCGAACGTGGGCAGCCGTTCCGCATTCTTTCCACAGACTTTGTCGAGCGCTTCTCTTGCCGTGACCACCCACCGCTGGTCGAGCACTGCCGCTGCCATGACCTGACTGATCGTCATGCGCGACGTGTCACTCCCAGCCTCCATGAGCGAGCCGAGCGCAAAATACGTTTGCGTCTGACCGTAGCTCTTCGTCTCGGGGTTCTTCAGAAACCTGGTCGCGAAACAATCCCTAGCGGTTCCGTTCTTCATCTTGAGCTCCACCTCGTCCACTTCCCGCTTGTACAGGCTGTAGGAGATATATATTGGTCAGCTATGCATTGCTTCCTAGACATTTCGGGTGGCTCTCTCTCTCTCTCTCACCTGACCGTCTTCCGGAACATGGCCTCGCCGCGCGGCCTCCACCATTGCAACGGCTTCGGGAGCTTCTCCAGGAACGTCAACGAGTCGACGAGATTCGCCGACGGCTGGATCGCCTCGATGATGGCATTGGACGTCTCGAAGAGCTCGCGGATGTTGGGATCTTCCAGCTCCATGCGCTTGCCGAACACGACGCTCATGATGACCGAGTTGGCGAACCGCTGGGTGGCGGAATACCACAACTCCGGGTGATGCAGGAAGTCGTACAGCAGGTGGCGGGACTCGACGTCCTGAAACGGCGCAAACACGGGCATGTTCTGCTTGTTGAGGATCAGGTGCATGATGCGCCGGATCATGCGCCAGCGCTCGCCGTACGGCATGAGCAGCACGCGGTTGTCGCCCGACAGGATCCCCGACGCCATCGGCATGTACGACCGCGACGAGTAGATGGCCGACCGCTTCTCCATCAGGTCGTTGACCGTGCGCGACGAGTTCAGAAACACCCACGTCTTGCCCCCGATGCTGCATGTGAACCTGGGCCCCCCGTTTCGTTAGCCGATCCAAAATTCCACGTCGAGGACAGTTACTCGCGGTCTGTGGCTTTGCGATGCAGGGACACCGCGAGACCTATATTTCTCACATCTCGCCGTATTGCTTGGCCATCTGCATCGCCCATACCCCCTGCTTCAGCGGCGGAAGTTGGAACGTGTTTCCCACAATCGGTAGGCCCGGGATCCGCGGCGGTAGCTTGTATCTTCGAGCCCGGACATATTGATTCACTTGCCAGACTGTGACGAGGACCACCGCGCCGAGGGCGACGACCCCCAACAAGGGCCGTTGAGCGAAGAGGTATAACCAGTCCATGGAGTTGGCCGTCTTGTTGTTGTTGTCTATAATACCGCCGGCGCTGTCACTGTCGATACCTGAAAGGGAGTGAACTTCTCAACATGGAGCTGACCATCTTTTTGTGCATGTGCCGGTCCATATTTGAAGGGAGGCTCGTCTGCCCTTCGACCGCTTCGCTTGTTGCTCAAGGCCCAGCTCATCCATCCCTGCTCCGCGCAGCCTTGTTTGTGGTGGGGTTTGTCGATATGTCCTAGAAGAGGAATTTGGAGATATGCGCGAGTCTCGGCCATTTCCCCAAAAAGGGACAGGGACTGGGGCCATCAGCCTGGCCAGACGAGCCGGGAAGAGCACGTATTTGGGGTGTGCGACGGAGTACGGGGGGTCGTGCGCCGTGGTGCAACGGTTTGGTCATGTTTGCTGTGCTATGCCATGTTGTGCTATGCTGGATGATGTTGGCACTGGCGGTGGGGAATGAATAGAAGACGAGTACGGAGTAGGCTAGATTCATCACGGAGATGCCACGACTTGTCATGATCCTCTAACTAAGAACGGGGTTGGGCACGTTCGACGTAGCATCGTCGTTCTTCGTACTTTGCTCGTCTTGCTCATTACCGAGGACGTTGCCAGTCTTTTACCTGACTCTCCCATTTCACAGCCATGACCTGACATCACATCATGGCCACGATCATGCTGGTAACGTCCGAGTGGCCGTTGGTCATCATTGCCTAGCTCAAGAAATATGTCTTCATCGCTCTCGGCTCAACCGTGACCTGGAATGAACCTCCAATCTGAGTCTGCCCAACCATGGTGACATTGTGTTCGTTGTCCGTCAGGTATGCAGTTGCAGTGGTTGCACTGATTCTGTTGAGGTTGATCGTCACTTGGTAAGGGAAGTGGGCCGCGTTGATGACGGGAATCGCCACGGTTCCATTCGTATTGACGTACGCACTCACATAGACGTGCTCGACATTGCTCGACGCCTCAATCCGGACTGAACCGGGTCGGGCGAAGCGGAAGTATGATGCGAAAGCCCACAATCGAGCAGAAACGAAATAGTCGTCATGGTTGAGCCTAATCAACGCATTATCACCGGTTGTGTTCTGGGCGCAATACCAGTGCGTATATCCGGACGTGTCGGAGTTGACGAAGGCGTTGTGCATGTACAATGCCCACTGGAATCCCTCACTGCGAGAATCAGTCTTACCCACACAGAAGAATTGATGTTTCTTACGCAAGCTGTCCGGTCACGTCCCAGTAGGCATTCCAAGTCCCAGTACCCTGCTAAGGTCAGCGGGTGCATCCTGGTAGGAGACAGAACCTACATCCGCCCATTCCGTCATCATGTTTGGCTTCCCATTAGAGTTGAACGGTCGCTCAGGGTTGCTCTGGTAGTTGTGCCAAGTCTGAACTGATTAGCCCGGCACACCAAGGACTTTAAATCACCTACGGCGACATCAAAGAGATCTGCACCTCCTGCCTGTTCCAGCTCGTACAGGATGTTCCTTTCCTGCCGGGCACCGGTGGCATCGCAACATGCAATGCTGATGTTGGGGAAGGCTGCTTTTGCCGTTGGATACAAGACCTCGAGGAAGTCCTTGGCTTGATAGCCGTCCGATTCCATGCTGGCATACGTGACGGGGTTGAAGTCCGGCTCGTTGTACGCACCGAGCAATTGCACCTCGATACCTTCCTGCTCGTAGTATTTCACGTACTGTACGAGGTAGTCCGCATATGCCTGTCGCCAATCGCCGCTGCAATTGCTGCTGCCTCTCACACCGCATATAAAACCGCCGTTGTCCTCGGTGCCAACGGTCTTCATGCATCCAGGAGCAGACCATGCATCGGCGTACACATAGGCGTTCGGGTTGTACTTGAGTGCAGTTTTGGTGAGCTGGAGTTGGCAAGTATCGTTGCCATCCCACACGTAGTTGAATGGTCCGGCTGGCGTTGGTGGACAGTCCCGCAAAATCGACGCAACATCGCCTCGAACAACACCAGGCGTTGAGCCGATATCATTGCGGACAATCGACAGACCCCCGATGTTCTCGTCGAACAGAATCTGGGTGACGATTTCCTGGTTTGCTGGAGAGAGCCCGACGGAGCCAAAGTGTTGACAAGCAATACCGAATGCACCAGAGCAGCCGCCACCAATCATGGTCTGGTACTTCTGGGCAGCATCGACAGTGATCGTTGCTGAATATGTCATGTTTGTTGCATAGCTCCATGCCGAGGCGCCAGTCGCCAAGGCGACAACGAGGAGAGCCTCCATTCTGCTGATTGAGGCTGACGAGTATCATCTAGCCAAGCAATACTGCATACAGGTACAACATATGTACCTTTCGCCTCCCCGCACGTATTGCTTAACATCCCCAGATCGTCTTTTACCCGGCGACATTTTGACCAGCTCATTTATCCGCCGGCGGTTCTCCGATGCCGGTTGTTGAATAGAAGGAGACAGTCTTGGTAATCGAGCCTCGCATGGGTCATTTCACGCATGGAATAAGACCCAGAATTAGAGAATGACGACAGTTGAACCTGGCCCAAAGCTCAATGTTTCATCAATACTGCGTATGCATCTGGCAATCCACTACTCCACTTGGCATTTTAGCCGATCCTCTCGTCGCCGGGCCACAACGTTCCATGGTGGCCCCGTTAGTGGTAGTACGGCAATTGACAGTCCCGGTGTGACGTGGCTAAGTGCATTCTCGCAGACTCCGGCCATACTTAATCGTCGACCGGTGAGGTTTCCGGGAGAGGTCATTCGGTGAGGGAACTTGCCAGCCGGCATCGAGGGGAGCTTCGCCTGGTTGTTTCCGGGGAGGAGGACACTCTTTCTCTTTGACGTGCTTGTATCCTCGCATCGCAGTTACAGCTCTTGTGGATGGCATTAAGATCTGGTCGTCATGTTGTAGACAGACCGAGTGCCAACGCTCGCGCACGAAACGGAAATGAGGATTGACAGCGAGTCAAGGGTGGGAGAGTGGAGTCCGTTCATATTCCACAACGATCGTCAGCGATCGAAGAGCTCCGAAGGACTTGAATAGGCATTATATGCTGAGGTGACCGTCCTTGCCAGAATGAGCATCATGGTTGCCGATGGTACGTTGTATCGATGGCGTCAAAAGAGTGCAATGTTGCATGGTGAGCTCGGTCACTCGGTGAAGGTCTCCCCGATGTGATGAAACTTACTTGCAGCCTTACAATTTCAGCCTTGTGAGCAGGGTTATCCACGTGACACTTTTGGCCGGGAAGTTGTCGTCCAGAATGAACAGTCCTTGACCAATTTCTTCTACGCCAGGACGTCCAGCTTTCCTCTATGGCTCCGGCAGTGCACTCTCGTGCTCCTGTCTCTGTTTCCCCTTTGACAACCTTTGACTGCCGGAAAACTGCGCTGAGCCTGCTCTACCGTAGAGCCATTCCGCGTCCTGCTTCCTCAGATGAGGACCGGTTCGAGATTATTTGGACCACACCAGAACATCGCCAGTCAAACGAAATACCAACACTGCCTGGACAGCCGACCCGCAATATCCAGATCTGGTTTTCATCCCTCATGAGGAAACCTCAAATCCAGCGTCCATGTCATAAGCGATGTATGGCGGCGACTGCAGCTTGACAAGACGCAGCCGCGACAAGAAGATATCAGCTCAGCAAGGGGCAGTGGCACTCATGCGAGAAGTCTTGTTGAATGGCACTCCTCCACTCCACAATCAAGAACACGACCCCAATCCTGGAACACTACAGGCAGTACCGAAGGGCAACAAGCGAGCAAGTTCTCGTCGGCGGCCAATAGCGATAGATTTCCGAGCGCGATGAATCTCAGCACCGAGGAATGACCCAGTGGCACCGTCGACCATTTTCAAGCGCGGACAATCCGACCCATTCAATGCTCTTACTGTAGAAGTAACACTCGAAGTAAATGAGATTGTCTCCTTCGTGAGGTAAGTTTAAGTACATGGTCCTTGCATTCTATCACACAAAATGGGAAACGTCAGAAGCCGCCGTCGTTCAGAGATGTGCCCGTACAAAGCAGGTAATAACCCCTCAAGGTACCGCAGTACAAGGCGAGAACTCTCGGCTCTACTGGGGATACCCCATGCTTACTAAATGCTTACCGATAAATACCCACTTAAGTCAGCGAAAGCAAGGCTTGGCGATGCAATGCTGCGGGGCGCTTTCTCAATCCTAAAGTCAGCAAGTGAAGGGCAAGGAAGGCACGGTTGAGCTGTTGCTGAGAACAGATCTCTCAGAAGCCGAGTCAGTACGCATGATGCATTCAGACGATCAACGACCACGCTCCCACAGCTGAACTTGAGCTCAATACATAGTACTTAAGTATTTGTTGCACGTTAGAAAGTAAGCTGCCAGCAAATCTCTATTTAACTGCCGCATCAAGCGATCTTCGTATCTCTCTCACCTTGGATTCAAGGTCTTCTCACAACGAAGTACATATTGAAGCATGTGTTGACTCACCTTCAACCGTATTCCAGCCCGGAGCCAACTCGACATCAGTCCTTTACATAGTACTGGCTCAGCTCAGTCTCTGCTGATCCAAGCAGCGATGGATCTGATTTGGCATGGAGCTAGCACTGAGCTTGGTGTCCTACATAGTATCTACTTACCGTACTGTATGTACTGTATGTACTTACTCAGAACATTAACTGGATGCATTACATTAGGTATACTAGTATCCATGGAGTCAAGTATCAACGGATCAAGCATTGCATTTGATCAGACCCGGATCGGACCCGGATCAGACCTGTAGCGAGCAGCTCATCGCTTCAAGTCAGACAAGTATCTGAACCCATACAAACTCACAGGACCGATTCTACCCTACTGTACTATGTATGAAAGCAGTCGCCGGCCTTGCTGTACATAGTACTACAGTCGTCTTGACTAGTGAATTCGAATGCGTCAACCAAAGGACTGAGTGATGCTTAGTACATACTTTATGTGACCGAGACTCAATGCGCTCTACCCCCGGGGTGTAGCATTATTAGTCCGCAGTAAGGAATGGCTGCAGATTCTCACGATGAAGCATTCCGGTCGTCGAGACTCTACCACGGCCACTCTACATGGTACTTACTTACCTCAAGCCGCCGCCGTCACTTGGTATGGTACCTCCTTCAAACTTCCTGGCTCAATGTAGTCTTTGTGCCCATTCTCCTTCAATCGAAGCTTCCTCGACTCAGCGTAGACAACTCTGCGCATACGATTCGTGCTGCCCAGCGGCTGATGCACCTTTAGACCATGCCAACTGTTGACGGTGATCCTATCGTCCCACCAAACTCGAAACTCCGGAAGCCAGCTATCCTGGGGCTCAAACTCCAGTGTTGCAATCTGCTCGAACGGATACTTCTTTTCATTCCATTCGACGCCGATGTCTTCAACCGGCTGCTCCTCGAGGCTCTGTAACAGCTGGCCACAAAAGGAGTAAGTGACCTTGTTGTCCATGTGAAATTTGCGGAGCTCTCTTGATATGATGTTCTTAGGGTCCTTCTCCGTGATATGGAAGTTCGCTTGCTTCTTTTGCTCCTCGCCAAGAGGGAACACGCCGAACTTGGCCACGTAATCACCGAACCGATATGCAGATTGCGAATATTGCGGCATTGAGACCACTGTATCCGTCAGCCGACGACGTTCACTGACCGAGAGACAGACACCACTTACTGTGCTGAGGCGGGATGCTCGCCGGTCGACATGCGACGTCGGCGTCTGGTCGCTTCTTGAGCTCCTCCACAAAGCCATCCATGTTGTCCCAGTTTCGTTCGAGCGAGTCTGCGATCTCGTACGTCGTTTGAGGATCTCGAAGTTCAAGGATGGGATAGTTGTTGAAAGTCCAGTCCTGAGTCTTCTTGTCTTCCCCCCAGATCTTCTCTCCCTCGACGCCGAAGATCTTCATGCCGATTCCACGTGGTGCGGGGACATTATCCGGCACAAGCTTTGGCGTGAGAGAAGAGTATCGCATGATCACGTCGTATGTGGCTGGTTTTGCAAACATGCCTTGCGCAAGATGAGGAGGTAGGTTATCATGGACGATGAACTTGCCCGCAACGCACTGTTCTTCGTCAGCGAGGGTGCAATATTTGTGGAAGAGACTCTGGACTCTCTTACGCCATGGGTTTTCAAATGAGTTCCGCGAAGAGCATGATGATGCTCGTCGAAGTTCATCATCTGGAATTTGCAGAATTGCTCGGAGACTTGCTTGATCTTTTCCTGCTCACCAGGCTGTTCGGCTTCGACGCCTGGCGCGTCCCAGCGAATGTACTCTGGCATGTTTGAATGAAGGAGACAACGTGAGTAGTTGCTGTTCTACTTAGGTGAGGTCTGATCCCAACAGACTCTGAAGCAATGAGACGAGCCAGGTCAACGGAGTCAACATCAGCTGCAAACGTCGACCATTTTGTATACCAGCTGGATCACCGTTCCCCACATCTCGCAGAAGACCATAAACCTCCCACTAGCATCCCGCTGGACTCTGGTTCTCTGACACTATGACCCTGCGATAGACATAATCCGCACTATGATGACGCAGTGATGCGGAGAAGGGTTGGTCTCGACCTCTCGGCTTCTCAAGCTCGATCTTGCAGGGACCACTGGCGGGCGGACCAGCTCACCTCTAGTCAGGAACAGTTGCAGCATGATCCAATAACGTTCGGCGCATTTCGCAGCGGCAGATTCGCATTTCGACAATGACACATACCGAACGAGGTAACGTGAAGCGAGCATTCAAGTTTCCGCGGACTCGAAACCTGTGGTCTGTGAGATGGATAATTACCTGGAGCATGGGGGGGTGCCCGCGGGGAGTTGTCCTCGGCTGGGCAAGAAGCCCAAATAATGGATGATGATGTGCTTGTACATTGGTGAGTGCTGCGCCATTCGTTCGAGGGTCGTATGTGTATTGAATGCGACTTCCATACGATCTCGGTTGTGGTGACTCAGACTCAGAGTGCTGTCGGATGAGGCAAGTTTACTTCGTCGGTTGACCTCAATGTAGCTATTACCCTGCTTGAAACGACCGACTTGTCACGGGACTTCCGTACCGAAGGGATGACCGATCATGCATTCATCGCTAGCAATAAAGCGGCAAGCATGAGCGACCTGATCAAGCTGTGACTGACGACGCTAGCAACTGGCGCATGCTGACGAGTCGAAGAGACGCAAAGGGCGAGGAATCAATGTTGCGCGGAGATAATGTTGCGAACAGCGTAGCGCGGAGGGAGGAATGTGAGAGCAACCACGACGACGTCGGCGTGGCTCGGGATCTGGTAATTGTGACGAAGCGAGATTATCCCAAAGGCCAAGGACACGAAGAGCCGAAATGATACGTAGTTAATTAACATAAAGGCATTTGGTGGATTCGTTACCATCACGCCATCCAAGGGCGTGTCTCGGGAGGAAAGTGCCGAGAACCTCTCAGCGGTGAAGATTGCCTCACCTCGACGTTGGAGAGCAGCGAGATGACGAGAAGTGGCGAAGACTTCGACCCCAAATGTCAACCTGGCATCGTATACTCGTATGGACGATGCGACATTTTATGTCGTCCGATTCTCGATGACAACTGCCACCATGATCGTTCAGCCTCACTTATGTCAGCTGGACGCAAGCGCATGGCGTAAGGCTTAGTGCGGATGACACGATATCAGCACGTCCTGTGTCGTGCCCTTCTGTTCCCACCTACCCCATCAATGCGGTAGCTACGAGTAGGCACGGTCGGCCGCGCCATGGCCATGCAGGTGGCGCATTTCAGGCGGTATGGGATCCATATCCTGGCCTTTGTTGGTCTCACCTTGTTGCTGGTCTTCCTCTATCGGGAAGAAGGCATCTCAATTCTCCGCGACTCCATACCTATCCCCTTCGAGGCGGCGTCTCCACCGCAGCCACTGCCAAGTGCGACACGAACGCCGTGCATAGGACCCAGAGGGCGGTCCGTGCAGGAGGACCGTGACGATCAAATATGGGCAGAGTCCTTGGATTTACGTACGTCCCAAGTCGTCCACACCCGCCTGTCACTTCTAACAGTTGAGGACCGGTAGCTTTCCCCGAGCCGGTCGGTGGCTCGTATGCCGCCTTAGGCCTCCCAACTACCTTCAACACCCCTGATATCCGATATGGCCCATATGGATACAATGAAGAAGTGGAGACATATCCTCGCACACGCGTCGAGTGGAGCTCGGTCAAATGGGCGGATTTGCAGAATGAGTGTCTCGCGTCGAACAAGGATCGCTTTGGCCGTACCGACACGATCACCACCGACAGAAGGTTTACGCTGCGTGGCAGAATCAATCCTGAACGGCTGACGGCACGGAAAGCCGAGACAGGTCGAACAGCAATCGTGTTGAGGAGCTGGGAAGGCTACAATTACACCTCCCTAGACCGTTACCATATACGGTCACTGATTGTGGAAGCTGGACTGCAATCGAATGCGGACATTGCGGTGTTTCTGCTGGTGGATGTGAAGGACAAGGATGGCGCACGGCGCATCTTTCACGATTCAAAGAGTTATGATCGGGCTTTGGAGGAGCTGGTCCCGGCAGAGTTTCAAGACATTGCGATTCTCTTCGATTTCGAGTTGCTGGGATCTTGGTATCCGGCGATTGAGGAGCACTCGGCCTTCTTCCAAGTCTACCAACCATTACAGTTGTTCGCGCAGCTCTTCCCGGGCTTCGATCACTACTGGCAACTCGAGATGGATGTGAAGATCACGGGCCATGCCGGAGAATGGCTGGGCGCCATGGCCCGGTTCGCACGGAACCAACCACGCAAGCAGTCTGTGGAACGGTCGTCGTACTACTACATGCCGCGGGTCCACGGTACGTATGAAGAGTTCAGCTCGGCAGTCAACCAAAGCTTGAACGGTGGTGGTATCTGGGGACCGGTCCGGATCCCTGATCTTCCACACCCCGTCGGACCTCAGCCGCCTGTTGCTGATCCTTCTATGGACGATTTCGAATGGGGTGTTGGCGAAGACGCTGACTTGATCCTGACTAACGGTCTGGCGGACGTGAAGGCGACCAAGTACTGGCCATTCAAGGGCTGGGTCCACGGTTTCAAGGAAGGAGAAGAGACGCCTCGCTGGTACAGTCCTGTTGCCATGGGAAGATACTCGTGGAACTTGCTCAATGCGATGCATCACGCACAGGTCCACCAGGGATTGGCTCTCTCGTCGGAAGCCACCGCGGTATCATTTGCGCTGTACCACGGGTTGAAGGTCGTGTTTCCACCTCATCCTTGGTACCACCATCCTCAGGCAGATCGGGAAGTGGGTGTCGAGGAACTGGGGCAGTTGTTCAACGGTGGCACGCCTGCCGAGAATGCGGAAACTAACCATGGACTTGCGTTCGGTAGAGCCATGTATGATCCAAACGGCGTTTACAGTCTCTTCAACGGCGGGACTTGGTGGTGGGTGCCAGGGTACCCTGGGAGGTCGTTCAAGCAATGGATGAATCACGACACGAACGAGATGCCGTCTATGTTGCGGGAGTTCAACGGACAGATCTGGGCGCCGATGATGGCTTTGCATCCTGTGAAAGTTGGCGATAATGCGTGATAGTGCTGCAAGGTTTTAAAAGGATTTCTATACGCCCCTGCAGACATGGCTAGCGAACTGCGACGAATGCTCGACTGTGAAACCAAACGGGTGGCGGCTACGTGGTTCGTAGTCTCGAAGCTCCTGGTGACACGCAACTTGCTCACTGCACCATGGTGTTCTGTTTCGTTCAGGTTTCAGACCACATGTCTGAACGGGCACTGCATGGCAAGGGCCCACCCAACCGTGCACCTGCGCCCCCCATGTCCTGTACCTACTCATGCTCGTCTGGATCCCAATCGCCAATCCTCGCCTTCATTCCCTCGTCCAGCTTGTCAATATCTTCGCAGTCCTTGGGGTCCAATTCCCACCCAAAGATCTCGGTCGTCTGCTTGACCCTCTCTTCCTTGCTACTCTTCGTGATGGGCACGATCTGCCTCTGCACCATCCACCGCAAGATCACCTGCGACGGACTCTTGCCGTACTTTGCAGCCAACGAGTTGATCAGCCTGTCATCCATGCGCTTCCCCTGGGCCAGCGCCGAAAAGGCCGTGATCTGTATGCCCTTTCCCTTACAGTACTTCACAATCTCGGCCTGCTGGTTCCAGGGGTGGAACTCGATCTGGTTGCACGCCGGGACGATCTTGACCCCCTCACCCTGGATCAGCTGTTCTAGGTGCTTGATCGACCAGTTCGACACGCCGATACTTCGGACGAGGCCCTCCTGCACGGCGTCCTGGAGCCCCAGCCACGCGTCGTGGCGTCGACTGGCCCCGCCGCGCGGGTTGTGCAGGAGGAACAAGTCGAGGTAGTCGAGCTGCATGGCGTCGAGCGATTGCTTGACGCCCTGGAGAGCGCCGTCGCGCGTGAAGTCCGGATCCCACAGTTTGGAGGCGATGAAGAGTTCCGAGCGCGGGACGCCGCTGGCTCGGATGGCCTCGCCGACGTCTTTCTCCGTGCCGTAGATGTGTGCGGTGTCGATGTGCGTGTATGAGTGACGTAGTGCCGTGAGGACCTCTTGTTTACTATCGTTTTTGGATGCTGTGCCGAAGGCGAGAATTGGCATGGCGTTGCCATTGTTCAGTTGAAATGTCGACGTTATGGATAGGTCTGCCATGGTGAGAGTGTGCTGAACGGGAGAGGAGGGGTTAAATTGAACTATTGGAACAGGAAATATATTGAAGTAGGTCGTTGCGTGGCGACGATGCAAGAGGGTCAGTCTGTATGAGAACGGCCTGTGCTTCCGCATTTTTATCCAGCTCGTCATCCCCTCCTCGTGTCATCATTGCACCGAGCGAATCACTCCAGGCTCGCAGTCAGTTAACAGTCACCGAACAGTCAGTGCCCCACGAGCAAACTCCGGGGTCACTTGGTGGCGAAGCAGCTTCTTCACACACGATCTCTTTCATTCAGCCTCAGTTACCACTGAGTGACAAGTCCTGGGAGACATGACACATCAAGTATCATTACCACGCCATCCTCTGCTCTTTCCACATCAATCTTGCCAGCTAGCTTGAACTTCTCGTCAACCAACTCAACTTCCACGACTGGTTCTGGTAATTTTTCCATGGGCCAACTCGCCGTTTTTCTGCGGGCATGAAGGCATCATTGTCTCACAACGCGAGAAAAGGAGACGAGCACCGTCTAACCATGGCCCGCCAACACGTGCTGGGTCAGTGTCACTTCAAGCTCAACCAGACCAGATCTGTCCTGCGTGTGAGATAAAGCTACAACTCCCCGTCGGGCACCCGCCAATTTCGAGTATGCCTACGCACCTTTTGAGGATCCTCGGCGGCACCACATGTCGTTTCCTGCACTTCCTCCTGAGCTTTCAAGTTCCAATGCCATGCATCGGAACACGCCGCTACAGTCTCGGAGCTCCGCTGAATGTAAGACCCCCCGAGTCACCGTCCGCTCAGAGTATGATCGCGAGGTCCAAGCCGTCGATGTACCGGCCATGCCGACTTCGCAGGGACGTCGAATTCTTAGGCGTGTCTCGGAAGAGATCGAGTGCCTGGATAATCTGACTCAGGCACCGCTGAATCGGTGCCTTTGAGGGCTCAATCTCCTTCTCAACCTTAATCTCAACCCCTTGTCGTTCATTGTCGTTGTCTTCGTTGACGGCCTGCAATACTGTCTTCCAGAACGTGTGCCTCCCGCTGTCTCCATCGTCGCCCTTGTCAGCGGCTGGCAGCTCGGTTCGCTCTAAAGATGATTCCTGCGCCGACGCCGATTGTCTTGGGAGACGTGTACCGTCAAAACGATCAATCGGCAGCTGCTTTGCCGGGTTCTGCACCCGTCTTCGAGCATGAGTTGCTCTTGCAATGTGTCTGTTGATGGACGAGGCGTTCGACCTTCTCCGTTTGCTGCCTGAGCCCACGAGTATGAACGTTATCTCGTTCTCCGGGCTCATTTTTGCTCGCTGACTTTGTGCCCCATGATTACGTCCACAGGCTTGATCAGGGCGTTCGAAGACGCAAGAAGCTTCCACTTCCGGGACAGTCACGGTTCTCGACTTATACGCTTCGGTCTCGCCCTCATGTGGTGTAGACTACGCTGAATTAGGCAAGCGTAGGGAAAGCAAATCCTTCCCCCGGTACCCAGGACACAGTAACATGTCCAACAGAAATGGCCAAAACAACTACTAGTCTTGGTATGGGTGTTGCACCGCTAAGTCTCGACCTACCGAGTACGACTGCCTCGCTCGTCGCGGTGGGGGGTTGGTGACCTTCACTTTCCAGTGCTTCGATATTTGTGCAGACACAGGACCCTGCCAGAGACCCCCGCCACTCATCCAAGATACGTACGATGCGATCAAAATATGATCTGCGCGGTGCGACTAATCGCCGATTTCGGGTTACCGAGCGCGTTTCGCAACTCCGCAACCGGACCGCCAGGCAACAGTAAATCAACAAGCGCTCACGCACCACGGAAACCACAAGCAAGTGCTCGATTTTATTCGCCAGCCTGACCGTTATGATTGCGACCTGCACGATCAGGGGCCATCTTCCCCACAGTCGGGTGGTTGACTGACACAGAAGTGACAGGTAAGTTGGGTATTTCTCATTCAGCTCCTCAGCGGACATTCTAGCTGCTTGATGGAATGGATCTAGCGCTCCCGGTGCGGCTGTTGCGACGCTCGATTCTGTTTCCTCCATCTCTAGTGTCTGAGCACGTCATGTCAACGCCATAACTATGCCTGTGCTGGTCGCCAGTCTTGGAACAGCAACAGATTTCAACCCGCGGGTTCCACCGCGATGCCGACGCCTGTCACCCTTGTGAATTGCTGCCTTTTCGACACAGAAGCCCCGGAGTGCAACGGTTTTGTGGCAGAAGTGGGAATGAAGGTAGGTGTTTCCCACTCCGCTGCTCACAGAAGCGGCGCATCGTCATCAGCTAGAGCGCGTAGACTCTGCCAGCGGGCTATATACGTATGAGCGTGAGATGCTCTCCCTTGGTGCTCATGGATCAGCCAGCCACATGACGCGTGAGCTCATTCCATCTAGATTGCTTGTCCATTGCAGATAGACTGCCGACTGTGAGTGACTGAGTGACTGAGTGACTGAGTGACTGAGTGACTGAGTGACTGAGTGACTGAGTGACTGAGTGACTGAGTGACTGAGTGACTGAGTGACTGAGTGATTGAGTGATTGAGTGAGGAGTGGTCCGACGAGTCACGGCCATTTGACGCGCTCATGGTTGGAGACCGGGTTACATGACGAGCCGCCGCTGGTAGAGAAGTAATTCACAACGAGGCAGGCCTGGCCTGGCCTGAGATGGATTCTGGCATCGACAGTGACCATGACCATGACCATGACAATGATATAAATACCTAATGCTGCGAGGTACATACAGTAAGTCAGTAAGAAAGGCAACCTCCAGCATACTACTACTACTACTCCGTACAGTGTATCCTTTGACATCGCCAAATGAATCTTAAGCGCTTGGTAAACAACTTGTAATGCCAGAAGATACATTAGGTATGAGCAGCGACCGTCTCCTTTCCGCTTCAGAGAGTTGCTGACCTGTTTACGTAGGTACTAAATGCACCAAGTTCCAGGCGGTTGAGAGTAATCTCCTGTGCACTATTGTATTGGCTGCATAGTTGGAGCGACGGGGGAACCGCAAAGCGTGTCTACCTCTGAAAACAGGAGGATTCCAAAGGTCACACTGTACGGAGTATCTCGTAGTACAAGTACTTGTACAAAGGGCCTCTCCTCTCCCCGGGTCGGGGGGAAGAAGAGACCCATCTCCTCTTGGGACTTCCTAATTTGTACTGCTGTACTGCTGTACCAATGCCGCCAGTCCCAGTCCCAGTCCCAGTCCCAGTCCCAGTCCCAGTCCCAGTCCCAGTCCCAGTCCCAGTCCCAGTCCCAGTCCCAGTCCCAG